GGCCCGTTCTCCTTTATATACGCTTTGAAGTCAACATTCCTATAGCAACAAAACAAACACTTTGTTTCCACTTTGGATCCATTTATCTGGGCGTACCTCTCATTGGTCTATTTTTGGCGGTTATTTTAAATAAAACACCGACACATCATAACGTTTATTCAATGAATTTTTACACTTTATAACTGACTAATTGTTTGGAAAATATGCTACACATATTTCTAATACCAAACAAATACTAAATCTAAAATTTTATTACAAGACAATTAATATAAATTCAATGTATCCATTTGTTAACGACTCCGTATAAATTGAAATTAATCATTATTGCCAAATTTGCTACTGTGAATTTGGAAAATATGGTAAATTCATATTTTAAAAGTTGCATAAAACCGACAACAGTAAATTTTGAAATTAAAAAAGTTGGTGAAAGCAAAATAATTATTTCAGGAGATATTTTTTTTTCAATCAATAGTTAATTGAAAAGAATTTGTTTTTTATTGACATTCAACAGTCCAATTACCGTATCTGTTTTTTAAACCACTGAAATTTGTTAAATACCACCGTGAAAATAATAAATATAATATCACTTCACCAACGTTAATAATAATTTAACGTTGTTCGTTTAATTAATTAATTAAAAAAGTAGCATTGTAATTTTTTCCATAAACATATAAAATATAATTTTTGGCCTCCTGACATGTATAAATAACTATTTTATGTTTTTATTTCTGAACATGCGCTTTACATAACTAATTCGGCGAAGCGCACATTCCCACACAAAAACCATTTTATTGGAGTTATGTTCCTGTCACATTCACTCTTGTAAAAAGAGGTTATGTTGCAAGTCATAAGGAAATTAATCCCTTTTTATTCCGCCTCGCCCGAATTGCCTTCTTTGCCAACAAAAATGAGCGAGGTGAAAATCGTCCGGAAGCCCCGCTATGACGGTCGTGTCAAAAAACGCCAATGGGAAGAAAGAAGAAGTGATAAAGGTGAAGGTTTGGACTCCCAAAAGTCCAAAATAGTTAAAAAAGAAACAGATGTGACTGGGGAATTAATAGAAAAGATCAAGAGAAAAAAATTTGCGGTATTGTTGGGTTATTCAGGGACGAATTACTATGGAATGCAACGAAATCCCAATACGCCGACTATTGAAGAAGAATTATTAAATTCTCTTTACAAAAATAAGTATATTACTGAGGAAAATTTTACACAAGTGCAGACGATGCAGTTTCAAAGGGCTGCGAGGACTGATAAGGGAGTCTCCGCAGCGCGGCAAGTGGTGTCTTTGAAGTTACCAGAAAATGTGGAAATTGCAAAAATTAATGAACAGTTACCGGAAATGATTCGGGTTTTTGGGATCAGAAGGGTCACAAAAGGGTTCAACAGTAAGGTGCAGTGTGACAGTCGTTCCTACATCTATTTACTCCCCACTGTATCGTTTATTCCCCATGACCAAATAATGGTACAAAAAGGGTTTAGACTTAATGAAGCAACATTAAATCGAGTTAATGATCTTTTACAAAAATATGTCGGCACGAAAAATTTCCACAACTTTACTTCCAAGAAACAAGCTACTGATCCTAGTGCTAAAAGATACATGAGGAATTTAATGTGTGATAAACCTTTTATTAAGGATGACGTTGAATTTGCTTTGATTAAAATAAGGGGCCAGAGCTTTATGTTGCATCAAATACGGAAAATGGTGGGACTGCTGGTTGCTGTGGTTAAGGGGTACACATCTGAGGAAACCTTGGACTTGGCTTTTGGGATGGAGAAGGTTAATATACCGAAAGCTCCAGGATTGGGACTGCTTTTGGACTATGTCCATTATGAGAGATATAACAACAGATATGGCGAAGATGGGGTTCATGAAAAATTGATTTGGGATGATGTTGAAAAAGAAGTAGTGGAATTTAGAGAAAAATATATTTTTCCCACAATTATTAATACGGAAATTAAGGAAGAGGCAATGGTGGATTGGATTGTAAGGCGACTGTCGACTCACAAATATGATGATGTTGATGCTGATGACGACAAGAGTGATAGTGAACAAATTGTTACTTCAAATACTACATAATTACATAAACTTTATTTTTTTATTTACATAATTTTTATTACTTGTACGATATATTAGTTACAATAAACGATTGCATACTTACTAGTTTTTGAGTGTATTGTGAACATCCACAAAAATCTATCAGATTTCAAATTTTAGATACAAAAAATGCAGACGTGAACAAATCCGTACGAAAGGAACGCACGGCTTTCACAAAAAATCAAATCAAGGAATTGGAAAATGAATTCGCCCATTCTAATTATTTAACACGTTTGAGGCGTTACGAAATTGCTGTTGCATTGGATTTGACTGAACGACAAGTAAGTTGCTAATTTCATGCAAAAACTTGCGATAATTTGATGTTTTTTAGATAAAAGTTTGGTTCCAAAATAGACGAATGAAGTGGAAAAGAACAAAAGGAGGTGATCCAAACACTTTTAGAGGAAAGTCCAAAAGAAGAATGTAACAAAATTGCTTTCATCTCATACTTTTATTTGTAGTTTTTTAATAAATACGCAAATTTTTAATGTGAAACTTTTTTATTTACACCCTTGGGTACATCAACTGGCTTTAAGTCATAATTTATTCCGAACTTATTGATTTTTTGTAACCTTTTTTGTAGTCTAGTTAATCTGGATCTACACTGATTTAAATGTGTTTCATCATCAATTTCTTTATTCTTAGTTTTTTCGTTTTTAAGACGTTGCCGCTGTTTGGAGAATTTCTGAGGCATGCTTTGTTTACCGTGAAACAATGATTTGGGTCTTTTTTCATATGGAACGTATTCAGCTAAAATATTACAAGTTACAAGACACATGGAACACTCTTAAAATTCTGTACATACCAACAATTCGTTTCTTGAACATTATATAATTATTCATCGTTTCCGCCGCTATTTTGGCAACATCAGGGTGTGCAAATTCCACATATCCAAACCCTTTGCTATTCCCGTTACTCCTGGAACGGCATACTTTGATGTTCGTCACTCTTCCAAATTGTTTGAAATATTTTTTGATTTCCTCTTCATAAAAACCATGCGGTAAATGTGCGATATAGATTAAACCTCGTGCCTTTTCTGCATTGAGTCTTCTTTCTTTACGGTCTTCTCTTATTGATATTTTACCAGACTTATAAACAATAAAAAATTAAGGTTAAAAGAGTGTTGAGACTTACTTTAATTGCCTTTTTCAGTTTCTTGGTTTTGGCCGCTACGCTTCGTTGCTTGTTTTTATCGAGTGATATTGTTTCCGACGTTTTCATTTTAATTTCTTTTACTAAAAAACTACAGAATGAACCTACACGTGCAACAATTTAACAAAGAGGTTAAAGTGAAAATAGTTCAATAATAATAGTACGAAACTACGTACCAAACGAACTACGATGTATTAGTCCGAATGTTCATTCTAGTGATAAGGATTGAAATCATAAATGATATTGTAAAGATAAAAATTTAAAACATATTTCAGAGACTATACCAATTTTTTTTACTTCTCTACAAGTTGATATGGCTGTGGGATCTGGTAAACATAAATTAATGGTTGATTTTGAATCAGGAATTCTCGAACGCTTAATTCTCGAGATTTTAGATTCTCCACTGCGCAATAGACCAAAAATGTGCCTAAAACTGAGTGCATCGATTAAAGGGTGATCTCGTCTCGTTGCCATTTGAACAAAAAAGTTAATGACAAAGTGACTGTGGTAACGTAAGAATTTTATGTTTACAAAATGTGCGGGGGATTTACGTGTTCAAAAAATGCATTAATTGCATTAAACGTCTTGTATATAGTGAGTTAAAAAAATAAGAAAAAACATCCCATTTTATGGTCCATTTTATAGGTAGTGGCTTTTATCCTTATTGGAGTCGCGGTTTACGGTCGTGCAGCGTCTTTGGTCACAAATTTACCGATCATAGGAGGAATCCTAGCATGTGGCATTATCCTATTTTTAATTTCAGTATTGGGGCTTTTGGGCGCCGTCAAACACCACCAAGTGATGCTATTTTTCGTATCCTTTTTAATAATAAAGTGACATTTCCTGTCACGTACAATGTGGGACGTTTAAACCGCAAATTATAGCTTCCTTAACACGCGTCTAGTATATGGTTATCTTATTTTTGCTGTTTCTTATCCAGTTCTCAGTTGCTTGCGCTTGTTTGGGGGTTAACATTGCGCAACAAGAGCAACTAGCTGAGCAAGGATGGAGCCGTGTTGATAATAATACGAGAATGAAAGTACAAGACGTGTTCACTTGTTGTGGATTTGCCGAATCTATTGATAAGACTATCTCACCCCCTAGTTGTGAAAATGTTAACACGAGATGTTGTTTCAGTTCTAACGAAAAAAATTGCGTATGTCCACAGTGTATGCAAAAATTGCAGGATACCATCAATTACGCGTTTAAACTGTGTGGGTGGATCGGACTCTTCTTTAGTTTGACTGAGGTAAAGAAATAAAATACATAATTTCTACATAAAAATTACTTTTAAAAAAGAGGGAATGTGTATGACGTAAAAGATAATGATAATGATTAATATTAATATTATTGATCTTCGGACTAATGGTTTTGGTGCATGTTTCAGTTTATGGGAGTACTACTAACAGTGCGTTATCGTAATCAGAAAGACCCTCGAGCTAACCCTAGCGCTTTCCTCTAGTCACTTAACAATCAGCATTAGGGTGGGTGGTTGACGGAATTTAGAATATGAAATGTAATTTTTTGTTTCTTCTTATAGATAGCAGGAGTAGTTCTGACAAGAAGATACCGTAATTTGACAGATCCGGACGAAAAGCTAGCCACAGCAATTTTTCCTCGCCATAATTTTACATATTAATCTAGTCACTCCGTGCAAATTTTATTAAAAAAAAATATATTTTTATCTATACCATACCAAAGACAACTCTTATCTCTATATTCCATTTTTTAATAAAGGCTGCGGTAATTGTACCATTTGTGATTGTTTTGTTTGTAATTTTTTACTTAGTTGTGTAAATGCATCATTCTGTCGTAATTATTTTATATACTAGTCTACATTTTTTACTCCATTTAACGAAAAAGTGCACTCCCTATTTAGGTTAGTTGGGGGTAGTAAAATTTAAGTAAATTTTAAGTAACTGATTGTGTAGGGAGTCCACTTTTGCTGCTCCGGCAAAAGTTTTGTCGCACGAAACTAGCTTATTTTTAACTGTGGAACCAGTGTTTTAAGGCTGTTATTAGGAGCATATATTTTACTAAGGACATTTCCTAAATGTGTTTCTAAATCTAGCTCTAAGACATAACTGTAAAATGTGCTAATAAAATAAATCTTTTAGTTAGTGCTTAAGACGATTTACTTACCTTATATATGTAAAATTTCTGTTTATTTGGGTCAGTTGTGTATTTATAGGGCATGAAATTTATCGAATATTGTAAATAATTGACGTGCCTTGTAATTCTAAAATGGGCATAAACTGAAATGGATGTAATAGGATCATAGACATTTTTTTTTATTGTTACGCAACTGGCCTGAAAATCGTAAATTGTATTGATGTACAAAAACTTTCTTTTATTTTAGAAGTAGTGTATATGTATTTATCATTGTGTTAGTGAATAATTGCTCAGTGCATAAATTTGCTCATTTCTTAAACCTCCAATTTCCTATTTATTGCATTTCGTTGTTCTTGTAGGTATATTGTTTATAGCTTGGTCTTGTAGATGCTAAAAATACGAAATAAATTATGTGATCTAAACTGTTTATTATATTTCGTTGTCTTAAATTGTCCTACTTTGTAATAACTATAAGCAAATTTTCTGCAAGTTTAAAGAAGAGAAATTGTGCTAAACAGCACAAATAAAATTACTGCCGAAATTTGCGTTCGATTCGCTATTGACCAGTAAAATATCGGAGTTGAACCTAGTTGTACATAGTTATACCTAAAGACGCTTTTAAACTTGTACATTTAAAAAATCATAAATTCCCAAACTGTAGCTGTATAGATCCTACATTAAAACTGTTTACACAGTTGAATTTTTTGCGCAACTACATTTAAATCGACGATTCCGAGGCACAGCGCACTGTGAATGATTTCTGGACACCCAAAAGGACGATGTATTAATTCAAGGAAAACTGCTCGGCGTAGAGCATTTTACGTATTCGACGCGTGATTTTACGTCCAGAAAACCATTATTTAAGTATAAAGTTTTTGCGATATAAAGCTGCTCGACCATTTGTTCAATTTTTCAGGGATTCTAATTTCAAAAAATTCGATTTCTTTTAATATCAACACAGCAACCGTTTAAGTTATTTTCCGAGTGTTTAGGCTTTCAGGAGTGAAAAAGGCAATTAAACCGATTCTGAAGTTTACAATTTTTCAAAATTTTGATCGATTCCAGTACCTGGAGCGGAGATACGCTATCATCTCGATAAGTTATGTGTTGCACTGTTTGAGAGCATTGTAAATTTTCCACCTTAAAAATATTGCTGAAATAGGCAAAGATTGGGAATTTCTAAATTTGATGATAATATCTACATTATCGTATACTCGGAATTTTTACACTGATTGCATCAGTGTTTGGCGTTTTGCAATATTAATATCTCCTTTGATTTCGTATTAACTACCGTTTGAATGTCGGATTTTTTTTTGAGATATCCGTATGAATCCTGCCTTCTATGTATCTATATTCTTTCATGGTGATACAGTATATTATAGTTTTATGGCGATAATCCTGATAGTATTGTCGCTTGAAACAATCAAAATTTCATTTTTTCAAAAACTTCAAATGTATTTTTCTCAAAAACTATATCTAACGGAAAAAAAATCAATAAGAGTTATAGTTTCGATTAAACAAAGGTGTTTTAGTTTTTTGACCTTTAAAAATAAAGAAAAATAATAATGTAAAATGATTTGGGCAGATTAGTTCTTCGGACGATCTTACATAGAATATTGTCGATTCCATATGGTGCTCTAGGATGAATTTTAGACACCCAAAAATACCATGTATTATTTTACGAGCAGCACTCGGAAACGCTCAAAATAGCTTGATATCTCATAAACTATAATATTCGTCATAGAATATTTCACGTTTTTTTTTTTCTTGCACTTTTCCTAAGATTCCTAAGATCCTTGGCAGTGCTGCAAAAAACGTTATTTTGTCAAATTTATGTTTAAACATTTTATATTTTAAGTCTACCAAAAAACTTTGCTTTTAATAAAAATCGTTTTTCACTGCTTCAAGTATATATTATATACAATATACAAATAATACATAAGTATCGTAAAAAGAACATTAGACCAAGTCATGGCATTCGTTATAAAAGAGACAAGACAATAATAATCTATGGTAACATACAATAAATATTTACGATCTAGGTACCAGTTTCTAAAATCAATAGAAAGGCACATGGTGTGGGAAGTGTTTGTAGATCTTGCTGTTTTCTTGGTGTCCCAACAAACTATGTTGGTCAATACCATTATTAACACCATAAACAGACCCGCTACCTCCATATTTCTTCTCCCCGTAATTTCCATGTCCAGCATTGCTGTTATCAACAAAGTGTTCGTTGTCGAAATGACCGGCTTTCTTGGCTGCTCCTTCGGCAAATTCACCATTTTCATGCCCTCCTTTAAAGGATGAAGCACCCTTTTCGCCGAAGCTTCCAGCTTCTCCGTTGAAGTTGAGTTTCGCACCTTCGTCGTTCTCTTCATCGTAGAATTCTTCGGTTTTGCCGGTTTCGTCCTTATGGTGCGAAGACTTGAATCCTTTGATGACATGGCCCTTTTTGTGTCCTTTCTTCTCATTGAATTGACCACCATGTTTACCTTTAGGAAATCAATAAATTATAATCCCTGCAAGAAAATAGAATTTGCTTCAGTTACCTTCTTTGTCGAAATGTTGTCCTCCGTAGTAAGTCTTGCCATCTTCAGCGATTTTCTTCGCCCCTTTGGCGTCATTGAAATAAGCCGATTCGCCTTTGTTGTTCTTTGCTGCAGCAACTCCTTTAGTGAACCCTTCTTTCCCAGCATTGAACTCTTCGCCTTTCTTTCCGCTAGCTTTCTCGAAGGCTTCATCATTTAAATTCTTCTTTTCGCCACTGTAGACATTCTTGTCGATGAATTCTCCTCCGTATCCATGGTGGAGTAAAGGTCCAGCAACGAGTCCAGCACCCCCAAGTCCTGCTCCTCCTCCGATGAGTCCAGCTCCTCCGAGTCCTGCACCACCTCCGATGAGTCCAGCGCCGCCTCCAATGAATTTACCGGCCCCTAAACCAAGTCCGGCTCCTCCTAAGCCGATTCCGCCCCCGTAACCTCCATATCCAAGCCCGATTCCTCCAGCTCCCATGCCGATTTCTCCGGGATAGTAGCCACCCTCGACGACGTGATATCCTCGGATTGGGATGGTAGAAGCGGCGGTGTTCATCATATCTTCCGTTTCGTAACGGTATTTGTAGACGGGTTTGCGGGCGGCGAGTTCGTCCTGGGCAAGGACTGCGAGGGTTACGCTAAGCAGGACGATCAACTTGCCCATGATGGTGATTTGACTAAACAATGCTTGGAACGTTTCTGACTGATTGGTGGACGTTCGGCCGTATATATAGTAAAATTATTTAAAGCGTGAAGATTTGCTTGATTGATTTTCTTAGCAGTGTTGTGGAATTTTAGCGGCTTTTGGGGTGGGGAAACCGCTGCGGTGCGACCTTAAGGTGTTGGGATTGTCTGTGTTGACAATTCGACAACCTTGATTCAGATTATTAGCTTGAGTCACGGGAAGTATACTTCGGTTTCGAGATATCGTAATTAATTACGTTGCGAATGGTGTTAAGCGTACGTCCGTTGACTGGATCTACTAGTTTACGAAAAAATCGAAACGCTAATTAATTAGATAATTCAGAATTTTATGGGACGTTAACCTTCTTTCAAGGGGAGTTAATAGGTTTGTAACCTCATTATAACAACATCTTCCACTAGAATGTCAAAACCCTTTACTTTACAACTTTCTGCATTCATTTCAAAGGGCTAAAAAGAGAAAAGAATGATCCAATATCATGTCCACCTGGTGGAAAATAGGAACCGCAAAAATTGCATTGCGGAAACGTTCAGTAGCTTTGAAGAAATTGTAGATTCGGTCGAGGAACGTCCTAGAATAGGTCGTCTGACAATTACCACCCACAAACGAAATTGCTGTGAATGTAGCGTATCTCCCAACTACTAATAACTAAACCAAAAATAAGATAATTTCAGGTAGTAAAATTGTGTTGAAAAACTTTTTATTTTAATTTGCTTCTTTTTAAGGCTTTACTTTTTATTTTGTACTAAATGTTAAAGAGTGCTTTTATCTAACTAATTTCAGTAGATAAAGTAGTCTTTTATCGTCTAGTAAAATAAAGTATTTTTTATTTACTGTTTGTATTTTATCAACTAATTTCAGTAGATCAAGTAATCTTTTATCGTCTAGTGAAATGAAATAATTTTTATCTACTGTTTATATTCAAGAAATTATTATAAGTTCGTATAAAATAAAACGAAATATTATACGCGACAATAAAGATTGATTATCTACCTAGGTACTCGTGAAAAAGTCCACTCGTTCGTAAACTTAACCTTTTCATTCGTAGATAAACAATTTCTTTATCGACTTGTATAATAATAGTTATTTATTATACAAGACTATAAAATTGAATTTTATCTTTGAGAGCAATTTAGCGTCCAGGCGTCATCCGAGACGCTAATATGTTCGAAAAGATAATGAAAATTTTATCGTCCTGTACAATATAAAATTTTATTCAATCCTCACTAATTTTGTAGTCAATTTGGTCGATATTTATAAATGTCAATGTAAAATTCAACAATGAAATCTAATGTCAAAGATCGTTAGCAACTAACAACCGCAGATAGGTATACAACAACGGATGTATTTTTTATCATCTAGATTCTAGACGATGATAAAATTTCATTTTAACATGAAGAAAAGAGTAGATAAAATTCAATTTTAACATAAAGGATTGAATAAATAACTATTGTTAATACTACATAAGAAGTGCTCTACTCAAGTAGATTTTGTAGTAACAGAGTCATACTCTCTCCATCCTGAAACTCCTGAAATTAGTTCTGAGTGATGACCACAAGAGTAAAATGATTTTACGGACAGTGGCACCCAAGTACACTATTGTAAGTAGATTAGTCTCCTTACAGGAATATAATAATACACTTTCTACTCTGTTTTGGAGGAAAGTATAAGAATAGAAAAAGAAAAACAAATTTATTAAATGAAATTCCAACGAATAACAGAAAGGAAATTTTTGTATTAATTAAATTAAAATCTTCCTCTTCAGGGTGAATTTTGAAGTTTTTAAATAATGATTTTCTATATTTGAAAATTGAATATCCTAAAGAATAAATAAAATAACTACAAACATATAAATTCTAGAAGTGAATAACAAGAAACTGGAATATTGCTGAAAACCACAGAAGAAAAAGTTAAATTAATAAGTATAATCTTATCAATGAGTGTCTAGAACATAAGAATTGAGAATGAGATTAGAATTTTTATGAATAGATAAAATAATGTTTATTTTTTAATTTATAAAATAATAACAATAAAAAGAATAAATACAAAACAAAAATTTAGTAGGTATTCATCTTAATAATACCTAAAAATGATTACCAATTGATAAACTAGAGTTTAATTAATTTTAATTTTCATTGCAAATTGCCAAGGAAAAGGTAGTGGTTGCCAGTGACTGTGCAGTTGTGAAAAAGGCTTCTTGAGCAACATATTCTGCATGTCAAAGGAATATTACAGAATTCGCTGATCTAATTTTGTATAACTAACTGTAACAGAAAAATATGTCTGGTAAACAAGCAAGAACGCCATTACTTGCAGATTTTTTTGGGCCAATTATTCGCCTTAAACGTGCGTAAACGTAATTAATTTGATGAGATCAATTCTCGTTGGTAAAAAATTTGAATATGTATGAAAGAATCGAAAGAGGTGTGTGCTTGCGACCAGGCTCGCATAAGTATTATCCTGCAACAGGATAGCGAACCGTTTGTGCGCCCTCACTCTGCGGTGGTCGATCTTGTAACTGTAAAGTGACGCACCCTTTCTCTTAATTTCTTAGTGTTTTAGTGATGTTTACGTTACTTTAACAAAACAATTTTATATTAAAACCCATCCTTGTATATAGTTTAGTGTCAAAAACGTATAAATTCTGACAATGTCGGACGAAGAAAGGGATGAGTAAGTTTGATCGTTGGATTTTACTTATATTGATTATAAGCGAAAACAGGTGTTCTCAATTTTTAGGAGAACTATGTAAATTCGCTCGTGCTATTTTTTAATCAATGGTTTCACGGTTCTTTGCGCTCCGTGGTCACGGCCGGAGTGGTAATTAGAAGGGACAAGGACTAGTTCGGTAAATTCATAAATTTCATTTTTTATCACGAAATTGCTCGATTAGTTGCCGAGTTTGAAAAAAAACTCTTACATAATGAAGCGAGAAACCATTGTACGGTTTGCGCGATGATTTTTTCTAACAGGAAGTCACCTGCTTCGGGTATTAGCACGCGCCCTTCTTTGGTAAAAGGCACACCCTTCACGCATAATTGCCATGACGATGGTTATTAACAACAGCTAGTTAAAAAATTGACAAATTCTGTGGACCCTTGTCCAGTAGTTGCACTCAATTCGGGATTTTTTGATCAATAACGTATCTACGACCCTGATGTATACAAATATTGATCTAAACAAAAGTTAATTGGATGATAAATTGAGGAAGAAAAATGATACAATTTTGTGTACGTTTTGTAGTGGAAAACGTGTTGGCTCGTAGGTAACCACAAACCACAATGTTGTTTCCCTATTCTTCAGACAATTGGTATACGAGTATGTTATTGAAGCTCGAAAACCGCAAAAGTAACAGTAATTATTGGACCACATGTTGTAAGAATAATTTCATTGTGAATTTTGCAAATCATACTCATGACGACTTACTTAGGAATTTTAAGTCCAGGCGTACCATTTATTTGTGCAAATACATTCAAAATGACAATAAATAACAATAAATTCCATTATCTTGAAAAAACATTTGGAGGAAAAGCTCTATAAGTATTATGAGTACTAATAATTTAATATTATCTGCATTGCAGGTACTTGTAGCACAAATTCTTTTAATCTTTTATTTGGATCAATAATAATTCTACATTATTTGCTGTTTGACTAAGAGATTATGAAAATAGATTTTCCTAAAATTTTGTAGGTAGGTAATTCACCTAATATTTCAAAGGATTTAATCAAAAGAGTATTATCTTTATTTAGGGTTTTTCCAATTTTGTAAACTGTTGTTTATTCCAGTAAACTTATAATTACTGCTGATGACTAATTAATTAATGGAGAATTCAGGTCTTCATGGACTAATTTATTGTTTTTTGTTCTCTTTGCTAAATGAGCAAAATAAAGTAAGAACGTAGGCCAGAGTTAGATTGAAATCTGGGTCTTTTTGAGTTAGACCGCGTCAGTTTAGAAGAAAACGTCGACGTTTCGCCCGCTCTTGTAAGGGGATCTTCAGGACAAGGAAAGGAAAAAAAGGGAGGTTATGGCACGGTAACTCAATATAGCGGGTGTCCCAGGCAGGCTTGGATATAGGAAATTAACATGGAAAATTAGTTTTTATTTTTTTCCGATCGCAGGTGTAACGTAAATCAAAATCTGATTAATGGAGCTTGTAGTGCTCGAAAAGGGCTATCTTATGGACATTTTTGTCGATTCTCCAATTAACTCCATTTGGGCGAAAACGGCTCTCGAAAAATCGAAATGTGAATTTGCCGGGTTAGCGTTTCTAAGAAACAAACTATCAAGTCATAGCAAGGGCTTTTAGTTGACAAATTCTCTTTTGGCAACAATGACTTAATAGTTCGTTTCTTAGTAACGCTAACCCGGCAAATTTAAATTTCGATTTTTCGAGGGCCGTTTTCGCTCAAATGGATTAAATTGGAGAATCGACAAACATGTCGATAAGATAGTCCTTTTCGAGCACTACAAGCTCCATTAATCCTGGGACACCCGGTATAATATCTGGTCGCTACCAGAGGCGATATCTTAACTGTATTATAATCAGTGTCATAATATCCATTTTCTCCTTTTTCTTGTCCTGAAGATGACCCTTACAAGGCAAAACGTCGACTTTTTCTTCTAAATTGACGCGGTCTATCTCAAAAAGACCCAGATTTCAAGCAAAATAAAGTTTTTATTCATTTACCAAAAAAATGACAAAGATTTAAAACACTGTATGTTTTGGATTTACTTTTGGTTTTCGTTGGGCCATTAATCCAATAGGTAATGCGTAGATGACGCGTTGATGAGATCAACAACCCGATTTAAAAATAGGTTTAATTAGTGAGCTGTCACTTTAAAGGCGATTAAATTTACCATCAGCATAAAACCGAATTGCAAAAATTGTTTGTGAAAACTAAAATAATTGTCAAGAGCCATGAAATTCTAAAAGGATCATCAAACAATTACCAGGTGTCCCTTTTTGGGGTTATCAGAAAATATTAGCAACGTGTCAACACATACCTCTTTATCTGTTATAATGTTTCGTGTTACAACAAACATAATGTGTGTATTTCATTCATGAGTAAGTTGAATTACATAATTTATGATAATGAGATATATGTTAAATAAATTGTGATAAACCTTGTGCGAAAATATTTGTTACTGATGAGAAAGACACAGATTATTATAACGTTTGAGACGTCAGACGATCTCTTTTGTCGGTAATAAATGCCATCACAGAGCAATCATCTTGGAATCTTTCTCGGGGGCTCGTTATCAATTCGCTGACCTTCTGAAGAAATTTATGCATTGAACAGTTAGTAGTGTTGTAGCTAGAGCAAGGAATACACCATGAGTACAGTAACTGAGAACCTTATTCATTCAAAAATTGAAAACGGGGAGGAACACGATAATTTTTACCACTGCGATGATTACGAAAATAACGAAACGTGTAAAAATCCCAACTGCCAAGTAACCAAGTTCAGGTAAAAACTAAAAATAGTGCAAACACAATAATGTAAAATCCTTGAATGGCATTTGTACAAAACAGTTTTTATTAAAACTCGTACAATAAAGCTCGTGAAAGTTACATTAACAAAGGACAAAGGTTTGCGATCGATGCACAGAAGGGTTTATTTTCAGACAAGGTAAGAATTCTTTCTTGATGTCCTACTATTCCAGATATCCTGATGGCACCGTACGGCTCAGAAATCCTCATATTGAACTCATGGATCAGGATATACTCTATCACTTGGCCCTAGGAAGCGGCTCACACGATCTTGTCGAAATGTTCGGAGACGTAAAAGTAAGAATTGCTACAATTATGTTTTTTTTTACAAATTCAACCTTGCAGTTTTCTTGACTATTTCAAAATATCGCGATTTGACTCAGTTTACTTTTTGCCTGTTTTTCAGCTTTAAAATGTTTAACGTTTTGTCTATAACATCACTATCCTTGGCTTTTTTGTGTGTTTTGTACGCTTTGTTTTGATATTGATTTGTGTCTATCCATAGGTAAAATTAGGTAAAAGGTCAAATTGACTTCCCCGGTAATAAATCAAGGTCCTTGAATAGATTTTTGGGTCACAAACACGATACAATATCTTCCGATATTTTACAATCAACAATTTTTGCAATAATAAATAACAATCAACTGTCACATGAAAAATATTACAACCATGCTATAAACAAATGATTTCCTTTTACGTTCAACCTACGTGTTGCCCAATTTTCTTGTTTTGCTCAAGATAAATATTCGTAATGGAAAACCAATAATTATGCAATAAATGTTTGTGTTTTTTTATAAGGTTTTAGAAAAGATTTTTTAGTTTGTCTGCATGGGGGGGACCCCAAAGCGCATGGAGGCTTTCGCCTACTACATAATGAAGGAAATTGGTCACAAACTACCAACAGGAACAACCTTGCAAGATATCAGTCAATACTCATACCGTTACAGTATGTTTAAAGTCGGTCCCGTTTTGTCCGTTAGCGTAAGTAAAAAAAACATTTAAAAACGAAAATGACTATGGACGAAATTACAGCACGGTATGGGTATACCATCTATTGGAATCTTACTTCACGAAATAATCAAACTCATGTACCACTCGAAAGCGCGCGATCCGATTTTTTTCCGCATCGGTACTTGCGGAGGAGTCGGTCTCGAAGGTGGTACTGTCGTAATTTCCGACGACGCAGTAGATGAAATGGGAAACCATTATTATCAAGTGGTAAGTATCCAACTTTGAGAGGTATTTTCCCCAAAAACAATTTCGCAGCCAATGTTAGGAAAACCAGTGAGAAGACCAGCAAAATTAGATAAACGTTTAGTTAGAGAACTAAAAGCTTTATCCGATCCTGAAGACCCTTACGATACGGTTATTGGAACCACAATGTGTGCTAACGATTTCTACGAAGGTGACTAAAAATTGTCAATTTTGAGATGTCTATGAGGGTTTTTAGGACAGGGACGGACCGACGGGGCATTTTGTGACTACACCGAGTCTGAAAAAATGGAATATTTGACAGGATTGCAAAGCAACGGGGTGAAAAATATTGAAATGGAAGTTATACCATTTGCTGCATTGACTCATCATGCTGGAATAAGGGCGGCAGTAGTCTGTGTTGCTTTGTTAGACCGGTTGAAAGGAGATCAGGTTTGTGCTGTTTGTAATTTTGGGTTTATTAATGATTTTGATAGGTTTGCGCTCCCAAAGAAGTGCTAGATGAGTGGCAAATAAGACCTCAGAAGCTTGTCGCAAAGTACATTAGACGTTATTTGCAAACAAAAGGAAGAATATCGTTCGATGGTCATGGATCCATGGCTGTTAAAAGTCCGCGACGTTTCAAACTAGTCCAGCAAGAGTCTGAGACTTTTGATTAAATTAATTGCACAAGTTGCTTTGTTAATTTATTAATTTATTATCGACAAGTCTAAGTGTGTGAATTCGAGGATAGTGAATTTGACATATTTGATTTTTTACATTATTAATAAGAAAAGAAGATGAAAATGGTGTAGGGGTATAGGAGCTTTTAAAGTTGAGTCGTCAGATGCACAGTCCTATACTGTTACATTATCTAGTTGTTCGTATTTGTAATAAAATGAATTGTAAAAGCACAGACTATACTTCTTAAATGGCAAAAATAATCTGGATATTGGTTATAGTGGTCGGAAATTATATTTCATCCTAAACATATCAGAGCATAAGACTCGTGACATTTCTTTGAGAATCTTCCAACACACAATTTGACCAGGAAAATACCATTAAGCGGCTTTGCATTTAAATGTTATGTAATTTTAACAGTCGGTAGTCATTTGCAACCTATAAAGCATGGTGTTTTAATGTTGTGACGTTGTAGCTATATACTGGACAATACATTTGTTACAATTTACACATTTTATGGTAGACAACGACGTAGTCATGTGATTAAAATCTGCCTAATTTGTTGGTTACATCGTTATTGTTGAATTTGCTCACAGTTATAGGGGTTGTTCGTATTAAAATTTTATATAAGCATTAGAAAAAAATACAGCATCTCTATACAGGCTTCTTCTTTCAACACAGAATCTTCAAATCTTCGGAAAACCCTAGACTTTTTCATTTATATAATTCCATTACTGTTGATCGATGTTCATTCTAGAGTAGTCTGTTTTATGTCGCCTATAAACAATAAATATTTGCCAGTTACTAAACATTTTTTATTTCATCCCATGACCGATAACTTAGCAATCTTAAAATCAACTTTATTATTTTTATAAATAAATAACACCTATTTATGTGAATTTTATTAGAAAAATATTTATTTAGTTTCACGCCATAGTTTTTTGTTTCTAAGTATAAGGCATTTTTCTGTGCCTTATCATAAATAAATTGAAATAGGAATATTCATCCCATGACCGATAACTTAGCAATCTTAAAATCAATTTTATCATTTTTATAAATAAATAACACCTATTTATTCTGAGATGTGAATTTTATTAAAAAAATATTTATTTAGTTTCACGCCATAGTTTATCGTTTCTAAGTATAAGGCATTTTTCTGTGCCTTATCATGGGTCATAAATAAATTGAAATAGGAATATTCATGTCGTTCTCACAGCAAAGTGCATCCGTGTTTAGTAAGTTTGTTCGTTTCGAAGTAATTTTTTGTTACCAAATGCAGAAAAGATAAAAAAGATATTTTTTGATAACAGTATCAATAAAATAGCACTGAAATTATTACGAAGTGTTAGTAGACGTGAGTATCTTCACAATTAAATATGGGAAGTAAAAATAAAAACGGAGAAATCGAAGAAAACAGGTAATTAGAATTTGATTTCGTGTTCTTAGGGGTTGATATTTGTAGAATTTCGTGGAATAAAAGACAAATGAACAAAAATATTAGTGTTTATATCAACGGCAGTTATCGAAACGTTGTCTTGAAATAAACACTAGTATTTTTCTTCAATTGTCCGTTATTCTACAAAATACTACAATTTAAAAAGCAGCTAATTTTTTATAACGTTTTTAAATTTCTCATTTTATTGTAGTTGTAGAAATCCAGATGGAACTCTTCGCTTACGAAATCGTAATATTGAACATTTGCAAGAGGATATTTTGTATCACCTAGCATTAGGAACAGAGTCTCACGATCTTGTCAAAATGTTTGGTGATGTAAAAGTAAGTCCCATTTTGCATTCTCTGTTGTATTTAAAAAATAGTTTGTTTGCATGGGGGGTACCGCAAATCGCATGAAACACCTCGCTCAATATTTAAAAACGGAAATGAATTTCGAGTTACCCACTGGAACATCTTTATGTGATTTAACTGAAAATTCCCACAGATTTTCCATGTACAAAGTTGGTCCCATTCTATGTGTTAATGTGAGTTACTTATGGTTTTAAAAGTCCCATCAATACCATAAAAATTTCAGCATGGAATGGGAGTTCCGTCAATTGGGATTTTACTCCACGAAATTACCAAACTTATGTACCATGCGAAAGCTAAAAATCCGATATTTTTTAGGATTGGTACATGTGGAGGAATTGGGCTTAAAGAAGGCACAGTTATTGTAAGCAAAAGTGCTGTAGATGAAATGGGGAATGCTTATCACACTCAAGTTAGTAAATTGTGTTTTGAAGTTTGTGTTGAAACAAAGTTTGTAGAAAATTTGCGGAAAAGTGGTCCAAAGGCCGGCAAAATTGGATCACCAGTTGGTCAAAGATTTGATTAGTTTGAAAAAATCCGATGATAAATTTAATGTTGTTGAAGGGATTACAATGTGTGCTGATGATTTTTACGAAGGTAAGTAGCAAAGGTAACAAATAGAATTATTTACAGTTCTGCATAGGTCAAGGAAGAACTGACGGAGCGTTTTGTGATCACACAGAAGAAGATAAATTCAATTACTTAAAGGAATTGCAAAATCGAGGAGTTACAAATATAGAAATGGAAGCGGTTGCTTTCGCTGCATTTACACACTATGCAGGTATTAAAGCAGCTTTAATAAATGTCGCTTTAGTTAATCGTCTAAATGGAGACCAAGTTACTACTCCTAAGGAAGTTTTGCTAGAATGGCAAAACCATCCACAGATTATTGTGGGACGGTATATTAAACAAATTTTATGCAAAAACTAAATTATTATACTAATGTCAAGTATCTAATAATAAAATAAAACGTAAGTTTACTTGAGTCTTTTCAATTAAATAAAAAAAGATTGAAAACAATAATTTTCAGCATTTTTATTGGTAGAAAAATAACTATACAATTTAAAATCACAGACATTCAGGTATACAAAAACTAATTTTAAGCAGCGCTCGCATTTTTTGATTTAGTCAACTTATTAAACATCATTTTTGTAAGTAAAATACTGGGTGATTCAATTAACACTGACATAAAGAATGCCAGAAAGTAAGTAGACATAGCGACTCCTTGAGTTGTGACACCCTAAAAAATGACTATGAAGCTTGACGTTACTTGCATTACAATTTCTTACGAAAGAAGCTTTCGAGGCATTTAAACTACTATTAGATCCCATGTATATCATATTAGCCAGAAGAGGATTTAACAAATATGCACAGTATGTTAAACGACTTAGAGGAATCCAGCCCCGAAATGAAAGAAATTTCTCTAAAGCTCCTACAATATAATTTTTCAAAATTTTTCCACTGACAGGTTCGCGGTTTGACTTACGTGCATTTCCTGTAGAACAAGCTATGATAAGCCATCCCAACCCAATCCCCCATAGAGTCCTTGATACTCCCATGTAAATTGCTGAAAACTCGACTGATAAATTCCTAGTGTACAAAGTAAACAAAATCCATAAATTGAGGAGAGGAAACAAAATCCATAACATAATTCTGGTTCTCTGAAACAATTATTATAACATTTGAAAAAAAAAGTAAAATACTAACTTCTTTCAAAATTAATTTTTGTTTTAATTTAATTACGTAAATGTAAGCCGTAATAACTCCAATTAAATATGGTCCAATTCTGTTCCAGGGCAAGTCATAAATTGCGTCAAGTTCAGTCAGTTGCTCATCCATTCTAAAAATAATTAACAGTTAATTAATTGCACAAAAAAATTAAGACTTACGTTGGAATGTATCTAATAGTGTAAGACTTGTAAGTCGTAGCCAACACATTTCCAATGATTAACAGAACTGTTAAAGCAGCTGAAATTTTAAATTTGCTAAAAGAGAAAAATGTGTTTAATTGCATTTCGTTTTAAAATATTTCACCTCGTTGATAAGATAAGTAAGAATGTAACAATTGTAAAAAATTGGGTGTCGACGGATAGATACCATGACCAGCTTAGGCACATTTCTGATCTTGGATATAAATTATTAATGTACAACAAATTTCTCCACCAATATTTCGGGCAAAGCTCTTCATTATGTTCGCTAGAATAAAGAACCGAAGCTTTGCGGTAGTAAGTATACATCACATCCGTCATCAAAATTATAAATACGTAAGGTGGTGTTAATCTGCAAGATAATAATTTTCGTCCTTTAAAAAACTTTCAATAAAACAAACCTTAAAAATCTGTTGAGAAACATCATAAAAAATTGGGAAATTTTTCGAAAAATCGGTTCAGGTTTTTTCTGATCTGTCTCATATTTCGTTCTCGATTTAAAAAATAAGTAGGCCAATAAAAATCCACTAAAAAAATAAATAAACCATTACAAACCCAACAAAGATAATATTGATACCTCAAAAATAAATACGTGTCCACAGAGTATGTAGAATTGCTCAATATTTGAGCAAAAATATCTTCCGATAATCTGTATGCGGTTGGAACGTTATTCAAATAATCCGATTGATAAAAAACTGCGTGTACCATGATCACCCATAGCATCCCGAAAAATTTGAGACCATGAATGACCGAAACAGAATCAGGTGGCAAGTCGGTTTTTACCAGATTTTTCACGTTTGAATACATTGAGAAACATTTCAAAATTGTGGCAAAGGTGCTTATATTCTCGACTTCTGAGGACGAATTGGAAACAAGTTCAACTTCTGAAGCTAAAATTTGTTCTACTGACTCATTTGTTGTTTTCCAAATTGTTGAAATACCATTCGAGCTTTGTTTTCCTGTGAGAGTTCCTCGATGTCCTGTAATTAAATTTTTTGCCAGTTTGTGCCTCCTGACGTCGTAGCATGTGCCAATGATTGTCAAAATTAGCATCACAAAGACCATTGATCTGTTTATTTAATTATTGTCTTATTTTCGATTTGAAAAATGGAATAAGGCACTTACAGTAAAATTATAGTTTTTGGTAACTTAAGTAACCAAAATCCGACCGGTTCTAATGATCTAACCATTGTGAGATTTAAATTCAGATTATATAAGTTTTGCACCGTTAAATATCGTTGATTAACATAATTCTCGAGTAAGGGTTGTATATCATCAGATGAGCAAATTTGGGGGATACACAGTCCAAGTTGTAATGTAAACTAAAACAAAAATATTGGGATCATCAATCTATTACAATGTCAGAAACAGAAGGTAAATATTTCCTTATGTTTGCTAAGTGTTGACTTAACATAACTTGAAATATTCTGCAAATCAAATAAAATCTCTTCGTGTGTGCATACGTTATGTAGACAGTTTTCGAGTTCTAATTTATTTCAACGTACGTTTTATGCATTACAAAATAATTGGCATATTGAATATAAAGGACGTAAGAGTGAATTTTTGCAATAATTCGTCCCTAATGCCTAATTGCCGACTCTTAATAGTAACTTATTATTTGTTTACATAATCTAAAGAATTAAGAAATATTGCAGACATCTAAAAGAAGGGCAAAACAGTGATTATAACCACTTATATAACACATTGCATCGTCCAAGTCTGCGTTATAAAACCACTTAAACAATTACCATACTTTCCTCGCCAATAACTTTCACATAACGAGGACATAATTTTTCCGACAAAGTTCAAGTTCAAAATCTTACCTCCAAAGGTAGTTGAGTATGGTGCTGCATCGTGCTGTTATGTTCGAAATAAGCCACGACGAAACCTAAATTAAATGGAGGAAAGTCGTAAGGGGTGACATTGAGGCGTTTAACACTCTCGTAACTTATTTCAAAGGGTTTGGTGTTTGATAAGTCCTCACATTGGGCATAAGAGCCCAACCATAAGTTATTTCCGTAGAAGAAACCAGACCCGGGGCTACCGCTAGCATCGAGAGCTACAAAATAATGGTCCTTAAAAATTTAGATTTTATTTTTGATTAGAATGAAAGTAAAAACTATTTTGTTACGATAAGTGACACGGTTTTTGATCAAAACAATATTTTTATGCGGAAATTCCAATGTATAGACACATGTTTTGCAATTGCATGAGCATTCATCAGTTTGGATTTAGGTTAATTGAGTTAATAAAAAGAAGCAAAAACATAACAAATTTATAAATAAAATTAGGTTGTGCAGGTCCGATTCTATGAATTTAATTAGACTGTTTTCTGATTTTTACTATTCGCGTTAGTAGGTAAGTAGTTAATGCAATATCAAATACAAGACTTTTTAATGGCATATATACGTAATATAAAGTAATTTTAAGATTGAAAGTACAATAATAATAATAATAGGTATGTTAACATACCACACAATTGTGGTTATCTTAAAAAACACAACCTACTAGTTGGTGTGTTTTTTTAAGTAGCACAAAAAACTAAAAAAAAACTAAAAACGTAAAAAAACATGTTTTTCTTTTAAAGGAAAGCATGACCGCTTCATTTAAGTGCATTCCAACTCCCAAGTTAAAAAATTAAAAAAATTGTTAAGAGTTAAATAGGTACTATATATCTTAAAAAAATAATAAAATGTCCTGTTTTACTTAATTTGTAACAAAAAAAGAGGGTTTACCTTTCAAGGCCCAGGTTTTCTGGGCTTCCACTGCATCGTAAAAATTCGACAATTCTTTATGACAGACCGAAAAATTGCCATTTTCTTTCGCTAGATATAATATTCCATAAAGCACAGACTGCCCTACAAGGGCTTGATTAAAACATGTAACTATCACTAATACATTTAACACAAAAAGTATTTTAATCAACATTGTCGTATCATTTGAGACTCTTTCACCCGAAAGCTTTAAAATTATTGAAGACTAGTTGAGGCAAAATGTTTTAAAACACATCTGAGTGGGGACGTTTAGTTATAGTGGGGTAGTTTTACTATAAAAGTGAACGTCATTGACGGGATCGTCTGTTTTGAAAAAATATTTATAAACATAACGGGGTCACACGTGTCAAATAGTCGTTTTTATCATTGCCATTTATAGTAAAATTTTACATCTCTTGTACGTGATGTTACCTAAGAAAAGGTGAAAGTATCCGCCAAATTCAAACTTGTTACAGAATGGGATATTTATTCGATTTTATGTAATGGGTGACTGCATAAGCTGATATTTTCGATCTAATTTCGTTTATTAATCATATGTAGTGACATAATAATCCATTGGATTACAACTCAAGTGATATTATATGAAAGTATAATATGCATAATGTGTAAAATAATCCACGTATGTGGATTACCCACGTTTACGTCCACAGTTAATTATATGGAGGAACGGTGACATTGCATAATAGCGTAATGTTTTGTTATTATTAATTTGAAATTGAACTCTAGTTTATTATAAAAAGCATTACTCATTAGGTACTTATGTAAGAGAAAATTCCCCAGGATTTCCAATAATAACAATTTCCTGAGTGGGCGCTGTGAAAATATTATACCAGGTGAATAAAAAGTATGGAACCAAACGTTTTTTCCTTAAATTATTTATTCTTTAAAAAAACTAATTGATGAGTTATAAAGTACTATAAAAATGTGATAATTTAACAAGAATAATTTTTTTTTGGAAATTTCTTTTTTATTTTTGAGTTCTACAAAAAAAATATTTTTTTTAAATGGCAACCCACTATAAAATCATTTTTCTCATAAAAGCTATACTTTAAGGATTACAACTATCTGCTTTATATTTAATTTTTTCAAAAAAATTTTTTCACATAAATTGCAATTTTGTCAAAAAAAATCGCATAACTCAAAAACAAAACAAAATTTCGTTCTGAAAATACGATCACATTTTTTATATTACTTTAATTTATATTAATTATTATTTTCTGGAGGCAAATGATTAAAAATAAAACCGCTTGGTTCCATACTTTATATTCACCCTGTATGTAGTACATACAGAGTGCGCCAGAACTCGCGCCCCAGAGAAAAATGCCATATAAGGTAAGATCCTAAATTGTAACTCTGTTCAATGTTATTTGTGGCTTTTGTAGGCAAAATTTTTGTCCCTTTACTAAATAATTGTAAAAAAACATATACAAGATCATCAGTATCCTTAAATAGATATAAAAAATGTCAAATGTCAAAAAAGAAATGTCAAAAATTTTTGACAGATAGAATTTTTTAAACATTTTTTTCATGTTTCTGGTATCTTACCTTACTTGAAAATTTTCTCTGGGGCGCGAGTTCTGGCGCATCCTGTATGTTGTATTTTATCTAAAAATTTTATCACTTCGAAATCAAAAGGTATTAAGTGTGTTTTAACTTTAAACTTGACACATTTTTTAAAGTAGGACAAAATTATCTCAAACACAAATAGTTACCTATTTATTATATAAGACGATAAAATTGAATTTTATCTTTAAGAGGAATTTAGAATCGCTAATATGCTCGAAAAGATAATGAAAATTTTATCGTCGTGTACAATATAAAATTTTATTCAATCCTCACTAATTTTGTAGTCAATTTGGTCGATATTTATAAATGTCGATGTAAAATTCAACAATAAAATCTAATGTCAAAGATCGTTAGCAACTATCAACCGCAGATATACAACAATGGATGTATTTTTTATCATCGAGACGATAAAATTTTATTTTAACATGAAGAAAAGATAGATAAAATTCAATTTTAACATAGAGGATTGAATATAATAAATTCCTGTAGTAGGTAGGAACCGTTAAAATAATTATACAGGCTGCGCCAGATCTCGCGCCCCAGAGAAAAATTTGAAGTAAGATAAGATACCAGGAACATGGAAAAAATTCTATCTGTCAAAAAAATATGACATATGTTTTTGATATTGGACATTTTTTATGTCTATTTAATGATACTGATGATCTTGTATATGTTTTTTTTTTACAATTATTTAGAAAAGGTTCAAAATTTTGCCAATAAAAGCCACAAATAACATTGAACAGAGTTACAATTTTATTAATTTTCTCTGGGGCCCGAGTTCTGGCGCAACCGGAATTTTAATTAATTTTTAAAAATCCGCACAAAAAGTTAGGGGTATTTATAAAACATTGGGTGCGCCAGAACTCGCGCCCCAGAGAAGAATGTCATATAAGGTAAGAAGATACCAGGAACATGAAAAAAATGTTAAAAAAATTCTATCTGTCAAAAAAATTTTACATATAGTTTTTGACATTTGACATTCTTGTATGTCTATTTAATGATCCTGATGATCTTGTATATGTTTTTTTACAATTATTTAGTAAAGGTACCAAAATTTTCCTAATAGAAGCGACAAATAACATTGAACAGAGTTACAATTTAGGTTAGAGCTTCCTTGTTTCCTCTTATAATAGTCTGTAGCAAAAAAATTAGAAAATTATTTTTCCAACAGAAATAAATAGAGTCAAAGTCCAAAGTTTAAACTCTCATAACTTCGAAATTTTTATAGATAAAATTTTTTTAACATTTTTTCGATGTTCCTGGTATCTTACTTTATATGGCATTTTTATCTGGGGCGCGAGTTCTGGCGCAACCTGTATTAATTAAAATTTTGCACATACCTAGACATATTTTTGAAATCAAAAACAAATCGGCTAAATCTTACTAAAAAAACTCTATCTAAATAAACATTTGATTAAAATTTGATTGATTTTTTTTTTGAAAATTCTCAATATCCCTATAACTGTGTCCGCATTATACTACGTACAACACATACTACATATAAAAAGTAAAAAGGTAAAACAATGTGGTAAAAAAGATCAAAGATCTGCTTCCATTTGTTTTGAAATATTTACGAGTACATACCTAATTTAATGTATATATGTAATGTACTAAATTATAAAAGTTTATGTAGACAAATACCATTATGGATTAGGTGTTTTGTTAATTGCATATACGTTTTACTCTACGCTTTGTCTTTGTCTTCCTTCCATTTTCGTCTAATTTTTAATGCTTTTGAATCTCTCATTCATTTAATGGCTGTGGTCTTATATACCTACTACGTTTACCAATTTACGCAATGAATTTTATGCACCTGTTGTGTACATGTTAAATATGTACAGTTGGAGACAAAATACTTTGGTCGTCAGTGTCACTTGAGTGACATTAAATTGTACAGCATGCTTTAGGACATATTTTTGATAGCAATATAATATGTCATTAATTTGAAATTGTCATTCATCTTAACTTTAAAGCTTGAATTACATTAAACTGTCAGAAAAGTGACGACCAGAATATTTTGTCTCCAACTGTACCTACTTTTTCTTCCAGTTCTCAAGTTCTGTAATTAATAATATTTTACGTTGTGACTAACTTTCTGTCAAAAATTTCTTTCCTTTCATACAGATATCAAATTTTTTTGTCTAAAATCCAAATAAACTTATACTAACGTCATCTCGGTCTAATATTCTAAGCACTTCACTACAATTTTATGAGTCATAAAACGAAAATACTGATTGTTGTTTAAACAAATATTGGTAGTTACGTCCACACAAAAAAAAAATAAGAATATACAAAATAAAAATAAAAGCCGAATAAAAAGTGTTTTTAGGTCTAAGTTTTTATTCATGTATGTATTTATGTACATTTTAAAACGATTTTATACAGTGTACTAATAATTTAAAAATCAATAATAAATAATATACATTTAACACAAAAATAATTTACAATAAATAATGTCAATTCAACTTAAATAAGAGTTTCAATAACGTTTACTACCGCTGTTATATCACAAAAATTGGCAACACTGTCTAGTAAAACCGTACTATTGACATAAAAAATCCATAGCTGAGATGTCACTTTGCTTTCATTTCTCCGCCAAACTTAAAGGAGCTTCTAAATTGCAACACACACCACACATATCAACTACCTGTTGTCATCCATGACAACTTGTTTAAAAACTTGCACCCCCGTTGACATCTGCGATTTGACTTCATGATTACCTAGAGCGGCAGTACCATCTTTGGCAATAAACAATTGAAGACCTGAAGCTATACCAACAATAAATTAAAAACTATTTCAAATTGTTTAAACTCACTTTCAGCCGAATCATCGGCCTGTTCTAAATTCGTATCTTTTAAAATCTCCGCTATTAACCGATTGGCATTCACCCGAGTATTTTCCACCCTTCCGGATACCACCCCCGTGTCGGAATCTTGAATTTGAGTCTTTTTACGACGCTCATAAGCTGCCTTCGCACGATCCAGTGAACCGGTTTCCGACAGGACTAAACTGCTTGAGCTGGGATTTCTACAACACAAACAAATTTGAATTATTTGAGGGCATTCTCTTCTCGATAACACGGATGTGGGGAATTGCTGACGTCAATTACATGCCAGGGATAAGCAATTATTACATCGATTTCACTCTCAATCCATTTGACTGAATTTAAATTAGTTTGGGGTTACAATCAAATTTGTGGGAAAACAGCGATCATCATGCGCAAAAACAAAAAATTACCAAATTTGCATCTGAAGGAAAATCACGTCGGTGAACAAAAATTGTTAAACAAGCAATAGAAAAACGAAAGTGTTACGACAATGAGATGAAAATTCAGTTGTTGTTAACGGCTGATTAGGTAGTATACCATCTCATTGATATTCCAACCTTGTTACTTCTGAAGGCTAATGCAGCAAATACACCTGATAACGGACACGATTACGTAAAGTTATTGAAATTACTCAACGTTGAGTTTTTAAAAAGTTTAATTAAAAGCAAATATTTCTTCAAATTGAGTTACTGGATTATCCGTGTGGCAATTCCAAAGATCTTTAATCCTCTTTTCAATCAAATGCAATGAAAATCAGAGAATGCAAGATGCATGTTATAAGCGAGCTAAAAACAAAAACAGCCGAAGAGGAGAAACTAGTGCTTTTATAGTGCCATAAAACCAGGAATGTGTACAATAAACTAAAATTGATCACATGTTGAAAATAAAGCAAAAACTCGAAGAAAAGCAAGACAACGATTAGAAACACACTAACGTTGTGACGCTGGGACGTCGAATTGTGAGGTTTTGTGAGCAATCAGACGATACAGTGGTAGGCGTTTCATCAGGACTGATGGCCAACGGAGCTAGCTTACCTCCTGATGCACCCTCCAACAATTTGCGATGTGGCAAGCCCCTGTAAATGAACACCCAACACCCTTCATTGCACTGAACAGAAATCAATTAGAAATGAGACACAAGCACTAACACCGATTACCTCTTTGTGACGAAGTCCAATGCCGCGACTGAAAATCTCCGAAAACAACAAAAAACGCGACGAGTTAATCAAGCGTTGATTAGTAATGCATGGAAAGAGAAAACGAAAAAACTACCACCGCCCAAGTCTTACCTTGGTTGGGTACTCAAATGGTCACTCCCGGTCGTCCCCGATCGAAGCGAGTTGAGGGATGTGGTGCGTGTGTCGGAATTGGGAATTTTGGGTGTTGACTGATTGGTTACCGCATTTTTCCGCTTAAGAATTGGTGTTAAAAATGCCGGTAAATTTTCCGATCGGAAAAAACCGCCGCGAAAACGACTTTTTTGAATCGGACTGACTCTCGGGATTTCAAAGTCGCTTTTCGATTTCAATACACCATCCGATTTTTTCACTTTAATTGCATTATCTGCACTTAAGCGATTGTTGTCTAGCAACAAATCGGATTCGTTTGATTGCGCGTTCAGTTCGATTAAACTTGTCGATGAGGATTTTTGCAGTTCGTTGAATTTCTGCGAAAATAAATCAGTTCGCATCTCTAAAGATTCATCGGGAGTTTTGTAATCGTCAGTACTCGAACCGCTAACGTTACTCAATTGTTTTTGGTAGTTATCGGGAGTGTAGTAACGCGAAGTCTCTTCTGTAGTCAATGAACTGTTTTCCGGTGATTTAATAGGAGTTAACGTTTCTAATGTGCTATTAAATACGTCTTCGTGGATAATTGTGTTAGGGATTCGGATTCGGTTAGGAAATGTGTTTACACGAATAAAATTTGAAGAGTTGAGGAAGGGGTTACCATTTTGTTTCCGATTTTGTCTGTGTGACAGAGCCCTATATAAACAAAAATTAAGTATGGCATGCACCCCTAAATAATATGTACATTTCTTCCCATTACAACAAAATTTGTGACTATATTCTAACCTGATATGTCCAGAATCACCCGAACTCGATTGTCTACTGTGACTATGGGAATGGATACTACTATAACCGGAAGCTTTCGATAATTGGCTCGTATTAGATGAGTTCCGGGAATGGCCAGTTTCACACACAACTTCCTCGTGATCTGAAGGTTGTACTTGATCCGTTGCACCTTCCACAGCGACCGTCACCGGAACGCTATTTTCGACCAAAGTGTGACCAATCACCAATTCTAAAAAAACACTAAATACATTCAAAACTTGACCAAAACCGGGTTCAATCACCTGACGACAAAAGTGCCGGTCTTTTCTTGGGCAAACTCCCAAATCCTGAACTGCCACTAGCAATCGACCCTCCTCCCAATGATTCACTCGAAAGCTCATCAGTCCGAGACTCAGTCGCTGGATCTTCGGAAGCAATAGATTTATGTTTGAGGGAAGGAGACGGTCTGCAAAAAAGAACCCTCAAAAACTGGCCAACTCTGCAATTTCATCGCTTACACTTTGAACAAAATATCACCCGATAACATATGCATAGCAATGGAAAACTTGAGCATGCTGTTGTCTTGACGATGTCTGGCGTCATATCCTTCTAATAAAGCTTTCTTGAATGTAACACCCGCCCCTGCATATTCTGCCAGATTCAAGTCGACGAAACCTAGTTTGGTAAAAGAACGGCCGCCTTTACATTCCTTTCGCACGGATATTCGTAAAATACAACGCTCGAGGACACCGGTGGATGCGTTCGCCGACATTTTACAAGGAAAAGAAAAGTTTGCGCCCCATTTCACTTTGTGGTCGCGCACCTCCTCTCTGGAACAGTAAAACGTAAAGTCCAATTTGACCCAATTTCATTAAAGTTCGATGTGTTTTTCAAACGGAAAACATCTGGAGAACAACTGTTTACTCCAAGCCATTTCAATAAAATTCTCTTTAGCAAGAAAATAAGATTTATTTATTCTGCTACTTATTGTGTATTCAAAGAAATAACAAAATTATTATTCGTGATATGACAAAATTAAACAAGCGAAATTCATATTTATGTAAAGTTTTGCTACTTCCGTTTATGGTTATTAATTGGCTATTTCCCAAGCGGAAAGCGTTAGACCATATTTGCAATTTAATGAAAAAAATGATCAAAGAAGCAATATTTTTAAAATAATTACTTTTGGCCCCAATTTTGGTCCACTCTCATATGTTATGTACCCTAACGATTATTAAATCCCCTGATTTCATTAAAAAAGCCCATCAACGAAATTATTTGATTAGATATTAATTCCCGGAATGAATTCATGAGGAGTCTAATCCCGGAACAACGTCATTCAACAAGAAGGAATTTATTTCATTCCGACCACTCGCACACGTAAAATTCGTCCCGAATAAAACAACTTCCCTACATTTTAGACCTAAATTCCGGTTTGTTGCGATTAGAGCAACGATACGTTTGAATTTAGTGTGTGCGAACACCCATAAAATTTAATGTAGGACGAAAGTTCAAGTGTAGGAAGCAAAAACGATGTGTTAAATTCCAGATGTTTGATGTCTGCCCTTTGTAGCGTGAAAAAAGGTGAACAAAAAACAAGCTGTAAATTAATTACTAGTGGGAGCTTGCATGGAAAGCTCTTGAAGCAATCGCATGCAACAATTAAATTGTGCTTTAAAATAAGTTTACACGATTGTGCAAAAATCGACAAGTTCTTTAAAAAAATCAATAGAAATGAGAGCTATTTCTGCTAGAGTTTGTTGAAATAAACCAAAAGCGATAATTTGATGAAGAACACGTTAGTATTACTATTAAATCAAGCAAATTACAATAACATGAACTTTGAACAACGTACAATATTCTCGATAAAAAACAGGTAGGTACTTTCTTTCAATGTGTTTTCATATTGGATTGCTGTAATTTTGCGTTAATTAGTCTTACGTCAACATTTACACAGTACTTTGTTAAATATATACATTTAAGATTATTTTCATTTTCTTTATGTAATGCACCTTTATAACCTGTTCAATGCGGAATTTTGTACCAGAAATTAACTTCTAAATATAGATCATGCTTAAAACAAGTGTAAAATTATTATTAGTCTGTACAAAGATTAAAATTGTGTCACTTTCTTATGTTTCTATTAAATTGTCAAAAAGATCTTAATTAGGTTATAAACATAAACGTTTCGGTAGCAGGGGAATAAAATACAAATCTCTATTTTTACAAAACAGATCATATCTGTAAGTAAGCGCTTACATCATTTTTTCCCTATAATTAATCTTTATTACCAATTCTAGATTTCAAAAATGACTCATATTGTAAAAATAAATGTTTCTAACGCCCAGCACAAATATCTCTCTTGGTTTCACTTCAAAAATTTCAATAAACGAACTTCTGTTAGAAGACCCCTCCGGAAGAGGATATTACGAGGAATTTTAATCACAAAACTTAGGTCAGTTCCGGAAAGGACGCCACAAAATGTCTGCAAAGTTAATTTAGGTCGTGTCCCTAATGGAATAAATACATCAACGCATCAATTTAAATTACATATTTCATAGATAACAGGCCTCTATAATTACACCTACCCTTTTGAAACGAAATGTGTTTCGCTCTTGAAAAAATGAGAGGTTTATTTTTCTTATTTTAGAGGAAAACAAAGTCTATTTATTATTGTAGTGGTCGTTAAACTTCCTACAACAATCTTTTTTCCAGGCTCTTAAAATGACATACAAATGAACGCGAATTATATTCGAACCAAATGAGTTTCATTTCCTCATTACAGATGTGTTCTCAGGACTTATTAAATAGTCGAATTAAATTCGATTTATCCTTGAGCAAGTTTGTAATGAATCATTGTACTCAACTCTCAAAGTGGTAAACATGCTGTTCGCTGTTTGTATAATGTATGTATACTTCATTAAAATAAGTTAATTAACGTCGTCAGTGACACGTTTATGATTGACTTTAATACAGGGCAGACAACCTTAGAAGGTCATTTAATCATATCGTCTGCAATATGTGGGAACTAATAAAACCATCGATTGCTATGTTTACGTAGGCAGCATGAACGTGCACATCTTCAACGAGGTGCACAGGCCACAACCTTGCCGTTAGCAACGATTCGACCTACACATTGTGAGATCTAGATTTCGCATCTTTTGCTGAAACAAAACCGAAAGAAAATTTCTTTACGAGACCTAAATTTGGACAAACCCTGATTTCAAGAACGCAACTTAAAAAATCAGGTCAACTCAATTCCGGACGGAGAATCCAACATTGAGGAAACAAGGACGTTCATGGGTAACATTCCATGTCGGGTCACCGAGTGAGAGTGTTATTATGTTTTCATTGAAATTATTTTTATTTGAGAGTGTAAATAGACAAAAACTAGACCAAAAGGAGTAATTAATGAGAAATTTCTTATTAGACGTAATTACAAGAAAACTTATCGTTTTTTTTTATAAAACTACAAGATAGTATACAAAACAAGTAAACAATTAATATTGTTGCAAGCTGTTTATTTTCTTTGCGTTGTTAGATTTATATTACCATCAAATTCGTATTATTTTTGTTTCAATTGTTGATTTTAGCTTCCGAAACGATAACTAATAAAGCGAAAAATAAGGAAATTGATGCTTTAAAAACAAGATTCCTCCAGTAATATTTCTGACAAGAATTTTTATTAAAGCACCAAACGAGTTCATAAATAAAAATCGTTAAAGAGAGTTCTTTTGTAATACCGTGGAGGGTAAAATGTTATTATAAATATTATTTCACCCTCCACGCGTAATAATTAAAGATCTTTGTTATTAAAAAATGTCATGTAAGTAAAAAATATGGAATTGATTAGTTCACATTTTTTTTCATACATATTAAATATGTATGACAACATCGGTTTCTGATGTGTTCATGAAAAAAACATTAGTTATCTAATTATCTGAAAACACCAAAAACAACGCTTTGCGTAATTAAATCAATTTATTTGTTTTTAATAAAAGGTAAGTAGGTTTAAAAAGAAAGTTATCAAAATTTTATTCTAGTCATTTATTTTTTTCGTTTACGTCACAGGGCAGTCAATCGGATTTATATAAGCCCCTCTTCGAGTGACCTTTTTTTACTTTTTACCATAATCGCCTCATTAATCTCTTTGTTTCCATGTTGCACACAAACTTCTCAACTTCAAAGGGAGATAGTGAAACACGAAACTTCCCAACAACTGATATTCAATTTAACAACTTGCATTATGTTACATTTTCTTGAATAAATTCATCACCAACAATTACTTTCCAAATATTAGATGTCAAAACGTCCTTTCAGTATTGTTGGTGCAGAAACTGGAACGTTATTGGGTTTTGAAAGTCAGTTAATATAACAAGAAAGTCAGACTTCCTTTCTCTTCACCATGAAATTATAAACAATAACAAAAGTGAATCTTAGGGGAAAATAATTATTTAACGAACTCGAAAAGTCGAACAATCATGTTGGCAACCGACCTTTGATTCTATTACACTATTATTAAAACCTCATACTCATTACTGTGATCTGTGAACTTCGCATGTTGGAAAAGTGAATCTTTATTAACTCAACCCAAGTTTCCGCGAAACTGTAAATACATACATCCAAACGTTATGTAAATAACTCGAATCTTTTCTTTGTATAAATACTCCATTCTTCATTAGATAACGTTCCCCCACAAAAGTAATTCGTGTTAAAGGTTGGAGGCCAAAATTCATTCACAACCATTAAACGTCTATTTCTGTTCTCCTGTCAATATTAAACGCGAACATTCTCATTGTCCCACCGCTTATTTAAATAGGTACTCATCTTACCTGCTGCTGTGATCTTGAAAATTTCCTCCATCTAAGAGTCTTATCTTGGCAAATAGGACGGCAGAAACGAAAGGCACTTCCAGCAGTTCTTCCAAACACAGACTTACTTGAAATTTGTACTTCTTCTTTTTCGTCATGAAGGACGCCATTCCGGCGCCTCGTCCGTTTGTCATGCAGAAAACTCGCTCAAGACATCGTTTCCGAAACAGCGATATCAAACGATCGCTTTAAATATGTTGAAAGTAGATTCGGACAAAGACAACTTCCGCTTTCAATCGTGCCTCATAATGAACTGAAACAGAATTAAAGAGACTGTCAAAGCACTGAACGAATTCTGATACGCAAACGAGAAATATGAAAATGCATTAACACTCAAAAAGACGCGATTTTTTTGTTTTTATCTCCAAGGTGGAGTCCGGAATAATTAATAACGATTCTGAGCGGTTGCAATTTCGCATCTTGGGAGTCATAAATTACCAAGATTGTGCAACGATACGCAGCATCATTTATACACTTCGAGTGAAAACATAAGAAGTTTTCATGTATTAATATTGTTAAAAATAAAACAAAATGTTTGCAAATAAATCTGCAAGCTTCTGTGTGGAGAAGACAACTTGTAAGGGCCATGTGTGCTCCATGCGTGGGCTTTTAATGACGAGAACAGTAAAAATTATTACAAAAAATGTAATAAATAAATAAATATAAAATAAAATAAATGTAATACCTATCAATTGAAATTCATTTACTCACAAAGCTGTACATTACATGAGAAACAACTCCGTTTCCACTCTTCACCAACAGCGGAGAATCAAGCCCCAGCAGAATTTTTAAGTGTTATTTTTTATTATTTTTAAAAAGATTGCATAACTATTCTGTACCCAACGAGGAATTTCTTGAGAAACAAAGGAGCTGGCATTTTGGATTTTACATTAATGTGTTACGAGTAATAAGTAAATCACTTTTTCTAAATAGATTTTAGTTTTACTAAAAGTTTCAAGTGTAAAATTATGAACCCCGACAATTTCAGAAGCTAGTACATTTTTAAACCTACCTATGTCTACGTTTGCATGATAAGAAAACCTTCATAAAGAACTGCAATTAATTTTTTCGTATCTTATCTAAAAGCTTGATTAGAGCGAAATTTGAAACAGTAGGTACCGGGTCCAAAAATAGAAAGTCACTGCACCATAAATAAAGAAAAAATAATGAAAATGAAAGTACCACAAACTAACATATCAAAATCAAAAACTAAACCACTAACAGATAACAAGAAAACAGGAAGTTAACACCAACAAACAATTAAAGCTCCTCGCTGGTCCTACAAACGGATGTTGGAGACTGATATCATTTTACAAGTGTTATTTTGAGTTACTCTAAGAAAATCTACTCAATATTTCAACAACACTTTACTAATAGTGGAAAATACGTAAATAGGTATTCATGATTTTAAAGCGAAAATAAAAATACACTAAAAACGTTACTGTACGTAATAGACTACTTTATCTGAAGAATAATAAAGACAAGTTTGTTTATGACGTTAACTATAAGACCTGAGAGTGTATTATAAATGATTTCATGGAAAATTTATAAAACTGTTATCAGAACAATAAAAATTCGCGCTAATAGTCATAGGAAAAATATTGAAAATAATAGTTAGGATGTTATGTAAATATTTCCCATTTCTTATGTGAATTACAAAAAACAGTAACATTAAGCATATAATACAAAATGAAAAAATTAAAGAAAGTTGTAAATTAGCAAAAAATATGATAATTAATTCAGATTTTTAAACTAAAATCAGGCAATTCCGAAAGTGAATTATTTTTTACCAATTTCTCGTCTAAAATTCTTGGTATAATGCACAAGGCCACAGAGTTTCATATTTTTGTGACCAAATTTGTAACCATAATTTCAACTTCCATTCATGTAATTAACCGTGGCACCTTTTGTAACCTACGACCATAAAAATATTTTTTTACAAAAACCTTACACAAGTACAAAAATTTTGAAGTTGTTTGTTGCCGAAAAACCAAAATATTAAGAAAAAAGCCTACACAAGCGACCAAAACAATGAAAAACATCAAAATCACAACAGAAAAAAAAACTTTATGTAATTACATACACCCACTTATTTTCCAACATAGTTGTGATAGCACTCATTGGAATTCTCTAGTTTGGAATTCAAAATATTTAATAAACGATTTAACACTACACTATTACACAAACGCCATTATCGAACTGACAGACGAAAGCGATATAAATGACGGTTACGTGTCATGCGCTGGAAGTATCAAGACTGCGAAGTTTTAAAGTTATGCGAGAGAAATCCTGCAATGTAGAAAAAAAAGTAGAAACAGAAATTTTATTCTTTGGTTTCCCGTTACAAAATCGTTCAGTCTCAAAAATTATCATAACATTCAAGATAACTACACTTGGTATCAAGTTTATTGAGTACAAGAACTAGCAACTAAATTAGATTCCGATCCTTCCGCATTTTCAAACACATCCTCTTGATCTGAGGTCTCATTTGTCTCGTTTGGATGTTGAATAGGCATCGGTTGCCCCACTAGTACTAAACTATTATCATGTCGAGACTCATTAGCCACAAACATTTCGTGAACAGAATGATCATCAGCGTTTGCAAAATCAACAGATCCGCTTGATGACGATGAATCTGAACCAGAATCGTTACCCTCATCGTCTGCATCGTCGTCATTTATGGCAACAGTGGATGGGTGAACCCCTGAAAATGCAAACATTTAATCTTACATTTTTTACATGTAGTAAGATTGCATCTCAAGCGCTCACAAGCGACGTCTTACCAACTTATCATACCTAGCCCATCACCCTGACAGTAGAAATGAGGCTCATCGTGGAGGTCATCTTCAGGTGGCAGAACTTCAGCCTCATCAAAAATCTGCAACAACCAATTAGGAAAGCCGCTATCCTCAGGAGGGAAAACTGATAACGCAATATATTAACTACTGAAAGCAACTGTGGCATTCGAGTACCTGGATCATTGTTACTTTCAGCCACAATTACGCATCTGTTAGGGAACGAGACACCATTGACGACCACATCTGAAGCCTCCATTTCAAAATCTTCCAATAAGTCAACATGCGAATTCACATCATAGAGGGCTTCTCGACTCGACCAAGCCACCTCCACATCAACCGGAGGTTCAATTTCGATGTTTTCCTCATCTTCTTCCTCGGCACCAGCCTCATCTACTTCGATCTCATCAACAACTTCGTTGTTATTAACATTAATCAATTCTTGATTATCAACTATGTCATCATTTTGTTGTTCCACGTCTTCAGCCGGATAATTATTACCTTCCAAATCCCTATTATTATTCGCCAAATCCCCGTTTTCTACTATCAGAACAGGCTCAAGAACTTCCTCTTGTAAAACGAGAATTTCCTCCTGATTCTCTTCCGGTATCAACTCTTGTATCAAGTTTCCCCGTCTTTCCTCATCTTGGCACTCAATTTTATTTAAAGAATTTTCCAAAATACAAGTCGTGATCGACTTGACGTCTTCAACCGACTCGTCACTATCCGACGAGTGGGATTTTTTGGGTTGTTTGCCTTTTTTAGAATCGCGTGAAGGTCCAGCAACAGGATGTTTAGCGATTTCTTGACAAATTTTTTTCATCACTTCGCGGTGAGGAAGATTTGATGAAAAATTAAAGTACTTTTTTTCCCGGCGCACCGCATCTAACTCGTTTATTTTATCGAAATTATCAAACACAGATAATAAATGTGATAATTTGTTCGGTTTATCGTTCAAACTTTTGAAATCCAAAGCAATTGCTTGGTCTTTTGATTGAGGGGACTCGTCAGGGATAGAGGGAGATTTTTGGTAGCCGGAGTCGAATAAAGCTTGAGGATTTTTACTCTCGCTAACTTCTAAGTGTAGCTGGGTTTTGACACCTTTACTACTTACTGCTGGATCATTCTCTGATGAAAACACAAAAATTAAACACTCGAGTAATACAACAGAGAAGAAAGTACCTTTACTTGTGGAGCTGGTCCACGTTAAATCATTTTCGTCCCAATCGTTAAATTTGGCATCATCCACGTTGTATTTATTGTCTGAACCGTAGCCTGACGCTTCGGTATCACTACCGGAGCCCCCACTGTCCATATCAGCCTCATAAATTACACAAGTTTCAAGTTTTTTACTGACTGAATTCCAACATTCTTCAATTTTGTAATTAAATTTTAACAAAAGGTTTCTGAAATACGAGAATTTGAACAGTCCGAATTGACATTGTCAATGCCAAAAGTAATGATTTTTGCTACTTGATAACTGAAATTCAAAATTGCATTATTACCTTATTTCCGGTTCTGACGCAAACGGTTTGGTCGTTTGATACACAAGTCTATGAAGCGGTATGTGAAAACATCTAGTTTCCTCATTGTAAAACTCCCCATCAATGTTTTCAAAAAGGTGCATTCTGTATTTAAGCTCATCTAAGACTTTCTCGTCTTCAGTCCGCAAGTCCTTCTCGTAAGGATAATTAATTGATGCAATTAATTTGTAATCAGAACGTTTTTGAGAGTAAGAGTTATATGTACAAACACCATATGAACGCATTGGTAGACAATTTACGCAATTACAGCCCCAAAAATCGTTTGAAACATTAAATTTGCACGAAGTTTGTGTGCAAACACATGTTTCTTCATAAGTATCACAGATAACGTCTTTTCTTATGAACACAGCTAATTGAGAGCAACAACCAATGCTGTCATCACATCCAGCAGGGCCTAAACCAACACCATCAAAGTGGACTGTGTAAGAAGGGAACCGTGATGTTATATTCGTAGCCCTAGAGGAAATTCACAGAAAATGTTTATAATTAAGAGTATTCATAATTACCATGACTGAAACTGTTCCCTGGTCCATTCAAATTTGTGATCAGCGTGCCTGACTCTCGACAGTTTCGCAAATAAAACATTAAATTCGGCATTTGGGGTTGTGACTATTACTAATTTTGGTCTAATATATGAGAATATGTTATATGGAAGCGCGTCCAGTGTATCAGGATACAGGTGTTCAATGCTGAAATCATACAATATTACATCAAAAAATGTTTCAAATATAGAATGGTTTTTACATTTCTAGTGCAACTACAGCGTCTGTATTCAACAAACTTGGATCAGAATCTGCAATACTCCCTGCGTAAATATGTACAGTGAAAGGTTTTGGTCTTCCAACCAAGTGATCAGCATTTAAAGGATAAACTCTGTATATATAATCACTTAATAATAAATCATCAATATCAATCAGTACGAGTTCACTTAATGAAATCCTATTTTTCAGGAAGACAAAGAAGCCAAACTCTGCACAACCAAAATCCACCACTTTATTAATTCGATTTTTCCATTTTTCATTCAATAAAATATCGACTGTTCTTTCGTATCTCTGCTTATACACGGGAGGATCAAATTTTATATCATTTTCGGCGTCTCGTTGAGCCAACGGATGGTTTTCTGAGCTTAGTTTGGTTATGGTGAAACTATTCCACGATGAAGAAGTTCTTTGTTTCATTCGCTTTTTAAACAAACTATAAAGAAAACTTGTAAACCAGTGGAATAACAATATCATTTTTCTGTTTTTTATAATTGTTATGAAAACATTACTGTCTTGTTTATATTACAAAAAATTAAGTATGACGCTTGCGCGCCTAATTTTGACATCCATTACGCTTGCGTACTTAAAATATTAACTTCGAATTTAAAAATTCGCGCGCAACATTAATAAAAAAAATATTCATTGCAAAGTACTTTTTATAGGGAAATAACAAAGTAATAGGTACAACATTTCTGTTTTAATATCTTTATTTGCTACAAAATATTATATTGGTAATCCAAAACACTTTGCTTCTTTTAGTTATTTTCGTCTTGTCTCTTCATTCTGTAAAATATGTCAAATTTATTAAAAATAATTCATAAGAAAGCTAGATGAAATTTATTATAATAAAAGTCAGTTAGGAGCGAAAGACATTTAAACGTTGTAATCATTAAAGTTCATTTGAACTATGAATTCATCACCGATTTTTTCACGAAGTTATTAGTTATTTAAAAAATTATGCTTACCGTGCCGGTTGGATCTGATAAAAACGAGAAGACCTTGTCATTTCTGCCAAAACTGAAAAAAAAATGAAGTATTAGGAAAAAGAACAATCGGTAAACCTAATTATTAAATTAAAAAGTGATCAGTTAGGAGCGAAAGACAATAAAATGTTGTAATCACTAAATTCATTTGAACTATGAAATCATCATATTTTTTGGTAGATTAATTAGTTGCAAAAAATGAAACTTACCCATTGAGTATTGTGAAGAAATGTTGTGGAAATGCTCCAAAATCTGTAAAATGCATAATGTTAGAAAAAAATTATACTCAATGAATATTTTTTAGTAAAGTGTGATATCAGTTAGGAGCGAAAGACATTTAACTGCTGTAATCACAAAGGTCATTTGAACTATGAATTCATCACGTAGAAAATATGTTTTTATATATTTTTAAATTAATACTAACCACAAATCATATCATTTTTTTTCTGCATGAATTCCTCATGATGGTTTCTTAATTTTTGCTTGAATAAAAATTCTTGGTACATCAATGTTTTCTTTTTTATTTACCGTTTTTCTATGTACATATGAATTACTGATGACTTCAAATCCCGCTTTAAGACATAAATTTGAGAAAAACTCCACAGAAAAATAGTAACTCCTAAAACATTAAAGTAAAAATATATTTATTCAACCAAACTCAACCCACCTTGTTCCATCCTGTCTCATGTAAAAATTATTTGAAATTTTATGTCCGGCTTTAAACCTCAACTGAGCCATATCATATAAACCATAATCTCTAAAGAGTAAAATTCCTCCGGGCTTTAATACTTTGTGGATAACTTTCAAAGTGGTCACAAATTTGTCAGGATGTATTGCTGATAACACGAAGATTAGTGTTGCAATATCAACACTGTTCGCATCTACTCGATTTAAAATATCTTCTGTCGTTATATCAACTTGAAATGCCCTCATGTACTCCTCATTGTAAAGCTCATTTCTTCGCACAATTTCAATTGCTTTTGAAGATAAATCACATGCAATTATATAAAAATCTAGTTTTTCTTCAACCAAAGGGAAAATAAAGTTGCCAACACCGCAGCCAATTTCAAAAAGAACTCTTTTTGTAGTTGATTGGTTGTTTAACAATTCTGTGAATTCTCTAGTCGTCCAGTGCCGGTCTTTGAAAAAACGTGTTTCGTTGCGTTTGTAAAATAAATCCCAGTGTTTTCTAGCATCTTTCTCTAATAAGGAAGCTTTAAAGTCCGTGACTAATCGTGAATCTTGCTCTTGTAAACGTTGCTTGTCTTCTAACGATAAGGTTTTGGGTAAACATGTGAATTCTTCGATTTCTGTCATATTGGTGAAAAAATAGCATCATAAAAGTGTAACTGCGTTATCCAACTAATTGCACTGTTAAAATCGAAAAAAAATGTTGCAAGATGACCACGAAATTAATAAATTTTTTAACTTACCTTAACTCGGGCTTCTAACAACCGAGAACAGAATCAGATTAATAAATTAGGCAACACACAACACAAAAAGCATGCGCAAACCTGAGTTTTGATAACGCGCTAAAATTTTGAAATGAAAAAAACGGCAATAATGTTAAAGAAAGTTTTATTGTACAAACAAACATTAGCACAATTGAATAATACATATTATGTAATAGTGCTGTTGCTTTTTATATTTATAAAACTGATTAATTTAAAGTTAGCACAAGACTTGCAACACATTCTTCTGAAACCCCCAACTTTACAATACTTTGCCAAAATCTCCAAAGAACAGAAATCTGATTTATCCTCGAGACACGGTTTGTGCCTTCGTTTTTTGCAAGCGAGATTCGTCCATTTGGTGTGATTTTGACAATGCCGTTTCTGGCTGGGTGGAGGTGCTTCGCCACACGTGTAAAAGTGCTGGTTTTCCGGTGGAGGACAATACGACGAACGAAAAGATAATCCTTTTCCACAGCTTTCGGAACACTGAAAAAATAAACTCAAAGGAAGGACACATTTAATTAAATTGTTCAAAACCTGTGACCATTCACCGTAAGTCCAGTAGGACAAACACGGAATTCTGTTACATGGACGTTTAGACAGAGGGGTAACTCCTAGACATTTCTTCGGATTTACCATATATCGCCATGTATTATTCGAAAAATTAATTTTATTTAGCATGGCTTGAGGTACGCAATAGTTTTCTCTATGTTGAACTCCGGTTAAGCCACACGTCGCGCTACAAGGTTCCCATTTTCCGGAAACCCACTGAAAATGACAACTGAGAAAAAAATCGGTTTTGAGCAGATTTAATCGAAATGCTCACTCGAACGTATTGCATTTCTCAGTTGTCAAAGTTGGTTTCGTCATCAAAGAGCAGTGTTTTCTTCTTACTAACTTCTGATTGTGGTTATCCCAACAGGCAACGGTCTTTTGCCGGCGGCCGCCGCCACAACTCGCTGAACATGGACCCCAACCACCCAATATCCACTTAAATCTAGTCGACGAAATAGATACATCTTTGTTAATGATGTATTCTGAGCGGAGAGACACGTTCAAGCCCTCCTCAATCTCACTAATTGGAGCGTATACCTTCAGAATTAAACCAGTTATTAGATAAATCTTGAATGAGATAGCTTATTTTTCTTACGAGGATCACCATTTCGGCTAGAACTGGACCATTAGCCCAAATCTTGTGTTTGTTTTTGGTTTTCTCGTAATAGAATTTCGTGCCTTCGATGATATCTGTCCGTAATCCCGTGTTAGGGACGGTAATCGTGTATTTCTTTTTTCTGCGATTTTTCAGGATAAACGCGACGGAAGGTTCGTCCTGATTATGCATGCTGACATTGGCTTCTAATTTGATTCTTGTTGCCATTCGCGGCAAAACAGCAACTCTGCTAACTTCTGCAATAATAAATCGATTACTTTTAATAATCCTAATGGAATCATTGATGCCGGGACACCTCTCTTGAGCTTTCGCCGGAAAATCGATTCTATATTGGAACAATTGGAATTATTTCCGCCGCAAACTCCACACATATCGGTTTTCACTTTAGAGAATAATTGACCGTCGCAACCGAGAAACTGACAGATGCCCTTCAACCCAAATTCAACAATATATTCAACAGACCGGTCTGTACTCACTTGAATACAAATGTTGTCCGAGTTTTCATATGAACAAGGCGTCCCGTCGATTAAATTCTCCGAACTCTCGAACAGTTCTTTCGTATTTTCGCTGATACAAATCAGCTTACACTTCTTATCCACTGAAATCGGAGCATTTCGAAGAAAATAGACGATAATATGATGGCGAATAACACTTACGATCCTCGCTCTCGTATGGTAACCAAGTCATATTTCCTACTCGCGTTTCACTCAGATCCAATAATTTAGGCAGTCGTTTACACTGCTGAGCCCTCATATCCCCCAGCGGCTCGGGACATGGCTTATTGTTACATATTCTCCATTTTTCCGCTACTCCCTCGCAGTTATTCCCACCGTGTGAGGGACTGACAGAAAATTTTACGGAATACCGGATTTTTTTATTGATAGGAGATTTTCTTACGTGGGATTATTACATTTCCTTATTTGGAATTGAACTCCCGTACCGCAAGATCTCGAACATGGGCCCCAGGGACTCCAGTTACTCCACCCTCCGTCCTGCGGATTCAGTATTATGGGGATATGACCAGAATTTTTTTTATCCATATCTTCGCAATACCCGTTCCAACACCACTAGAATTTCATCAAATTATTGACATGGGACTAGGCAGTAAATTTACTTAATAACTACGTCAATCTAAATAAAGGTAAACAAGAACATTACACTGGAATAATTCCTTTATTGCTGTTGAAATTGTGGTGATAAGGGACAAGTGTAAATTTTACCTTATTGAATCCACATTGCGTGCCTTCTAAAGGAGATCCTTTCTTGGTCTTGCAAACTAGAGGAGCCCTTTCGTGGCCGCACCACAGATGTGAACACGGTTCTATTATATCAAATGCCCTGCACAAACTAAATCTGGAAAAGAAACAAAGGTTGGGCATACACATTTCGTATAAGTGAAACGTGTTTTCCACTGAATTTCCCCCTAATCGACTTGATCTGATACAGGGGAATAAATCAGTGGAATAAACAATTTAGGTATTCATTGTTAACGTTGAGGCAAATGCATGAATTTACCCGTCGCCGAACTCCATTCGGCATTGCTCATCCATGCTGAAAGCGTTCTGTAGAGTAGCATTTAAAACAATTTCTCCGTTTGTAGCCGGCGAATTCGATAAACACGTCCATTTCCTACAAAAAAAGGTATATTCCTAGCAGAAAACTCCGTCGCAACTCACTTGACGATTTTTTTGAACTCATTTCTCGAGCATTGCGACCAGAAAAACTGATGGAACGTGGCGGCCACCAGAGGGGCCATTACACTTCCTTTGGCCGATTCGTCTCCGCAGTGATTAGAGTGTTTCTTATCGCCGTCGTGACTTAGACCTAAGCTTTAGACAAAGTTTCATTTTCACTTGACTTGGCTTTTTAACGACTTACACATGAGCCATTTCGTGGGCTATGATGAAGGCACTTGTCAGACCTTCGTCTCGGTTCAAAGCGCAACTTCTCTTGGGATCACAAGCTCCAGCAACAGGGGCGTAGCCTGAAGGACCCCCGATGTCCAAACGAGTCAACCAGACGGCGACATCGTGATGAGGCTCCCCCGGAGCCAAGGACATGTGAAGACGATTATTCCAACTATTGGCGTTTTCGAGGGATTTCTTCGCATCGCCTGGACGCACGATTGATTGCTTCCGGTGCTCGTAAAGTAATAATCTCGTCACGACTAATCGCATGTTGGCCTCCAAGGATGGGTCCTGGTAGATAGCATTCACCTTCGGAAAGTTATAAGTACATAATCTCAACTTGCATGGATAGAACATGAAACATAATAAAATTATTTAAACTAAAGCCGACACTTGACAAGTTTTAAACTTAGAACTTACAATATTCATCAAGGCCAGGACATACTGCTCGACTTTATCCTTCCCATGAAACTGTATTAGGGTATGGTCAACAGCGAGTGCAATTTCCAGCCATCTCGGGGGCAAGCGAGATCCTCCAGATTTACGAGCTGTAACATTTTCCTTCGTAAAAACTACCGATACTTGAGAGTTTTATTTGATTTTTTTACTTTTTGGGGAGTCAGCTGTCCAAGCCGTATCATAAAAATATCCCAACTCTTCGTCTTCTAATTGTTCGCGACGCCAGCTTAAATGGGGAGACGTAGGAAATTTCTCTTCTACAATACTTTCTAGGTCATCTTCAGTTGCGTTATCTCGTATAGATCCAACGTTCCCTTCTATGTCGATCACGTCTCCCGTTAAATTAAAAAGCCACTGTTCTGGTTGGGGTGGCTCAAAGTAAATGTCGTCAGAATGGCGTTTTAGACGACTTTTACTGCACGGAACAGAAAGAAAAATTGTATTCTTTTGTGAATAAGATGGAGAAAAACTGGCTTTATTTTCTCAGGCTTGACCAATGTGATTTATTTTCAAGCAAACATTCAAGAAAAGAATTTAATTTCTCACTCGGAACGCAAAATTATTAGTCTTGCATTACCTACTCACTCTCCTAAACACAAGCCTTGGTAATTCAAATTTATGTCGCAATTTAAGCTCACTGCATCAGTCTGTAATACATTGTTTTAAGAAAAAATACATTGTGTCCCTGGATAGGTGAAACAACTTTTCTAAAATTTTGTAGCATAATTTTAGTTTTCAAAAATTAAGTATGTTTTGGAAATTTTGAAAAAAACTATTTTTCTGTAAGGTAAAGTGCCTTTTATGTGGCAAATATGACAAAAAAATTGTATAAAATTAACATACGGCCTGTATATCAAATTTCACAAATCAAAGAATTTTATTCTTAAGTGTTTAAGAATAAAAAATAGGTGCATTTAGATTATAAGTATTAAATAAATTTTTGACGTTTATGTTAATAAAAAGCAATTATCTTGAAAATAAAGAATTATAGTTGGCCGATGATTTTGAAATTTGGTATGGGGGCCTAAATGTTGATTCTAAATAACTTTTCATAACTTTTCCTTTTTACCACATTAAAGGCATTAAATTTTTTTTTTTTTGATTTCCAAGATACACTTGATTTTTCAAAACTAAAATTATGTTAAAAATTAATCTATAGCTAAGCAGGGCTGAACCCCAAAAAATTAAAATTTAAATTGAATTTTTTTTATCCTTTACAAGAGTCGTTTCACATATGCGGGGACAAACGGTAGGTATATTAAAAAAAAATGTCGTCCTAATGTTTGAAAATTAATAGATTAGAATTATTTATTTTATTATTCTGCTTTGTAAGTCTTTAAAAATCCATTCGTTTCCTTGTAAAAAGTAGGTAACTTTATCGGTTAGGAATATAAAATTTACTTAAGTGAAAATTCTGATATTGGTATTAGACGAAATATTCAGTCGGGAATGCTAAAAAGGGTCTCTTAAATTTGTGACTAACACCTGCTACTTTTATGAGGTAGGCAGGCAGCTCCAAAATCCCGGACTCTCATTATTCAAAAACCTTTCACTGTAAAGTGACTCTCTAGAAATCGTCAGTAATGCACTTAGTAGATTTAAGAGTTAAGTGACAATTTTTCATTATTCTATGAAAGGTTAATTTGGAGAATGATGGCCGTCAAGGAAACGGAAGCAATCAAAATCGTTGTAATTTCACAACTATACAAACTTTATTCTAGATTTGCGTACTTATAATTGACATTATTGCTTGCCTGTAGAGCCGATGCTCTCCTTGGGTCCCATTGGTCGGTTGCAGGAAAAACACCAAGTCACCCACAGCGATGTATCCGATTACATAACGTCCGCAAAATGTCACCGCAACCCTCGAGAACGTCTCAAGGCTACTAACTACCCCTAATTTATAATCACATTGATGAAGATCCTTGAAGGTAACGTTGCCATTACTGTCGACCCATTCGGTCCGCAGGGCAGGCGCCACAACCAAATTACTTTCAGAATTAAGTTCTAAGGTCCAATCTCCTACCTCCATCACTTTTAATTTTCTCGATTCCTGCATGTAAACGTTGCTGTAGATGTCACGGCGTATACGAATTGTTCTTTCGAAGATTCGGGGGTAAACAATCTCAGAATACGCGTCAAAAAAGCGAGAGTTCGACCAAAATTGGAGGGACGGGCTGATGGAATCGGCGCCCGAGAAGATTGCAATTACGACCAACAGCGTACACATTTTCTATTAAACTGGTGCTTCTTAAAGTTGTAATTAAACACATGGCCAGCACAATAAGTGCCTCACATTGCAATCCACTTCTCTGTTAACTCATTTTACATAACATTCAATATAATTAATTTGAGTAAATTTCTGAAGTTGCTTTATTATTAAAATCTCCAAAGACCAAATGTGGTGAACGGCAATAAAATCAATGTTTAGCTATTTATTTGCTTGTGTATTTTTTACGGTTCGAAAGCGTTTGCTTCTGTAAATTTTTTCAGGCGTGATAAGTATTTCAGGTATAAATCAGCGGTTTTGTCGAGATTTCGGTAGTTTTCCTTGATCAGTTTCTAAAAGAAATTCACGGTAAATCTTAAATCGTTTTAGAATTATCTAAATAAATTAAATTACATCCACACACGAAAGGAAAATTTGTAGATTGGTGAATCAAATATAGAGAACGTTTATAATTTTTCATTTTTTTAACATTGCTTCCATAAAGATTTATATGAACTAAATCAATTAGCAACTGGCGCAACCAGATTATATTTTCAATAAAATGCTTCAAGGCGAGAAGAAAATGGTGTCTGAAAGTTTAGCTTATTATTATTTTATTAAGTTTCTGCTATCTTCGTATTGATTAAAGCTATAAAATTTGCTCCCTTTGTGTACAATCTGCTTTAACTTCATTTTATTTACGTGCTCATATTTCTTAAATCGTTTACCAATATTTGGTCTAAACAATGTCTTTGCAATTATATTGTTTTTATTAGAAGCAACAACTTTAGGAATCTTGGACGAATAGTGCTTTGTCATATTTTCATGTGTTAGGAATGTTTCTTTGGACACAGCAAAATAATGAAAACTGGAAATTGTTTCAAGAAAATTTATTGGAGAAAAGAACTACATAATAACAATATGATAAATATCAAAAAAAATTATGGTCATAAAATCTGCTTCACATTGAACAAAATCAAACTAAACATGCTTCGCAATCCTGCAGCTCCGCTCCCGGCATTACAAAAATTTTTCTCATCGCAACAAGTGATACAAGAGTGCAACTTTGTCCTCTCCCCTATGACTATACAGCCCGGTTCGCAAGTCTCTGAGCAGTTGCGTTGCAACAGCCACATTTTCGGTCTTCCGGTGATTTCGTCCGTACTCGTCGACATTGAAATCCTCCTGACCTGACATTTTTTCTGTTCTTTGTGGCATTTAGTATGCATGTAAGAATAATTTCCTGCCAAATCAAGACATCGTTCACCATCCACCATAGTATCGCATCGATAGCACCACAAGTCGTGCTGCTTTTCTGTGGCTGCTTTGGTCCGGTGCTGTTGCTGCTGTTCGCTTGAATCTGGAATCAATAATTCCCCGGTTACCACGACGACTGACGCAACTCAGCGCGTTTTACAAACACGCCGGTGCACAGACGTCAATAGCATCTTTTTTTACAAATTTATAGGTCAAATGGGAACACAAAAGTAAATAAATTTATAGTAAATGACAATCTGAGAGAAAATATGCAGGATTGAGTGCTACACCAACATTGAGCTTACCTGAATGCAACGCGAAAGCTGCGAGGAAAATAATCAAACTTGTGCAACATTTGAGTAACATTTTGATTGCAACAATTGTCGATTTTTCTTCGAATGAAATAGTCCTAGAGGCATATTTATCGGCTTCATGTTATCCACGGAACTGCTTTCGCCATTTTGAAGCTGCGCAAGCCCGCGCTGGTTATCTCTTTTCCGTTTTCGCACTTTTTGCTAGATAAAAATATTTAAATGGACTATTTGGTAGCATTTGATTGACTAAAATGAACCCTTGCAAAGATTAGACAAGTCTGGACTTTTCCCTAAATTGTTTTGTTGTATGAAATATGTGGAAATGAACAGAGGGACTTTACTGCGATTTGTTTCTGATTCAAAATTTGTTTTTGCTGAGGGTTTAGAAGGTTTCAATTCAGCGGTTTTAGTCGGCCTTATCGGTGGTTATGCAGTCGCTGTTGGTCCAGAAAATCGCAGGCGGAGGCTGACGCCGTGGGGAGGATCCTGCATGATCCGGGGCAGTATCACTCCGTTCGTGCAGGCACTAACATTCGCTTACAATAACGCCGTTCTCGAGTTCTTTTCGAATAGTTTTGAGTCTCTTTTGAAGTAGCGAAATTTAAATGTCAAGCACGTATTTTAACTTTTGAAAGACAAACTGGTAAGTTAGTTGGAGCGAAGTGCATGAAAGAATTCCACGCATTCTCCAAATTCTTCTCTACAATAATAATAAGAAGCTGAGCATTTTTCCCAAGTCTGTTTCTTACAAAAAATTTCAAATAAACAATATCGTCTCACACAGTTTATAAAATCACTCTAAAAATAAATATATTTGATGAACAACATCATTAATTATTACACTTAATAAACTGTTCGGGTTCAGTGTGGCTTGCGTGTCGATAATTAAATTTGAAAAACTAATGAGACTAGTATTGAAGATCTGTCAGGTAAAGTAAATAATACGATTTTTTGTTATTAATGATCCTGAGCTCGTAGAAAATGCAGTAAAAAATTCATAAAATCAATGACAATCCAACTGGTCCTTTGGTTTCCATTTTATTTCAATTATTTAATCACAGATTAATTTTCAACTTACTATAGAAAGTAAAGTATAAAAATATGTCCTTATAACTTGAAATCATTAATTAGTTCCTTTGTAACAATTGCCTAATTTAGCGTAACAAACACGTATCTAGATCGATCCTCGTATACACATATGTGTGACGTAAATTATAATCTGTTATTGTCAAACCTTCTTCTCTAAAATTTGAAAATCGTTTCTGACCACATTTTTCATCTTTAAACGCGATGAACGTTACCAAAGTTCAGGTTTACAACATGCATTTTTGTAATTAATAATCTCTGAATATATTTTTATCTTTGAAAACACTTTAAATATTTAGGGAAATCCATTTTGTCTTGGTTCATTAGAGGCACTTTATTTACCGCAATGTACGCATATTTTTCAAAATAACATCTGTAACTGACTGTCTTGTATAATGTCTTGATCATCCATTTTAATGAAAAGCAAAATCTGAATTACATTTCACAAAACGAGTTTTATTTGTTTAATGAAATAATGACAAACTATAAGTTTATAAGTTATAACACTTTGGTATATTATAACGGAGAGTGATTAAGCGATTGGCGGACCTGGCCATCGGCTTAGCTGGGGCCCCATCAAATTCGATAAATTCTTACTCAAAAACTGAATTATACTACTTATTAAAAAAAGCGAAACACTGAGAAATAATTAAAATGTTTTGATTTGCAAACTTAACCGAAGTGGTCGTTTTATGAATTTGGTCGTTGGAGAGCCCGATTTTTTGTGCAGGTCCTTTGGGGTGGTTCCGGATGGATAAAAAATCCAATAAGAACTCTTTTATTTTTAGTCCGTTCAAAACCACCCCAAAGTACCTGTCCAGAAATCATGGCCTTCCCATGATATGAAACGACCACTTCGTTTAAGTTCTGAAAATCTTTGTGATGAGTTCAGAACGCAATTTTAAGAATTTATTAAAAAAAACTACTGGTTAAAAAATAATTTTATTTAATTATAGAAGTAATTTTTAGATCTTAGTCTTTAATTAAAAAAATGTATAACAGTAGGTTGCCATTAAATTTTTTTTTGTTAAACTCAAAAACTAAAAAAAAATTCAAAAAATTTTATTTTTGATGAACGCTCACATTTTAATTGTACTTTACGCTACACTAATTATTTTTTTATTAAGTAGTAAGTTTACGAAGAAAGTGGTTCCATGCTTTTTATTCACCGTGTATAAAATCTTGAGGATTTGGGTCTACCATTTCTCATTTCATTTGGTTCTACTTTCATTTTATGAATATTTTTGTCTAGTCTGATTTGGTGCGGCAAGAGATGATCTGAGATGCTCAACAGAATTCGACAGTCTTCTTGGACAAATCTAGATTCTGTTAGTAGTATATTGATCGGGTAAAAGTATTAACATCATTAATAATTGTTACATTTGTTTATTCCCATAGTTCTATTTCGATTAGAATAAGTATTAGGAGTATATTGTAACTATTCAATATCATTTTTCTGTGAAAAATTATACATTAACGTTTGTAAAAAAATATGTATAAAAAAATATTAACGAGTAGTTGAAATTCATTTGTGTTTTATTTTGAGGAGATGCTTTCTATTTTCCAGACAAAAATACATAGTAAAAAACAGTAAAACTCCTCATTTTTGCTATTTATTAGATTCGAAACTTCTTTCAATGTGCTTGCAATATTACTCTGGATTTATTTGCGTCTTTCACTGGAAAATTTTCACTTACGCACAACTTTGATTCCAAAGATTGCATTTAGAGCAGGATTCTTTCCAGTACTTTTATGTTCGAAATTTCTTTTCTACAAGACCAATGAAAAATTTACGTCGCACAATATAATATCCAGTTTTTTAAAATGTACATATTTTCGAACTGAAATAAAACAACCTGGTTTTGTGAGAGAGAATTTCGACTGTACCTAAACCTAAAGTTAATCATTTTGTACTGTTTTCATAAGCTTTCAGCGAACAGCGGGAGTGTACTTTTCATTAAATGTAAAATTAAAATTTTGTTTTTTGACGGAAGAGATGTATTGAAAGCAAAGAGAACCTAAATGCACATCTGAAAACTTGAAACAATGTTTTGATTTATAATCTCTTTGATTTTTGTTTAGAACCTGAAGCGAGCAGTTTTCAATATTGCCACATCAATTTCTAGTTGTTACTCTTACTTGTCTATAAACATAAAAATAAAAATTCGATTACGAGAGTTTTGTAAAGTTATTCTTGACAACAAACAATCTAGAGACTATAGAAATGATATATTGTTGCTCCGATTGAAACAACTTCATTTTGGAATCTGGAATAAAGTTTGCTAGACTATATAATAAACAATAATTTCAACATTTTAGAAAATTTGAAGACAAAGTTGTATTATTTTTTAAATATGTAAGTAGTTAAAAATTTACAGCGACATTAGCACGATATAGAATTTGATAATTTGAACAAAGTGTAAAATAGAATTTTTAATTACCTGTTATTAAACGAGCTCAAAGCGAGGAAGGTTTGTTCTTATTTCTACTCTGGGGTCAACTGTGTGAACCCTGCTGTATGTACTCGTATCCATTAACAGATCACTTTTATTAACGTTGAACCAATTAAGTTTCATGACGTAATTTATGTTTTTAATTGTGTAGCACAAATTTGTAGTTTTGTTTCGACAATAAATCCAAGATTGTAAAGTTTTCTCACTTTGAATTAATTAGCTTGTTGATAAATTTTAGCAAAATTGATGATATTAACATTTACAAGCTGTTTGTCAGAAATGAAAATATAAAAAGTTTTTATCTGTTCGCAAATCAGGAGTTTCGTAATGAAACTCTTTCACATTTAATAAGGTCTGGAAGTTTAGGACGCAAATCTCAATAACTCAAAAACAACATCTGTGACGTGGCAAAGAGAATGCAATCAAAAAGTTTATGATTCCTTGTTATAAACACAAAGGTTCGATACCTAGTAGGTAATTAAAACTGAATAAGCTTTCATAACAGTCGGGAAAAAAGTCCGGTATCTGGGCTCTTAAGAGTTTTAAGCGGTTTCAAGGAAAGAAACAAGTTACTCCAGTTACAGTTTGTGGGATTTATTTTAATTATAAATTTAGGGCGAAAAAGGAAGTCTTCGGAACCCTTGTCCTAGAACACATGGAAGCATTAAAACAGTTTTGAAACGCTCAACTTTGATGAGAAGTAAACTTCCATTTAGGATCATAAAATGGAATTAAGTACATGAAACGGACTCGTGCGTAATGAATTCAAGAGGCGGTCAGCTTAACTAAATTCAACACTGAACTTGTACAATTCTAATTACCTCAACATTCATTTTAATTACTTTAACGTTAAAAGGCACAAAATTTGTGTTTGATTATTATTAAAGAGCGAATTTTTCTAGCCAACGTGACCCATTAGCAGGAATGTGAGCACCTAATGCTCGAGCATACATTTTACTAACATTATGATTTATGCGCAAATTTGCGTTTGCTGTGGTCTGTGGTAATGGAAATAAACAAAGAGAGGACTCCCGTTATTATCAGTGAATAAAGGTCGCAATTTAATGGTGATAAGTTGTAGGTGCGAATTAAAATTGAAGTTGTAAGTTGTCACACGAAAAGAACAATAGAAAAGAGTAAAAGCGTTTAATTCCTGCACCGATGGGACGCTAAAGAAGTGAATTTTTAATTAGAAAATTCCGCCGACGAAGTCTCATTGTGTCGCTAATTGTGTACGTACTTTGTTCTGTGAAAAATAATTACTCATCTGAGCGCGAGTGTCCTATCTCAACCCCAGCTAGAGATTCATTACGTAAAAGGGATTTGCCGCTTTTATGGTAATCGCCCGTTGGCAAACTTTACCTGAACCACCTCTTCACCCTTCGAAACATTGCAAATCCAAACTGTCATTCCGTACAAAACGAAGGCTTACCGGTGTTGGGTGTATATCGTTTTTTAATGATTCGATGCAAGCTCGGCAAACGAAAGTTTCAGTTAATCTCAGGGATTCAAATTAGCCAAATCGGATATGAAGTTTTAATGGCTTTTTGGAATACTCTTTGAATACTCAACTTGGATAATAAGATGATATCTACTTGCTCGGCGTATTAAACACTCCAGGCTAGATACATGGAAACAGAAAACTCATCTCAAAAATTTACTTCGAAAATATTTAAGAATGTATAATCTGCTTTAATTTTTTTCTTTAACGATGCTTCAGGGTTTATTATTTCCGCTTATTTCAAATAAAATTCACGAGAGAGTGAAAAGAAAGAAGATATTTTCCTCTTTACTTAGTCATAAATTTTAATTCACACTCGCTAGCATATTGTCTCATGCATCAAACCCAAGCACAAATTTTTAAATTAAAATTATGTTGTAAATTCTTTTTAATCCTTAAAAAGTCCTCAGAAATCGCATTTGCACTTTACCCGCTTTGAATGTGTTTTCTTTGAAACAATGATATTGTAAAAAAATAAATTAACAGACTAGTACAGCATTAAATAAAATTTGCTACCCTGAGTAGTTACTTTATTAAATATTGATGTGAATATTGTTCTAATAAATGTGAAAAACATTTTTTATCACACGAACAAAGACGTTTATACGAACCAGAATTAATACATATACCTACCATATCAAGCATAATTTTCTCAAAAAATATCCTCTCAAATAAATTTAAAGTATTCTAATATCTCTGCCTGAAATTAAAATCTTCTAGTTTACAATGACTTAAAATTTGTATCTAACGTGTTACCATTTTTTCAAAAATTGAAAACAACGTAGTTATGAATAGTAGGTATAGTAATAATACATATGTATATCCGTTTTTGGCGCTGCTCGTAATGAAGTTCAGACAATTTGATTTTTCTCGAATGGAATTCTGTCGAATAATAATAGAATTTGGTAGCATATTTATTGCTAAAATTGATATTCTCATGCAATTTAAAATTGTTTTTCAATTGAAGCTATCGATTTTTTCCGGGGGGTGGAATTTAAAATTCTATACTTAAATGGCTAAAGATATTTGCGTATTTGGAATTCATTATGTAGTCTAATCAATAATTTTTCATAAATCACACAAATGACTGTGATTTTGCCGAAAACATTAATAAAATTGATATTGTCAAGTTCACAGCTTTGCTGTTTAAAACTGTCTGTAGTGACTTGTAACGTCTTTCAACTTTCTTATAAAATTGGAAAACTATACTACTGTGATTACTAATTTTCGATCATTGAGCATGTTTTCTTATTAAAGTCGCACATATAATTTCATGCTCTGTTTATAGATGCTTTATTGTCAGTTTACATATCTGAAGCTATAAAGTTGTATAAGTTGTAAAGTTATTGCAATTATTGCAATACCGATGAAAGCTAAAATAATAAAATACTCATACGCATGTGACCTTCCTTTGTACTTAATGCTTTTTGTTACAAATTGCTCAATTGAGAACTTATCTAAAAACGTAATTTGCCTTCAAAAGCTAAACTCTCTTGTAGTAAATTGATTGATGATGATGTAGTTTTACACCTTTTGAAAGCATTAATTGTTATGAATTAAATTGGTTATATCTACATGTAGGTAGTTATAAATAGGTAAAAAATCATATCATGTGTGTAGTTCTGTAATTATTAATGTAAGAAAAACAATTTTATACTATTTTTAAAGCAAACGATGGGTTCATCGTAATCGTAGAGAAGCATTTAAGAGCGTTACATATGCTCACTGTATTGTCACAGTTTTCCGAGCTATGTTTAGAGCTAATCAATAACCACTTCTCCCTGTATACATATTTGAATAACTCACAAAAGCATCTATGAGTGCCTAATTTCCGTAAATTTTTTTTTATTGATTTGTCATTCTGTTCCAGATTTTCGACCATGAGGAGATCATCGAACGCGGTGCTTCAATCCCAAACCTCTGAACCATTAATTGTAGTTGAAGATTCTTATTATGAAGATCCTGAAGACAATAAAGCTAGTGATCCTGACTCGCATCACAGTTCAGAAGATGAATCGCCCACTATGAACCCATATCTTCTGTCTCCATACTCGCGAGACATTCGTAAACACTCTTTGCCGACGCCACAATGTAGTGGTATAACAGCAAGTCAAGTTCGCCGTTTATCAGAAAGGGGAGAGACGGTGGGGCCTGGCCCTCGGCAAGCCGAATTCCTGGCGACCCTTTCAACAGCTCCAGCTCCTTCTCCCGGAGGTCGGCGACATTCTGTAGTGACCATATCAAAAGTTCCTCCCACTTTGTTTGGAAGGAATAGACGCGAATCTGTGGCAGCATTTTCTTCCGGCACTGGTTTTCCCACACGAATCCTCCCTAACAGACGAGAATCAATTGCTTGTCCTCCGTCAACTGAACCGAGAGGCAGCGTTCATAACCTCCAGTTAGACATAATGGACGATATAGTCCAAGCTCGTAAAGTAAGGATGAAGTTGTGGACCACCAGCAACGAACGTGTTTGTGAAGTTCAACCTTTGGATGATTCCAAATCTGGCGACGTACAAAGATACACAAACTCTTCCAACCGGCGGTACTCCGACTTCGTTGGTACCACTTTAGCGCCTATTCCGAGTTCGAGCAAGCGGCGGGCTTCCGAACTCCCGCCCCCCAACACCTGCACAACAACTAGCGCAAGTAAGCCATCCACCATCGGAATAGTTTGCTCTAATACTGATCTTATCTCTATTTTATCTTCCCTTTCAACTTCTTCCACGGAAATAAATCAGTGTGAGACAGCACGAAAACCTGAACTTCCCAAAGCTATTGACCAGAAACGCAGTCGACTGAAGAGCAACAGGTCAAGCAGTTTCGACATTTCTATTCTTCACAGCGATCAACCGAAATCTGTAGATACCGCCAATACGCCTTCAAACTGGTTCGCCAAACGCCATCAACCGATATCAACCCGACCCACGGTTGTTGAGAAAGAACCCGGAAAAGTTGTTTGGGACGAAAGAAGCGGATCTTTGGTGGATGCGCAAGCCTTAGGCAGTGCCATCGAGGGTTTTCTCAGACAAACCACGCCAGATACAGGTAGCATCCAGACTTCTTCACCGCACACTTCACCCAGCACATGCAAAACACCAACAACTAAAAGCGCCGCTGGCCGGTCTAAAACTAGTTGGTTTTCGAGCAAGGGCGAAAGTGACTCAACAGAAACCTGCGACTCTTCACTCTGTTCAACTTTGAAAGACTTGTTTGTAAAATAATCTTCTAGATTCGAGAGCTGACATTGCGCACGGCATTATGTTTAGATAAATCTATCTAATCGGTGTTACAATATAAATGTGTCTTATTCATAATCACTTTGGTGGAGTACAATCAAATATTCCCGGTTCATTCAATTTAGCCATAGTTTTATCAACTTTTCTGTTTGTATTGCTGTTTAGTAAAGTGACCTTCAAAGGTTAGACCAAAATAAAAACAGTTTGTGCTAAGTATAAATATCATTCACATTTAGTCGACTGTTACGGAACTAAGGCTATAAGAATAAAATATCACATTAGCCTTTACCGCCAAATACACAGAAAAATTCAAAAAAATCATTGAAATTTGATTAAAACCAGCATGCTTTTCTTCTGTGTTGGAAGCGTTGGCCCCTCTCGAATATCGAAACAGTATTAATAAAATAAACAAATTTTAATTTTGGAAATTCATTGTTAAGTTAAGGTGCCTTTAAAGTAAACTTCTTACAATGCCACGTAAGTCTGACTTGATTCGAGAGAAATTGGAAAACTGTATAAAATTTTGTGGTCACTTTGCGGGTCAAAGTGTTACCACCTAGCAAAACTGTAAATAGATCATATTATAATAAAATTTTGGACCATATAAATGTTGTGTATAGACAATCTTCCTGAGTTCTAACGTGTATCACATGTTTCAAATCAATTTTGAAGCTACATTCTAAAAATTGTATATTTTAAATACTCAATTTAATGTTATACTGACTCGATATATAAAGACATATTGTTGTTCGATGTTTCTAATCGTTGTTGTAAATAGCTCGATGTACAGACTGTTGTTATAAATGTTATAATAAAGTATGTTTCTCTAATTATTTAAAAACGTATTTTATTTATTGAAAATCTCAGAGGTTTTTTACTAAGTTGCCACACTACTTGTACATAGGTATGTTGTACCTTTCAAAGTTTAATAGTTTTATCAAATATGGAATACAATCGAATGTTCAACACGCACGCAACCATTTATTAGGAAACAAAATATGTTCGCAATTACAATACGGAAAAACACAAACCAGATTAAAATATTTATTACAAAATCAGGTACATTTTTTTACGTTTCTTATATTATAAAAAAAACGCTAGTGATCAGTCTTGCTAGATATATTCTTAGTAAAATCATTCAAATAATATTGTTTGATAAGATTATAGCACCTAATACAGAGATCTGTATTATTATTATTATTGCCAACTTGCACTCAGCAGAAAACCAAGGTCAAGATTAGAATGACGGTTGAACACCACAAAACCACTTGGTACCACTGCGCTTGCAAATAAGCGAATATTTATAGTGTTAAGGTTAACATTATTTATACTTATAAATATATTTAAAATCAAAATGTAAGTAAACGAGCTTAAAAAGATAACATATGAGACAAGGAATTTACCTATTAATTTGTAGACAATGGGTAGTGAATTCACTAACAGTTTGACTATGGATTTCACCGGCTTGATAGCAGACGACACGTTGTCGAAATTAAAATGTGATGTTTGCAAAAAACATTTATCTCATTTTCCAATTTGCATCTCAATCGACAAGAAAAATATCTGTGGTCGTTGTTCAAAATCTCAAGAAAGTTTAACGAAGAACGAGGTGTATGAAGATTTAGCCCAGTTTGTTCAGTTTCCCTGTCAGTATAAGAAGGAAGGTTGCAATGAGACAGCTTTCCCAAAAGATATCCCGATACATGAGGAAAGGTGTGTCTTTCGTGTCATTAAATGCCCCACAAAACACTTTACTTCCTGCAACTGGGAAGGAGCACTTCCCACAGCTCTAGCTCATTGCCAGAATAAACACAATGATCTAATTCTAAAAGACGGCAATTTTGAATTAGATTTAACAAAATCGCACAAGAGTGAAAAGTTGCTGGAATATGAGTCTGGGGTATTTATTGTCGCCCAAAAATTTTATTCCATTAATAAACTAATGGAGTGTGCAATACGTTATCCTGGGTATGGGTTTGATATTAAAGAAGTTTTGTGTAAGATAAATTTTAAAACACCAAATCGAAATGTCGAGGTTTGTTGTTACACCACGAGATTTGATGATGACAAAGTTACTGAGATTTTTTTGGACTCGTTGAGTGATCGCAGTGAATCTTCAACTGTAGTAGAGGGAAAAATTACACTAGAGAATCATATTGACAAGTTGGTTATCAATGAACAAAATGATGAATTTTTGGCTTTGTTAAAATGTTCATCTTGTCACAGGTTTGCTTTACCACCAATCTATGAGGTGGCTTCTAAGACACCAGAACAACAAAATTTGGTTAAATGCGCAAAATGCAAACCACCATTGGTTACATTTGGTTCAGCAACCCCGACAGCTGCAATTTTGCGGAATATTGCTTTAGATAATCTTGCGAACAAGCTAATTTTTCCATGTGAAAATGAGCCAAATGGGTGCACATTTAAATCCAAACCCTCACAAATGCGATATCATCAATTTTCTTGTCCTCGTGGGTCGTACAACTGTCCTGTCGGTGAGTTTGTTGCCTGCAATTGGAATGGTTTTGGAACTGAAATCACAGCCCACATTGAAGAAACTCACGCTGCTTTGATCTTGGAATCGTCAACAGTCACTGAACGTATTCAAGATGTCCCAAATTTGTCTTCTGTCAGTACTTTAAAACCAGATAAAAAACAACCTAATGCTTTAAAGGTCCCGAATAATTTTACCTTTGGATCAATTAGTTTTGTACAAAGAAATAATGTTGAAAATATGTCATGTTACATTATTAAATTTTCAAACCGTTTTTTTCGCTTAAACTCTGCTCAGATTGAAAAAGAATACCACTGGGCAGTCCAACTAATAGGTCCGTTTGAAAAAGATTTTATGTTTGAATTAGAAATAATAGACGCAAACAGAAAAAAATCTAGTTTGATAACAAGACAACCTTGTGGAAGTCTCATGAAAAAAAATGACCTATTTTCAACCAAGAATTGTTGTTTCAGTTTCAACCAAATAGCGAATCTTGTTTGTAATAGTATGATCACGTTTAATGTGAAGATTTACAAGTGATTTGTGCTTATGAAGTTTTCAGAATAAACACTCATTTGCCAAATTTTTTACTTATATTTCTATAAACAATAAATTCATATTTAAAAAAAATATTGTGTATTATTCTACCTAACGTTTGTATGCTTTCGATATTAAAAAAGATTTATAAGGGAATGAAAGATAAGATATTTATTGTGGTTTATTCAATATTACATCATTCAATGCAGATCTGAAGTAGAAATATTATAAATGCAGACATACACTAAACCTAGTTAGTGGCAAACAACTGACGAATTGATCACAAGTTCTACTGGAAACATTATTTATTTTTTGAATACATGATACACCAATCTAGATGGAATGATAATGACATCAGCAAATATTTAAACATGAAAAACCAAATTAAAAAAAATCATCAAATATGGGTGTACCTGTAAACTTATAAGTAATCATTAAAAAAAATTAAACATTTTTATAATTTATAACTGGCCGCAATCGGCGACGACAATCTTTTTCGACGTTTTGCCTGACTGGGAGCCAAAAGATTCGATTTTCTTAACAACGTCCATACCCTCGACGACTGTGCCGAACACTACGTGTCTGTTATCTAACCAGGAGGTTTTGACGGTGGTGATGAAGAACTGCGAGCCGTTGGTATCAGGGCCGGCGTTTGCCATCGATAACACACCGAATCCGGTATGTTTGAGGGTGAAGTTTTCGTCGGCGAACTTGTTTCCGTAGATGGATTTTCCGCCGGTACCATTATGGTTGGTGAAGTCACCACCTTGGCACATGAAATTCGGAATCACACGGTGGAATGTGGAACCCTTATATCCGAAACCGTGCTCGCCAGTACACAACGCACGGAAGTTTTCGGCTGTCTTGGGGACCACGTCGTTTCGGAGCTAAAAACAAGAAATTTTTATAATTTCTGATTGGAAACTCAACAAATTGTGAAAAGAAATGCCGTGATAAGTGATAACACGTTTTCATGTGTATTTCACGATAAGAAGTTTTATTTCGCTGTCGCAATAATAGAGAAAACGCAAAGAGTAACTACGTGTACTAAACCTATATACTTTCTCATTAGCAATGATATGGTAATGGTAAATTAATCCAATTTCTAAAGTTATGCAATTGAAATTTACGGAAAAAATCTTCGTTTCAGACAATGAAAGTAAATGTGTTCGTCATGATGACTCAATCATGACCACATATAAAAAAAATTCTGGAGCCCTTCAGCCTTCAATGTGTCTTGAGGAAAATGGGGAAAAAAACAACTTGATACCACAAGTTAAAATAAATAACGGTGGTTAATGTCGAAATATGCGATTATGTCACGATAACTAGAAAAACATTTATTATGTATAATGTATCTAACGAGATAACTCATGAATTGCACGAGCTAATCAATTTCGCACGTTGGAAAATTACCGATTACACATCAATCGTAGGGACGGAAGTGCCCCAACCTTTCGCTCGAAAAGCCCCATTTTGGTGTCGATCAGCTAATTGCCCAAAATAAGACAGGAACATTGTAACAATATCCAAAGTGGGGGGCTGCGGGGAGGAGGGGACGCCTCAACTAACGCCTATACGAAACCGCCGCGACTTGAAGAATTTCTCACGAAAGGCCGGAAAATGAGCGGAAATCAGTTAATTACTCTCTAAATGATAGCAAAGGTTAAGGTCAGGGAGTGGAATTTTCCCTCCAGCTAGAATTACCGGTAACCGGTGACTTGCAAACAAGCATGGTGGATGTCAAAAACGCCGCCTGAATTACTATTTATATTGATGTTAAAACACGTGTTTGCTGCTTACCTCGATAACAATCCTACCGAGGGGCTGACCGTCGGCAGACATGTCCATAAATACTCTCGGGAGACCCATTTTCTTGCACAAATTTCTTACAAGAGTCGAAGACGACAAAAGCGGACTAAACGTACAGCGGGCGGCGAATGCGCTATTACACGACGAGGAGAGAGAACCGGCTCGACGAGAAAGAACGAAGAAGGCCATGTTGACGGAATTACTGCGGTGCTCAAGCTCAAAACTATGATAATAAGAGGCAAATTCTAGGTCAAGAACTGATAATATGTTTAGCATTTTGCTACAGATTAGACGTAAATTAAAAACTCGCTTTTCCCAGTTTAGACGTTAAAAGAAAGCGTCTATTTTAAGCCAAATGGTGTATAAGCGTTGTTATGAAAGTAGTTTCTTTACTTTCTTTATTAAAATTCAGGGACGGATTAAGGACAATATTTTTTTCTAGTTTTCCGTTTCACACGTGTTCCCCCATAGTAGATAAGCCGAAATCGATTAAATCGCATTTTTAAGTCATGAAAATTGATTTGCACATTTCTATTTTTTTTATTATTTAATAGTCAGGCTTAAAAATTATGTTGCGAAGATCAAGACTATATTTTTACGATTTACGAGTATATTCATTTTTCATTCCTTTGGATCTACGTATGATTAAAACAATACCATTATCATAGACCAGTATCAAAAATTACATCTTTAGAGTAGTTTTTTTGATAATGAAATTTAAAAATGAAGAAGTGTGTGAAACCTCAGATTTAATAAAATTGAAATGTGCAAATTTTAGCTTTTTAATTAAACAGAGGACTATTAAATGAGTTTTTTATTTATGAAACGTTCTGAATAGTTGGAATTTTGAGACAAATCAATTTCAAAAATTCCGCATAAATGGCTGTAGCCGTTTACGCGCATGCCTCTCTCCTGGCCAATCAGCAGAGTCGAGTATCAAAATCCGTCATTGCCGTCATTGCTGCAAAAAACTCCGAAAAAAATAATAATGGCGAAAATTACCTCATGAAAATGCTCTAGAAAATACAAACACAAGTAAAATAGTTACAAGAATCTTGTTACATAGCTTATACGTTGATCAGTTCGACAGACAAGTTCTTTTTTTCTATGTAGTTGATATAAGGAAAAACCGTATTATAAGCACAACAAACAGTTTTTTGAAGTGAAAAAGTGTATTTTGGTTGAAAATGAGTAACATGGGTCAATTCAACAATAAGAACCCTCCATGGGGTAGAGCAAACAATTCCCCGAATATTGTGAACCAACCAAGCCCTTTACAACAACAAATCATGAACCAAAGTGCCCTGAATAACATGAATACGTCCGGAATGGTGCAGTTTCAACAGCAACACCAACAGCAGGTGTTCCAGAATGCTATGGGGCTCCAGCAGCAGAACCTGGGGATTGGGCTGCAGCAAATGGCGAATAATGCGATGGGGGCTGCAGGTAGGTGTCAAATGTGTAAAAAATTAGTGCATATTTAAATAGAGTTTAAACATTTTGCAGGTTTGAGTTCCCAGCTGGCATCCAACCAAATTTTCCAGCAAGTCGGTGCCGTAACCTATCCTAATCCTCGGGGTTTGAATCCAACAGCGTTTCAAACTCAGAATATATCAGCCGTGCCCCCTGTTCAAAACAACTCGAATGTGGGGACCAAACAGCGAGTTTTTACCGGGACTGTGACGAAAGTTCATGATAATTTTGGTTTCGTTGATGAAGACGTGTTTTTTCAAGTAAATGCCTGCGTTAAGGGCTCAAACCCAACGGTAGGCGACCGGGTGTTGGTGGAAGCTTCGTATAACCCCACTATGCCTTTCAAGTGGAATGCTACCCGAATTCAAGTTCTTCCAATGTCAAATCAGCCTTCTAATAGACATTCAAATAATTCGAAAAATTATAATAATTCGAATGCTAACACTTATAATGCTGTTCCGCCGCCGTCTGATAATTCAAACGGGAATTTTGGTCGAAATCAGAGACCTAAAGCCGTGTTGGGTAGAGGCCGAGAGAGGTCGCGGGATCGGGAAAGAGACGATGATGAAATTGAGAGAAAGAGACGGAGGGAAGAACGTATGCGAGAACGAGAAAAAGAAGAAAAGAAGTCGCCACTGCGAAGACGGTCTAGGTCTCCCAAATCGAGGCGTAGGTCGCGGATTGTACCACGCTACATGGTACAAATACCCAAAATTGCATTGGATTTGTAAGTCACAAAGTTATAGATTTGTTCTTTCTGACTATAGTTTTTGTAGATCAGAGGCTGATGTCTTGGAAATTCGTCGCAGATATGCGAATCTTTACATCCCATCTGATTTCTTTTACACTCACTTCAGATGGGTTGATGCTTTCCCTCCTGACAAACCCTTCACTATGAACAAACCTTGCTATTTTCACATTATGAATAAAGAAGTCGACCCTGTCATTGAAAACGATGCCATTCTTGAACCACCTGATGCAGACTACCTCTTTTCTGCCAAAGTAAGTCCAATTTTTGTTATTACCAAATCGTAATTTAACATTATATTAGGTAATGTTGATGAGTATGTCCGGTTTGGACGAACTTTACCAAAAATGTTGTGCCATGGCTGAAGACAAAGATAAAAGAGACAGGGAAAGTGAAGAGAGAGATTTTGTTCATCCCGCCCGATTATTGAACTTTTTAGTAGGGTTGAGAGGTAAAAATGAGACTATGGCTATTGGAGGACCGTGGAGTCCGTCTTTGGATGGCGAGAATCCAGATAAGGATCCGTCAGTTTTGATTAAAACGGCTATTCGTACCTGCAAAGCTCTCACTGGGATCGATTTGTCAAGTTGCACGCAATGGTTAGTATGAATTTTTGACAGATGTCTTTTAAAACTTTATAGCTTCATAGCCAGTCTTTGGACAGTAATCTATAGCTCAACTCTGGACGGTATAAAAGCATAAACACTTTTTCACTTGCATCTATTTTTATTAAAAAAATAATCATGCAAGCTTTACGACCCGTTGATTTTGTCCACACTTAGTTCAGCTCTTGCGACAGTTCACAAAATCTCAGCTCAGCTCCACTAATACAAACTTGGCGATTAGTGGAAACGATTTATTTGTCCCCAATTGGACTCAAGTTTGAAAAACCTTAATTTCCTTCAACCTAATTAAAATAATTAATTTCACAAATTCCGAACGTTTGTAATTACTAATTAATAAGGAATGGCCATTACTGAGTAAACACCTGATACCTTTGTGTGCTGTTTTTCTACAAAAAAAATCAAAACAAATCAATTCATTGAAATTTTTTATGCAAAAAATTATTAAAGTTTATCTAAAGCCGGGTACACACTTCTGTAATGTAATACATGTAATAATATAACGTGTAATGTAATGCTGTTGGCCAGTGTGTACGCAATACGCGTAATGCTCGGCGAACCGTTCGCAGTGTTCCATCGAGAATGGGTATTTGGTGCGAGCACGAAGGCTTTCACAACGAGCGCTGGACGAAATAAATTTTCAGTGAACGGTTCGCACTGAATTTTGGAAGAAACGGACTGGGGCGTTTGTGGAACTCAGCATTCACTCCAATCATTCGCAGCACGTCCATAATATTTGCGTTACACTACACGTTACATTACAGAAGTGTGTATCCGGCTTAAAGCAAATATTATGGACGTGCTGCGAACATCGTACGAATTCTGCTGTGTTTCACAAACACCCCAGTCTCTTTCTTGCAAAGATGCAATACGAAACGTTCCTGAACATTTATTCTATCCAAGAACGCCTTTGTGTTCACATGAAATATCGATTCTCGATGGCATGCTGCGAACGGTTCGCCGAGCATTGTGTACCACTCACACACTGGCGAAAGCGTTACACAACAGTAGTGTGTACCCGGCTTAATAAAATTATACTTTTTGCTGGGCCCTGAAATTTGCAAAACTTGCCAATTTAAAATTTTTAATTCAGTTATGAAAATGACTTCTAAAAATGCGTATTTGATAGCAATCCACTGATTCGTTTGATATAAAAATAATATTTTTGTAAAAATTCTGTTTTCGTACACATTTTTAAGGTAATTTTGCGACAATGTGTAAGTGTTTTTTAGTTTCGTTACACCATGTATGAATTAATGCGGCATCATTTAATTTTAGTGGCGTATTTTTAAGTTAAAACAGACCCTATTGCAACATTTGAATTAGTTTTGTTGGACGTGTATTTCCATCGTTGGGTTCATATGAGCTTTTTTTGCAATCGAATTGTTACTGTAGGGTGCTGTGTTTCGAATAGATGCCTCATTAGACAGTATGATCTTCATGAAAATCATTAATGTGGCATAAGCATGCCGTTGATACCGGCAGGGAGCCGCTCGGGAGTTGCAAAGGTGTGCTTAAATCGTGTTTGGTAGCTAAAGCTAGTAGCACCTGCTCACTCGTTATATTCCATTAGGTACCGGTTCGTGGAGCTGTATTACCGGCGCAGCGAATCGACCCACAAAGGCAGGGCCGTACCGGCGCGGGTCGAAACCGTGGTGCTCTTTCTACCAGATGTTTGGAGTTGCGTGCCTACCCGTCTGGAGTGGGACGGCCTCCATCAGAGCTACAGAAAGCAGCTGGAACGCAGACTGAAAGCCGACCTGGAAGGCGGCGACGACACGCCACCAGCTGACGAAAAGGCATCAATTTTGTTAAATCTATGTATAAAAACAATAGGCTAGGTATACGCTGTGCTGTGGACTGGGCCAGTCTGCACTCTCTACCACCATTTTTGATGGAATGGCCTAACTCCACCCACCTCCACCGCTCGTATGGTGACTGGTTAATGATCGGAGAGAGTGCATGCGATCGAGCGAATGTGACGAGCGATTGATGCGTGCTCATTCACGATCACGAATTTGTTACTAACATTTAATTTTCCGACTTTAGGAAGAAGAACCTCCAAGTGACAAACTCGAACCAACCCACTACTCGCAATTGGATCCCAAGACGATGGTCGTCAGTGCGCTACGAAACGAACTTAAAGCGAGAAATATCAACTCGAAGGGGTTAAAATCGCAGTTGGTGGCTAGATTGGCTAAAGCTCTTAAAGCTGAAGCGGAAAAAGTGGAAGATCCGTCGAAAGATGTTCAACAAGAAGTTGATTACGATATTAGTGCAGATGATAAGAAAATTGAGGTAGGATCAATGCAACTGCAATTCAATCAATCAAAACATTTTGAACAGGCGGAAGAAAAGAAACTGGATGAAAAAGAAAAGGCATTGCTTGAAAAACGGTACACTTTGCCAGAACAACAACACATTTTAGTGCATCCATCACGAACAGCTAAATCGGGCAAATTTGATTGCACTATCATGTCGTTGTCATTATTACTAGATTATCGACCTGAAGACACCAAAGAACATTCGTTTGAAGTTTCGTTGTTTGCGGAGCTGTTCAATGAAATGCTGATGAGAGATTTTGGTTTTAATATTTATCGTGCTTTATATGAACTGCCGGATAAAGTCAAAGATGACAAAAAGAAGAGAGATGATGACAAAAAGAGTGACGCGAGCGATAAAAAAAGTAATGATGAAATTAAAAGTAAGAAAGATGACGAAAAGAAAAAGGACGAAGACAAAAAAGAAGAAAAGGAACAAGACAAAGAGAAAAAGAATGAAGAACAAAACAGCAAGGATGACCAAAAAAGAGATAAGAAAGATGAAGCGGAGAAGAAAAAGAGAGACGATAAGAAATCAGACGACAGTGAAGACGATGAAGAATACGACGATGAAGAGGGAAAAGACAAAAAGAAGGATAAAGAGAAGAAGAAAAAAGAACGGGTTAAAATGTATACCAAAGACAAACATTTGTTACTATCTTTTATTTATTTTGACCAAACTCATTGCGGTTACATTTTCGATAAAGATATCGAAGATCTTTTGTACACTCTGGGTTTGAACTTATCGAGGGCACAAGTGAGGAAACTTGTAGGAAAAGTTGTAACACGTGATTCTTTACATTACCGCAAATTAACGGACAAACCAAAAGATAACAATGAGTTTATTGTTATTGATGATTCGGAAAAAGAAACGAATTTACATGATTTAGCTGTGGGAAATAAGAAATTGATTCCCATTTTTGTTGGTGATGAAGGTCCTTTGAAAAGAATTAAAGTAAACGGATCCGAAAATGAAGAGTCTCCAAATCCAGATGATGGTAAGTATTGACGCGAAATTTAGCAACTGTTCGTAGAAACAATGTATTATGTAGGTCTAGTGACATATAGAGGCGCTTTAGTCGATGTTGGTAAGTTAATGTCGCAATTGGAACGGAGTGAAAAAGCACGTCTCGAAACTGAAAGTAGGATGGTCAGTTTGAAGAATGAAAATAATAAAATGTCAGAAAAGTATAATAAATCCAACAACACAATAAAATATTTAAACTCGGATTTGAAAGAGTATAAAGAAAAGTTACGAACTACCGAAGATGCACTCAGTAGAATTACAGTAAGTTTCTTATTTTTTGCTTTCACTTATAATGTTTGTTACATTTAGGCATACTCGAAATTGTATCAAACGACGCTGTTGGATATTCGAGAAAAAATTGATCCCGTCTTGAAAAGCACTTCAAATAGCAAGGAGGAAGCAACAGTTAAGAAAGAAAATGAAAAGGATAAAAAACACGATGAATCTAAAACAAGATGGGAAAAGGAAGTGAAGCAAGAAGAAGTATTGGAAGTAGATCCGGTTGAAGTTAAAAAGGAACTGTAGGGTGTATGTTTGTATTTGTTTTGAATTCTGGAAGTTAAAGTTGAAGTGCTTGGTCGTGTAGGATTAAAATAAATAAAATGTATGAATTTACCCTCGTTTTTTTCGTAATGGTGACTCAAAAAGAAGATTTTTTAAATTGCATAATAATTTTATTTGGTACTAGACGAGAGAGTTTTTAAATCTTTTAACAGTGGTGATAACGTAATACGAAACTTTAACAATTTTCTTATTCCTTAGTTTGGTATCTTCGTTAATTGTCCTCGATTTTGCCTTCACCTGCAATTTCACAATTGTACTAACTATTACAAATATGTGATACGAGATTAACATTAAGTTATTCACTGCTTGGTTTCGTGTCAACTTCTACAGGATAATCAGAAGCGGGTAACTTTAAAACATAGCTTTCATTTAAATAATCTTTTAATAAATCTGCAAAATATTTGCGTTAATACAAACTAGAATGTCTAAACAACAGTACAAAATGGATTAACACTTAACAATACAATACACACGTCATCATAATATTCATACTAAAAGTGAAAAGGTACGGACAGTCTTATGCGTAATGGCTACATGGTACAGGAGGTGTCATGTGAAGATAATCAACTGAAATAATAAGTCGGGTGCAAATACCTCCAAAAACTATGGTTTTCTGATTGCACACTCGGCGGTGTATTGACTGTATTCTCAACATCCCCACCGGACTGTGGTGGTGGATTTGAAGGTTTTGTCACGTTCACCTCGGGAGACTTGATTTTATAATGAGCTTCATAGATGGTGTTATCCGTGATATCGTCTTCAAAGTAATCCCATTGGTACGGCTGCCGGTCATTCTCTTGAGAATCGAGAATATTGCAAATACTACACACACCCGACTCTTTACAGTAGACTTTGTATTTTCGAGAGGCCTCTCGCAGGCGTTCGAGAAAGTCGGGCATGGCTTTCATTGCCACCCATGTTGTTACAGAAGCTGGAATATTTACTCCAGGATTATCAAAATAAGTCAAACTAAATTCGATGCCGGGTTTGCTCAATTCGGTGTACGGTTTGATGACCATGTAAGACCAGTAGTCTTCTATTCTGTATTTTGTCTGCTGTTTAGGACAACTGGGATGTTTAGTTGATTTGCTGACTAGAAAGAGAGTTTTGTTTTTGTGGTCTACAAGGTAGCGCCGGTTAAACACGTAGTCCCTGTTGGCGAATAACGTCTAAAAACGAGAGAAAAATTCAAAATTGTTAAAACAAGACCTATAATTTTGAAACCAAACATATGAAGGTTAGTTTGATTAGCCTTGGGTTTATTCCATTATTGGCTCCTTGAAGCCAATTGAATGATTTTTTTACTTACAGGCCATTGCATTTCCCAGTAGATGATGTCGCTATGTGAATGTGGGTCTGGGTCAGCTTCTACAATATTTAAAACCACAGCAGTGTTGTCCCACTGTCTTCTATAATCAATATCAATCTGAACATTCAAGAAATCTTCAGCAGATACATCAGAATATGATCCATAAACTTTATATTCGTAGTTTCCTGAAGCATGCAACCTCCTCCATACCACCAGATCATTTTTTTCAATAAATAATTTCCAGTCATCATACGAGGCCATCTTAGGCTTTTCTATACTATCACTAGGTTTTTGGCATTGGCATATTCGCGAGTTTTTGATGCATTTGTTACATAAGGTTTTTTCCTTGAGTTTATAAACGTACTCCAATTCCTTTGAATGTTTCCTAATTTCGCTTTCTGGTATCCTGTTAGAGTGCCAATCATACACGGCGACCCCCAATGCCGCAGTCAGAAAATCACGGCTCTTTAAACCGATTCTTTGTCTCATCTGCCTGACAAACTCCCTTAAAGCCCTTTCCTCCCACAATTTCGAGTAGAGACAGAACATTTGTTGGCCCCTTCGTAATCGGTGGGCCATCACGCACTCAAACTGGTGCGCCCATACCCTTAAAACACTAGCCGACTGATCTTTAAGAGAGCGAGGAACAGCTGCAAACTTGTCTCTTAGGACTCCGAAGAGTTTGCTGTCCTTGAGAATCAGTTCCATTCGTTTTTTAACATGTTGGACGTTGTTTGCGGCTGAAATCTGGCGAAGCATTAAAGTAATTCTGAAAAACTGGTCACTTATGTTCTTGTTTTCTAAAAGGAGAATTTTGAGGTTAGGATATGTCGGGAATGTTTGGGATATTCTCCGACGGTACATACTCGAGCCGGTGAGGGACTTTTGGTGGATATTAGGTAGTTAGGACTTTGTGAACGTGGTGAATGGAATTGTTTCAAAAAATTCGGCAATGGAATACTAAAATTTTGACATTTTCACTACGGAAAAACTTGAACGTAACACGTTATCACTGCTCGAGTTCGTGCTGCCTGTTTGCAATAAATAACAGTGATAACTCGGTAAACAAGATACGCGAAGGTTATGCCGGTAATGTAAGGTAAGTGTTAAATTTATTAAGTGTTCATTATTTAATATCCAAAAATAGAAAATCAGATAAAATATACAAAGGACAATCAGCGCACGCCTTAGGTTAATTTTTGTTTAAATCCACATGGTTTGTGAATTCTAATATTACTCAATTCGCTTATCAGTGCTTTTGATGGAATTTTTTCGAAAAAATATAAAAATTTCGAATATCACATGAACATATTTTAAAACAGAAACCTGTAACAGAACATTTTAGTTCATCCTCGCAAGTCACAGAGGGCCTTGAAAATTTTAAAATAGGGCGGATTACAGTGACTGTAATAATAGTCACTGTATACTCTTTATAATATTAATGTGCATCAAGAAGGTTTTAGAAGTCTAAATTCATCTTTAATTTAAAGGCCGGTTCACACTAAAAGTGTCATTAGCCATTCAGAACAAATTTAATCACATCAATAATAACAAAAATCTTTATATTTGCTACCCTATGTTAATTATGTTGTTAATTTTAATTATTTTTTGCTACCTGGGGTACACATTTATTTAAAAAAAATAAATTTTAGGGAAGTTGAGGTCAAGATTGTTTGAATTTTCGCATGGTTGCCATCTTAAAATGATCCTTTTCAACGACTACTTTGATGCACATTAATATGAAAACGAGTATAGAGTGACTGTAATAGTCACTGCAGGGCGGATGTTTTCAGGTTTGTCCTGCATGCGTGCAAGAGTTTTCGGAAAATTAAATTTTTTCAACCGGGTGCGTTTTGTCTTGCATTTAACAGCATTTTAAAGACTTCGCCATTATAAATATGTACCTGCTTATCATAGACTAATATTTTTTTTACAAAAAAGGTGTATAAGTGGTATAATTATTATAATAATGGTTATTATAAGTATTATAACATTTATAATAAGGTGTATAATTTCTGTTTTTTTTTATAAAAGTTTAACAATGAAAACAAATAGTTTTTGATAATACTATTTTTTTTTTAATTTTTGTGAAAAGTACGACAATATACTGTGCAAATTTGATACGGAATTTTCGTATTTTTGTGTTTAAATAGATATCCATGTAAGCATTATTTTTCTGCCAAGTTTATTCATATATGCACTAAAATCTGCATTCAAACGTTATTTTGATGCAAAGCGATTACCGCCTTGTCGTAAATTTCAGAATAAATTTTCGCTTAAATCATTAGACACCTAAATGTAGTTTTGCTTTTATCGAAACCACTGTTGAAACATTTATTTAGTAGATAAGCAAATAAAAGTTATCGGAAGGTGATAATCTCCACACGATTATGGTTTTAGATTTATCACGAGAAAAATGGCTTCAAATCAACCAAAAATCATAATTTTGGGGGCCGGCGCTGCAGGTATAGCGGCAGCGACGCGACTTTTTGAAAATGGATTTAATGATTTGACGATATTGGAAGCTGAAAATCGTGTTGGTGGTCGTATTTATTCAGTTGAATTTGAAGGAAGAATGGTAGATCTTGGAGGACAATGGTGTCATGGTGAAAAAAATAACATCGTTTTTGATCTAGTCAAAGATTTAGATTTGCTTAGTTCATCGTTTAATAATTACTCCGATTTTACGTATTATTTGTCTGATGGGACGGTCGTGGATAAAAATGTAACGGATCAGTTACTAGCAATAGCTCGTGATGTTTTTGAGGACGAAGAAGCAGCGAGAAAGACGAGTGGGACGTTTGGGGATTATTTTATTAAAGAGTAAGAATTTTTATTAAAGGGAAGAAAATTTACTTTGATGAAACTTTAGGTATACGGAGAGAGTATCTCTATGTGCTGATAAAATAACAGAGGAAACCTCCGGTTTCCTACTGGATTGGTTTCATAAACTTTGGATGTGCTTAGAGTCAGCTAAAAGTTGGGATGAGGTATCACCGATCGGAGCTTATCAATATAAGGAGTGTGAGGGCGATCTCTACTTGCAATGGCGAAAAATAGGCTACAAAACCATTCTCGATGTTTTAATGGTATTACAGTTTACCTTAGGTTTTTGTCTTAAAAAAATATTTTAGAAAAAAATACCTTATTCCAGCGAAGCATTACCAATAGATGACAAAATTTTGTTAAACAAAGAAGTCAATAAAATTGTTTGGGATTTCGACAATGTAAACAAAGTCTCTGTTTATTGCACCGATAACTCGATATATAAATGTGATCATTTAATTATTACTGCATCTATTGGTGCATTGAAACACCTTTCTGAACATTTTGAACCAAAACTACCTCTAATAAAACAAAATGCAATTAGTTTAACGGCTGTAGGAGACGTTAAAAAAATTTTATTGAAATTTTCAAAGAAATGGTGGCCTGAGAATTTGAAAGGAATTAGTTTAGTTTGGACTGAAACAGACCGGGAAAATCTTCTAAAAGAGTTTCCTTATGGCCCTATCAAGGATGGAAAATCTTGGCTGGAATATCTTTACGGCTTCTATGTCATAGATAGCCACCCTGATGTACTTCTGGGATGGGTGGTTGGTCCAATGGTTGGTGAAGTAGAACTCCTGTCTGATGACGTAGTAATTGACGGGTGTATGTTTTTGTTAAAAAAATTTGTGGGTGGTAAATACGATATTACTCAACCGGAAAAAATTTTAAGGTGGTTGTCGGTTTTGTCGGGAGTGGTGTAATAGATAATTTTAGGTCTAAGTGGAGAAACAATCCACATTTTAACGGCTGCTACTCTTACCGTTGTTTAGAAGCTGAAAAGAAAAATGTGACTTGGGAAGATCTAGCTAGTCCTGTTGCTAACAGTAGTAGTAAACAAGTTTTATTGTTTGCTGGAGAGGCTACTCACCCAATATATTATTCGACAGTGCATGGGGCTATTGAAACGGGCTATAGGGAAGCTGATAGAATTTTAAATTTGTACAAGTGAGTGCTTTTGCATGTGTAATATTCTGCAATAAACTTTATTTGTAAAGGGCTTGGGGGTGGCTTTTTTATTTCTTTTTATAAATCTATATACTTATTAAGGGTTTTTAATAAGATAGGAAAACAAAGAGTGCCAGAGTAACGCAATATTTATAGCTGAGAGCATTATAACATCGAAGTGTCACAACTGCTTTTGTGAAACAGTATACCTGATCTCACTTCAGTGAATGTGTTCGATATGGAATGGGAAGCGTATACATTTTTTTCTTTTTTTTACATGTTTGGTTTCCATTTATTGTTTGAATTTTTGAAGCTTCTTTTATTATTTCAGAGTTGCGTTTATTTTTTTTTTTTATTAAAATATACCTCTCGCTCTGTCAGCTGTAACAACAAAATTTGAATTTTGCAGAAAAATTGTCGTTGATTATAATTAGTTTGTTTTTGAAGGTGTATAATGTCTGCAAGTAGGTAATATAGGTTTAAGAAACTTGTTGTGGGTTGAATAATTAACAATTTTAGCTTGAATGTCGTTGTGCTCTTCTTTCTCTAATTAGTCTAACCTCAGCGCATGTATTTCAGTAAATTAAATTAACATTTCGTTGTTTAGTTGCTTGATCTTGCTCCGTAATTCGAGTAAGCAACCGCTGCATCTCGCGAATCTGCCATCTCGAGCCTATCCTGTTGTAGGTCTCCTAAGTTAATTCATCGTAAAGTGGCAATTATTGGGGCCGGAATGGCGGGCTTAGGCGCGGCTACGACGCTACAAGAGCTCGGTTGTACCGATTTCTTGCTAATAGAAGCTCAGAGTAAGCCGGGAGGCCGCATAGATACCTTATATCTCGACGATAACATTCTTGAATTGGGGGCCCAGTGGATCCATGGTAAAGAGAATCCTTTGTATGAGTTAGCGCGCAAACATGATCTCCTCTCCGAAATAAGATCAGAGGAAGGACTGGGGCTTTATATTAGAGATAATGGTGAAATTATTGATGAGGACATAGTTAAGAGAGTGGATTTTGAGGTTGGAAGGATTCTTGAGGAATGTGAACGGTTTGTCGATGCTGCCGATTATCCGAAATCTGTCGGGGAATATATGGAAGCGAGTTTTGAGGAATATTTAACTAAATGTCATGATAGTGACGACTTAAAGGAGATTAAGTGGGAATTGTTTGATTGGCACGTCCGCTTTCAGATTATAGACAATTCGTGCTTGAATTTAAATCAATTGTCGGCGAAAGGATGGGGAAAATACGTTTGTTTAGACGACCAAGCGCATTTTAATCTTAAATGCGGTTATAGTGAATTAGTTAATATTCTGGTCGATAATTTACCGAAAAAGTCAATTTTACTTTCAACACCTGTTGCTGAAATTCATCGCTCGACTCAAGCTTTCGAAAAGAATAGAGTAATATGTGACAACGGCGCTGTAATAACCTGCGATCACTTGATTATTACACCTTCACTAGGTGTTTTAAAAAAACTAAAAATAACCCCTCGGTTACCACAAGACACATTTCAATGCATAGAAAATCTCGGATATCACGGAATTGGTAAAATATTTTTGATATTTGACTATAAATGGTGGGACGTTGATGGATTTCAATTCGTATGGAGGAAAAATTCTATTGATGAAAATAGTTGGCTTAGATATATTACAGGTTTTGATCCTATTTTACACGGATCTACAGTTCTCGTAGGTTGGATTGGAGGTGAAGGAGTAAAAGTTATGGAAAGTTTAAGTAATGAGGAGGTCGGAATTCAATGCATGAACTTATTCAAACGATTTCTTCCGAATCGAATTATTCCAAACCCTGTGAAAGTCATAAGGTAAATTTTAATTTAAACACTGCAGCACTTATATTTTGTCGAGAGGGATGAAAGTGCCGGATTAATTATTCAAGAGCAAGATCCATGCTTAATATTATTGGCTTTTTTCGTGTTTTTATAGAACTACTTGGTGTTCCAACTCTTGGATTCTGGGTGGATATAGTCACATCACTCCGGATTGCGACCAATTAAATTGTGGAATGCAGAAACTCTCGGAACCCATATTCGTCGATGGTAAACCAAGAGTATTAATGGCAGGTGAAGCGGTACATTCTTCTCATTATTCGACAGCTCATGGTGCATATGAATCAGGCCAGCAACAAGCAGAACTATTAATAGAATACATGATGAAAAATTCAAAGCTGTAAATGAAGTCTCAATAAAATTAATGGAATTGAAGTTTTTATCAGTCATTTTTCCGAATTAGGGTTTTGCAGTTAATGAATGAATGGACCATTATTATAAGTTATCAATTCTGTAATGCAAGTATTGAGTGAGCTTTTAATAAATACTCTCCACTTGTATTCCAGTAATTGATCATTAGCTGACCATTGTATGGCATTTAGTTTCCAAAGGGAATTATGAACAAGATCTTACTCAACAAATGTGGTTAGGAAATCAATATTTTATGTAATATGTAATTGACTATTGAGAAAATTATTTTTTAAATTTCTAGTTTTATACTTACAGCTACATTTGCAGTCAAACTTTGCCGTAAGTAGTTTTAATGGTGCTTATTATTCATAATAAAGTTGAATTTTAATTCATTAATTTGGTGTCTACAAGGCATGGTTTGTGCCGTCATCTGCATTCTCTTTTGATTAATTAATTTCTGACAAAATTATTTTCTTAAGAATTAGCTAAAATGCTATCCAATTTTGAACTTACCTACTTAAATACCGTTACAGTGTACGAGTATAAAAAAACGCTTGCAAATCTAACACTTTCGAAAACCGATTGAGTTGCTGTAAACCTATTTAGCATCTTTATTTGAATTCTATTCAACTTAACTTGTCTTATTTGCAAAATGAATTAGTGAGGGATTTTCTCAAGTTAATTCCTTAGGTTTGCTATTAGCACCTCTCCAGAGAATGATGGATTAAGCCAAGCTGGAGTATCTAATTTAAGGACTTTCTTTAGTCACTTGACTGTAAAATTTTTGTGCGTGAACGTGAATATTTTCACAGTTTTAAGGTAAGTGAATGCACTCGCATTTTATTTTTTTCATCTATTTTAAACAGGAAAATCTTTCAGGTTTTAATATAAATATAATTTTTGGTGTTTATACAGAAGAGAGATTTATTTGATAAAGTTTGTGGGCTTAGTACAAAATTAAAGAAAATTAGATTAAGCTTTGGCTGAACAAAGAGTATTATCTTAACAATAACTTTTCATGTTTTCAAATATTCATCTTAAAATTTTATCAATCTTTTAATAAACAAATTGTCTTGTTTAATTTCGTGAAATGAAAGATCTCTGGAAGTTTATATCATTATACACGTATTATTTTCCGATAACTTAATTTGATACGGATTTACGTTGACATGTTATTGCTTCACTTTATTTACATTTCTGGGGAGCTAGCTTCTGTCTAATTTGTGCTAATAGATCTCCGTTTCCGTTTTATTCATTCTGGTTGCTTTTGTTATTAGAATTAGAAAATAAGAAGTGAAATACCAGTGTTAATACTTTCATCACTGAGAATAGACTATATGATTGTATAAAAGTAAGTGGGTATTTGTGAATTTAGTGCCTTTAATACAAGTCGGAACTTTTTAGTTTTTAAAGACAATTAGGAAAACGCTGAATTAAAGAAATAGCTTTGAAAAATAAATGACAAAAGATAAAACCCACATTTACTTGATAAACAGTAAATCGATTACTTTTTTATTTCATTTTACCTAAGCTTTTCTCGACTTTTTTGCTGATCCAAACGGCTTCAAATTTGTTTGTTACAAAATGATTAATTGAAATAGTGAAAAATACTTTTCCTGTTATTTTCGTTTCGTTTTTTAAGTTGTGGTAAGTATTTAGGAAATTAAATGCTGAGTGTTGTTTGTTTGACTGCAATGTAATGAAAGTCGGTTACGCGTTTAAACTAAATTATACTATAATTTTCATTGATCATTCGACGAAATTGAGTAAACTGTCGTGACAATTGAGAGAAATTTTACGATTAGTATAAAGGTTATTTTTATAGCTGTTTTTTATTGTGATTGTTGAAACCTCTGAATATTGCCACTGGGAGCTTTAAAAGAAAAGCTTTGTTTTAATTATTTCTCGGGCTTTTTAATTTTTATAGGAATTTATTGACTAAAAAATTAAGATTAAATGAGGTTTTTAGTAAATTTATCCTATCAAGCAAATGATTTCTGTGTCTTGTATACTGAGAGTTGGTAATATCCACAATGACATATTTATGATGTTGTATTATGATTTATGATATTTTAGACGCAATTAATTATAATAACTTTCAAGTTTCAAGACAATTTAAATTGTCTTTTGCTTGTGTATCTAGACCTAAAAACAAGGAAATGTAATTTTTCTTATAGGACAAAAGTGGGTAAACCGATAAAATTGTATTTTCTTGATAGTCTTTTTGAGAATTTTGATGCAGTTTAATTATAAATAAATTAAGTGCTTTATTGGAATGATATTTTATAGAACACCATAAGGTGTCGCAAGTGGAACAAAAATTTATATTTTTTTCCTTAAGGGACTCGTTAAAATTATACGTTTCCCACTTACTTTAAAAACCTGCTGCTACCCATAAATGATTTTGATGATTACTTTTTGATTAAAAAAGTGTAGTTATTTTTTTATTTCAAAGTTTAGAAATGTATAAAAACTTTTCAATAAAAAACATCGGAATGAGTCATCTTTCTCCTGCTATGTTCGATTACTGTTATGTTTAAATATTTGAATATACTGTACCTGTCTTATAAAAACCTTGATCAGCCTGGATTATTTACGAAGGTGGTGGTTCTCTCCGGGCGCAAGCTTTTCGCGCAACAACAGATTCTCTGAAATAAAATTTATACGCTTCTCCCAACCGTAGCGCATTTAAAAGCTGCCGGAGCTTGAAACTTGTCGCTACAAGCAGTGCATAGTGAAAGTGAACGAAAAATGTGAAATACTATTTTTTTCTCTTTTGAATTCAATCCAAAATCATGGACGCGGATAATTACACACAAAACGTCCAAAACGATGTTCCGCCCGAAGTTTGGGAAATCATTCACGAATTTTTGCTGGGCCAAGCCAATCCGAAATTAGACTTGCGGAAACCACATCTAAGACCTTCTGTAACTAGTAGTTACCCCTTCATATTATTCATGTACTCCCTTTTGATTGTCACGGGAGTGGCGCTCAATTTGTCGGTTTTCATCCACATCGTTAAAAATAAACTTTACAACGATGTCACTTGTAGTTTCGTCCTCAACAATGTCATTAGTGATATTGTCAAATGTGTGGTAGTTTTGCCGATAACTCTCTACGTTCTATTGATAAATAACTGGATTTTGGGCGAACTGCTCTGCTCGTTTTTACCCATGCTACAGGTGAGTTTCAAAAGTTTGAAATATTGGGCCGTTTTATATCAAGTACATCGAATTTAATTATATTTTCAATCGGATGGCTGTACTAAAGGTTCAGTTCGGGAATCTAATTGAAATCAAATTCTACAAAATTTGCTGCTGTCGAGATAATTATTTAAATTTTAATGTAATTTTAAATATAGTACATATCTGCATAGAAAACAGTAACGGAATTTTCTAAAATTTATTTTAATGTAATTAAGTGGTAATTGTTTGTGGCAAAAATTAGAGTGATTTTTCGTAAATACAATAAAGTAAATTAAATAAAAAAATATTGTTTTTCTATTTCTATGTCACAATGAGCATTTTGTGTTACTGAAAACAGTGGCACGAAATGCAGCTTTGTAACACTGTTTTTGGCAACATTTTGCTATTACTGACTGAATGCGGTCGTGAAAAGTCGTTGTAGATTAACGTATTTCATCGAAACTAACACAATTTGAGCAACTTAAATTCAATCCAAAAAGCGTTCAATAGAAAAAAAAATTGTTACAACCTCTCATTGCGATTCTATTAAAACACTCTTCACTGCGTGGCTCACAGTGAAAGTGTTTGTTTCACCTGTTTTTTAATATAGGTACTATTTTATTACCGAATTTTACATCAAAAACAAATTGTTTTATTGTTAGATTATTGACACTCTGTTTCAACAGCCAAGTTTTGTATTGAGTCAATAAACGGTTTACATAAAGATACATATATACATAGTGGTATTTGCTCTTAAACTGATGTGAAGTTAGAAGGTTGGTTGTTTACTGGAGTTAACATAACACTGACTATCGATGCGATTATTAATTTCAAATTCTAGAAGTAAGGAAGGAAATTTAAAATTTGAATTGGAAGTGCCAGTATTGACGTTGAGTACTCGAGTTTTAATAATTAACTATCCTATATTCATCAGCCAACAGGGAAGCTTATTTGAAAACACAGTTCCTCATTCTATTATATTCGATATTCTATTTCCAAACGAAACGATGTTATTGACAGGAGTTTTTGTGCATTATTATTACTTTGGTAAAGAATATGTTTTTATTGATTAAAAAATATCGTTTATATCAAGTTTGGCTAGGTGATAAAAGATTTTCTGGTGTGACATTTAAGAAAATCGTTAGCTTTCGAGCATCGGCAAATTGAGTTTGAGTAAATATAAAGTTATATTTGGTTGAAACTATAATAAACCCAACTGGAAGAACAGACTTTTACCTGTTTTATTGTCGTATTAATATGTGAATTCGAAACACATTTACTTACAGTTACTGTAATCTGTTGTGGTATTTCCTTCCAAACGAGACGAAAAAAGTACGTGAGACTGAAATTACAGTTTTTTCAGTGTCTCATAAAAATTTATGAGACTTCTTATGTCAAGAATCACATCAAAGTTAATGCGACTAATTTTATTTATAAGTTTCATAAACATGCATCATTGCGTATCGTAATTTTCTTTCTGTTTACCTACATGATTGAACGAACGAATATTTACTCTCATTGTATCTACTGCTGAGCCAGAAATGACCTCTAGATATATGGAAATTTCGATTTTTCTTTATTTGTTATGCTGATGATCAGGCTTTCTGCTTGTTTACAAAACTCAACTTTCGATCGGTATTTTTAGCGATTTTTATCAGCGATATTTTGTTTTACAATAATTATATTTATTTGAAAATATGTTACACATGTAAACTGTAGTGACACATAAATGTATAATATTAGGTACCTATTATTATTTTAACGAAAATGTTTTTAATTATCTTGTTTTTTGTTTGTTTAATTTTTACTTTGTATTAGTTTATGAAATGTAAACTGTGTTTTACTTAACAGTTTTTAAATAGTAGACCAAGAGGTGCTTTTATCAATTATATTGATTAATTTATCCCGGCGCATCCACCATTATTATCTCTATCTGAACGAGTTAAATTTAGATCATTATAATAGAGAGTTTTTGGCAAATCGTAAAAAAGTTTAACGTATTACGACAAATGGCCGTTGCTAAGAAATCAAAAAATGAAACGTTTACGTAAACAATGCGTAAACGTCTTTGAATTGACGGAATATCCCTTTCGCCCTTGAAAAACCTACACACGACAATTACTAAACGATTTGCAAAAACTTTCTAGTAAATTGTACATTAATTAAACGAATTTTATTCAATCCTCTATGTTGAAATTGAATTTTATCTACTCTTTTCTTCGTGTTAAAATGAAATTTTATCGTCTAGATGATAAAAAATACATCCATTGTTGTATATCTGCGGTTGTTAGTTGCTAAAGATCTTTGACACAAGGTTTCATTGTTGAATTTTACTTTGACATTTATAAATATCGACCAAATTGACTACAAAATTAGTGAGGATTGAATAAAATTTTATATTGTACACGACGATAAAATTTTCATTATCTTTTCGAGCATATTAGCTCTAAATTGCTCTCAAAGATAAAATTCAATTTTATCGTTTTGAATAATAATAAACTACTATTTTTTTTATATTTGGTAGTTTTTGACCTTGTGAACTCTCTATTGCAGTGAATCTAGATTTAATTTAATCCAATGGAAAACCTCAAAAAGTTCAGAAGCGTATTATGCTGATTTAAAGGGTATTTAATTAAATCGAGCTAGAATTTGAGATTATAAATAGAATTAAAGGAATAGAAAAAGTGTAGTTTTTGTATATGTTTTTTTAGGTAATTTTTGGTATGTACTATAATTTGTGGATTTGTTCGAGGTACTAATTGTGTTAAAACCGATGAAAACCAAAATAAAGTTAACAAAAGCTGGCGCATATTTTGTTCGTCATAATAAAATTAATCCAATTAAGCAGAGTCTTGTTTTGAAGAAAATTAATTTGTTAATTAGTTTGCGTTTATTGTGTGCTTCTTGCCATTATAATAACGTCAATAATTTTATTTATTGGTTTTGATTAATGTTGAAAATATGAAAATAAATTCTCCACATGGATTTGACAATAGCAATAAAAATAAACGTAAAAGACCTTTTTCCCATCAACAACAAGTTGGGTTTTAGAAATACTTATTTTTTATTAGTTGTGTTAACTACAATTTATATTCAAAAACAAGATAAATAGCTTATTTGAATAGAAATTTCAGTTGTTTTGATATTCCAGTCTTCATTAGAGTTTCATTTAATCCAATAATTAATATTTTTGTTGGAATATGCAACCACCAACTTGTTAATACTATATATACAATGTTTACTTTGTTAAGTAAGATTATCCTATTTTCAAGTTAAATCGCACGTAGTGATGATTTTTTGCGGGCTGTTTGTGATAAATTGCGTTGATTATTCTATTTTTGAGATCTGATCTGTTTGTGGTCTGCTGTAATATTATTATCATTAGCTCGTGGAGGAAAATCAGTAGTTGCTTTGATGGAAGCGTTTGAAAATTAGTTGTGATAATTATAACATTAACCTTGGTTATTAAATGGTAACAAATGTACCACAAACAAATTAGTTGGATATTCTAACTAAAATAAACAAGTTGCAAGATTGGATAAATAGCTATGTCGTCTGATTTACTGCTAATTACATTATTCTATTTGTTTCAATTTTTTTTCGTCGGGGATGCAGAGTTCCCAGTTTTAAACGTTATAAACTTGTTTCACCGAACTTCTTTATATATAATTTACTGCAAAATTGTTTATTGATGGAATGTTTTTATTGGATTATACGTATAATTAATGAACAAATTGTGTTGGCTAACATAGTTTTTAAAGATATTTTTACTACAAGACACGCTTTATGTGGGAGCAAATGAAAATTTTTGTTTACTTTTTTAACTCTATAACTTTTGTTTTGAATTAGTAAACTTTTAATTAATATTGTTTTAACTTAAAATAGTGGGTGCACCGGGCTATCGTGTTATTGTTGAACATCAACACCCTCTTATAATAAAATAAAGAGAAGTTAGTTATTGCGAATGTTTTTTTTTATGAAGTGAATTTTGTAAATAATTATTTAGTCATTTTTTATGCATATGCATACGAATATGCAAGGCAGTTTGGATTAAACGAGTAATTTTTATTACCTGTCATAAAACGTAAGTGTATAAGTATGTTTTTCTTTCGTAAACAAAGCAACACTATGTACAAATTTATGAAATAACAAGATAAAATAAATAAACAATTGTTTCATTTCATTTTGTTTTTATGTAGCTTTTTACAAAGTTATTACAAACATATTGCAGAGTAGCGTGGATGGAACAGTTATACTTTTGTGTTTTATCATAAAAAGAAATTAGGTATAAGAAGAAAAGGCAAACCAAAATTGTTTTGAAAAATTTGACGAGGGTAAATGTTTTGACGTTTATTTGGATTTATAAACCATGAACGCCACTTACATTTAGTTTAGATTGATTAACTTTGTTTGAAATAAACTGTTATTATTCATATTCCTTAATATTCACTCAGCTACTAAAAACTTAAGAGATCTCAACGCTACAGTTTGTTGTTTTTTTTGAACATTTTCAAAGAAAATGAAGTTTTTATTTAATTAATATTCTTCTTGAACTCAACTTTCTAAAACAGTACTTTAGGTACTTTATAAGTGAGTAACTCCTAATTTTTGTTGGATTTACTACGACTGAGTATTTGAAATGAGGATTTGACTAATTATATTTACCACAAACGTGTAACTGGCAAAAAAGATAAGGCGCTGCAATTATTTTTTATGTTAATAGTGATGACAACGTTACGATAAATAAACCTTAATGGTTTTTAGTGGGGTCAGCAGTTTTTCACTATCGTTATTACCTTACAACTAACGTAATATGTATTCAATGATCTCACAAAGATTTATTCAAGTTTATTATAGATACAAAGGATGTTTATTATTTAATATAATCTGAGTTTTTTTGTAATCTTTGTATTTTTGGTTTTCTTCAATGTAGATAAAATTAAACATTAAATGTTTTGCACTGAAAAGAAGGAAATGGATTTTCTTTTGATTCAAAGCACGTGAAAATGGAAGGATTCAGTTTTTTTCGTAAGTACGTTTGAACAAAAACGTTTTCATTTAATTACTCTATGCAGAATCGAGTATATTTTCAAAGAGTTGAAACATGGAATGAAATCTATTTTATTTAAGAGAACCTTTGATGAATATGAAATCCGAATAATATTTCATTTTTGCAATTGAATATTGTATCATATTTTCATGGCAAAAGTTTAAATTAAACTTGTTTATGCATTTTTACTCATAATAATATTAAATACTAATATTAAATTAATAATAATTAACTAAATTACTGAAATACTGTTATTTATTATTATTTTTTGTTTCCCTTATTTTGTTTTTAATTGTGTTAAGCTTTACTAAAAAACTTTAAAAAATACAAAATAACCTGTACTGTGCGTAAAGCTGTGAAAGCCTTTTTCTTTTTTAATTGCGTTTGGTTTATTTGTCTGCGTTTTATTTACTTATTTGCCTTCATAACTGTAAAATGAACTGTTTTCTGCGTATTTTCCTGGCTTGAGTTTGTTTCAGTTCACTCCAATCCTTTATTTCTCTATTATTCACGAGAGACATCAATATAATCACCTTATTTGAGGTCACGAGTCGGTTTATGAGAACGATCCAATAAAATCTTAGAAATTTTCTCAACTCCACAAGTTATGAGACTTGTTGAACGAAGATACTAGTTTTTGTTTATTTTTCAGGACATTCCAATGCATACAACGACTTTAACATTCCTGTTGATGGCATGGGACAGACTTCGTTTTATTAGACACCCAACAAAAGCACGTTTTCCAGCTTTTGTCTGTATTATTGGAACATGGCTAGCGTCTGTGTGCTTAGTACTACCCTATCCCATTTACATTATTTATATCGATTTAGGGGTAAGTATGATTATAATATTACAATTCTACTTCTGATAATAGTTTCATTAATCAAGTAAAGGATTATAGTCAGTTGGTAATATACAAATTGTATAAATTAATACGAATCAGGATGTGCGTCTGGGGAAATGACAATGGAAATTATTTTCACGAGGATGAATAAGGTTCAAATTTCCGGTAAATTTACTATGGCCACTCTGAGAGTTAATTGTCGAATTGAACTCAATATGAACTCAATATTTTGAAAATACGCTCTGTTTGAATTTCTATTTGATTCGTATCTGTAATTCAGTAAGTGGCTAATAAATAAACATGTTTTGTGAAACAATAAGCAATATTAAATTTGAAGCTCAAGATTTTAAGAATTATACTAAACATAGAAACACTTAAGCGGAATATGTTATAATATTATTTTTCCAATTTGGTTATGAAAAGCAACCATTGTGATATGTCATTTTAGTTGTCAAATGTGCTTAATTTTATCACTAGTTATAAAATATGATATTATTTTATCACTAGTGTTAAAAAGTGTAACAAATAACACTATTTTCATAGCAACGCCCAGACACTAATATGATTTTGAAAAATTATTGAAATCACAGATTTAAAACTTGAGATTCCTTATGCTTTTCACAACCAAATTGGAAAAAATCTTGTATGAAACACGATACAAAATGGCTGTTTTTTGCACACGACGTGTTGGACTACTTGTTGCATAAATAGCTATTTTCTATTTCGTGTCAGTGTCACAATGAGCATTTTGTACAACTGAAAACAGTTGCACAATAGTACTGTGAGATCAAAAATTATTTTGGTCAAGGTTGGTTATGGATTTTAAAATGATTGTCGTGGGTTATGTCGGCGCTGTCAGCATGGGCGCCCACAGGGAGGGGGGCAGTGGGGCCCGTTGCCCCCCCCCTGGGACAATAGTGGTTACTATTTTATATAAAAAAAGATTTTTTTGATTTTTCTCAAACTCGTTCTAATTTAAATTTTCATGAACGAAATAAGAAACTACTATTTACATTTTTATCAAGAAGTGAGTGATATGAAAACAGACGAATAAAACTGTTATTATTAATTTTGACACTTTTTTTGCCCACCCCTGACCATAATTTCTGCGGGCGCCCATGGCTGTCAGTGCAAGTTTTTTGCAAATTGCTCGAAAATAAGTTAAATTGCATTAGTTTTGGTGAAATTGTTGCAGTTCAACGAATTTCACTGAAACTAATGCAATTTAAGCTATTTTTGAGGAATTTGGGTACCTACCGCATACGTTAAATGTCAAAAATTTTAACTGTCAAATTTAGTAATAAATTTAATTTAAAAGGCGCTCAACAGAAAAAATAGCATAAAAACGCGTGATACAACCTCTGCTCATTGTGATACTCCTGCATTTATAACACTCGTATCACCATAAGTTGCTTTGTAACACTTGTTTTTTCATATACTACTTACTGCTTTTTGTTACTAATTAAATTTAGATTTAGAAAGTGTGTAAACAAATAAGGTATGTTTTAAATTAAATTTAACACAAATAGTAGCAGAATAATTGAGTCACATTTTGTGTTTCATAATTCAAAACTGAATCAAGTTCCAAATCCAATTTCTATTTCCGTACAGTTGTTAATATTATACATGACATATCTATGTATGTTATTGGATTTTTCAGTCAGTTTTGAGAGCTTTGTGTGTTCAAAAATGACAAAAGACATTTACATTTTATTTTTATTCATTTTTGTTTTAGTGTAATTTTTGAAATTTTTTAAACTGTTGCTTGTTTGAGAGTTCTATAAGAGCAACTTTTAGTGCTCGCTGAGCTTTAATCAAAGAAACATAAAACCTGTACATAAATGTAATAAAGTTTTGGTCACTGATTATTATTTTTTTTGGAACTGACATTTACAATTAGTACAGAGTTATCAACTTATCACATTACCAATGATGTCTTTACAAATGCTGAGAGTAGAGATTACTCGCTTACAAACTTCACAATAGCGAAATCAAAGGGGATCTAGAATGATGTTGATTGCAATAACGTCTTTATTGCTAATTAACACTTTGAATAATATTATTACTTTAGAGATTACATAAGAGCCACTGAATCTGTTAAAATTGTTTAAATCTAATGAAATTTTACAAAGATTAATTTACAAATAATTATTGATTTCTTATTTTAACAAAGTATTAATTAAACAAACGTCTCTAAAGTTTTGTTTTCTTCATAATTATAAATTGTAAACTTGTTTTCGTAAATCATTATTATTATTAGTGTCACAAAAATAGTTTGCTTTTCCTTATCTGATTTAACTTCGAGATCCATTGAGTGAAATTAATTTCGCTTGGGACGTTTCCAGTCATTTCCAGCTAGAATCACGTAAATTTCTTTTCATCAAACAGAGTATTGCAACTGAAATTGGAAATGTTATTGAATTATTTTTCTAGCAGCGTAAGATTGCTACAGTTACGAAGATTAGTGGTTGGATTTTACATTTCTTTTTTGATTAATGCTTTTGTAAATTAATTGGTTTAAAAAGTACAGAATTTTTAGAATCGTTTTACGTACAATGCAAGAAGATTAAAAGTGGCAGCTAACAAAATGCTTGAATACTGGTTTTAATCACAAAAGGTTTAAGGATATTATGTTGGAGTGGTATTCGAATTTAACTGGAAACATAAATCTAAAACGGTTAATACCTACAGAGAAAGCTTTATTTTAAGTTAGAAACTGGACGAAAACTCCATCATTTTGTTAAAGACCATGGTTGCTAGATAAAGGTCTTTTTCATCCTAAGTCGAAAAACATTTTTTATTATACCTGCATCATAATCCTAAATTAAAACACGCTGCAGCGTGCGTAATTTGGCCTTTATAGCACGCTGAAATTTTAAAGTTGTCTAAGTAACAAGACATAGTGAAATGTTTGGACCAATTACAACGTGAAAAAATGTGCTTAACGTAAACTAGTAACCGTCTCTACGAAAACGATTCACAAACAACCTTTGATAATTTTATTGTGTAAATTCACATTTTTTCAATGCTCATAAAAGATCGTAAATGGGCAGGTATAATAAAAAATAGCGATAACACTCGTTTCTCACTTACGACGTTAAAAGCACTCCGCTGACGCGTCGTGGTCTTTAAACCCGTCATGCGTGTTTTAAAGCCTATAAACTAGTATTATAATATACTATTTGGGCAGCAAAAATAAAAAAGTCAATGGTTGATTAATTTATTAATTTTCAAATTTAAATATAACAAGCAACTCTACCGAAACTTGATTTGCGGCATCTTGCGCCTTAGGAAGAGAGAGTACACATTAACTCGTCTTTACTCGACATTTTAAGATGATTTTAATTTTTTTGTTGTTGATCGAACGTCACATTGACAACGTAATAAAAATTTCACGGCAATTTGATTAATTTTTTTTTTTTAATTTTGTAGTTTGTAAAGTTCTTGCAATTGAATAAAAAATTATGTATGATATACGAACGAAAAACATATTTCCGACTCATTGCTGTTGCTGAACTCGGCGTTGCCTCGTCCAGAAAATTGTCCGAAATATTTCATTTTTTTTTCTTATAACATAAATAACTATTTTAGTCTCCGCAGACGAAATACATTTGAAATAAAAAAGATAGGTTTACTCATATCATTAAAAGATTAAAAGAATTTGTTAATCCTTATACAAGTCTGAAATCACTGGATCTTTAAATTCTTTAAGGGCACTTTTTGCAGTACGCTTTTGTTCATAATTTTCTATTCTGAATTTATGGAAAGGGTCGAAGATTTTCCAGCGTTTGAAGTATTGAGTGCGGATTAGGCTCACTGACCATGAATGCGCGATAAAATTCTTTCCGATCTATAAATATGAAAGTACTTTTATTTAAAGACAGTCTGTGTAAATTTAAATTTATTGGATTATATCACATCTAATATGGTTTTAAACGGATAAGTGATCCAAGAATAAAAATTAACGATTTCATTGTTATTTATTTAAGTACTAATAATTTTCCTGAAATGTCAGCATTTTATTAAGCTAAGTATTCTCACATTTTATCACTTTCTTTCTTTTTTTTTTGGTTGAGAATGTTATTATTATGTGTTGAATAATAGTGTGACGATGCGTAATAATATCCATTACATACCTAATAAGTTTGGCTAATAATAGAGTAGGGATTTTAACATGAAAGTTGGTTTAAATGGTTTAAAATTGAAAATTGAAGTAAACTGTTGTACATCAAACTTTAAAAAGCAATTTTTTGTGAATATTTATTGAAAAAAGTTGATTAATGAAAAAATATTGCACAGCAATGTTTGAAATGAATATGAAGGTTTTAAAACGCTTTTTGAATTTTGTTGTAGTTTTGTAGTTAAAATTTTGACGATAATTATGTTCTGAGTAAAAAGAGATGTTAAAAGTTTTCTTTTTCTCTGGTTGTTTGTTGGGCGGATGATTTTTTTCTGAATTGTGTGGAATATGTGAACACGAAAGAGGAAATGAAATATGTCAATCTAATAAATTGTGTCATGTTTCCCAATGTTTGCTTTCATAAGAGTAAATTTTTCGCATATCTACCACAAGAATGTAATTTCTTAACGTAACACAAATATATTTTTTGCATTCGTAAAGATATTTAAAAACAATTTTTTATTGTAACATTTTTCAATTTTTAAAGTTTGTGATCGATTTATTACCACAAGCAGTATTTGACCAAATTAATCTTCTCCCAGCATTTAATATAAACGTCAAATAAGACATATTAAAACCACAAGTTCAATGAATGGCCACTTGGATGGAGTTTCGTCTGGAAGGATCAATTGATTGATAATCCATCGTGCAGTTCCTGCGTAATTGACTTTTAAAAACATGTTCTGACAAGGACATACAGAAATAAACTTTTCCGGAGAAGACCGGAAAACATTCCATAATTTTTCCGTGTGGCAAACACTTATCAAGTTTAATGTCGTGTGAAGGTTTCAAAGCTGTCATAGCGAACTTATCAAATTTGCCATAGTTATTAAGATAATTACCATTTATATTGCAGCTAGGAAAGAGAGCACTTAAAGGAAGATGTGCCTACATTTTACTGTTAAAGGGTTGATAAAATACGGGTACTGAAACGCCACAGAAGACAGGTCCAGTAATTTTTAAAGTGGTTGAGGCAGACAGGAAGGAACCACTGGGATATTTCAACGTCAAACGGTTTTTATAAAACTAATTTATGACTTTACATGTAAAAAAGATTTATTTATGCAAATTTTATTAAACACTGTTCTCTGGAAATTCTCATAAACTGTCGATATTATTGAAGACTGGATGGAGATTAAAGCTACATTTTATTAATATCCTTTTATTAATTTATTAACGATACCTCTATGATTAACTTTATAAAATGAAAACTGAATTCTATGTATGTACTCGTAAAAACGATATAAATCGATAGTGATTTTTAATTTCTAAGTTCTAATTTAAGTTGTTGTTTACGTTTTAGGAGCACATCAAAGCAATGATTAACCGCAGTTTTCTCAAATTATTTAATCATATTAATGTGTAGAAATATTTCCAATTAGTTTTAGCGAATATTAAAATATGTTGCTGGGAAGTTTCCTATACAATAACGCAACTTAGCACAAAACCCTTTCTCTACATAACGATAATATAATACGACATTGCTTCCTAGGAGAATCACATTTCCTTAACTTTGCTAACTATTGAATAGATCTTTAAGCTAATTTATTAGGAACTTTAAATAAAGGATGATCATCCTTTAAACTACTAATTATAGCAAAAAAAAACAAACATTATTTAACACGTAATAATATATGAGAACTGTAACTGAATTTTGATGCATTTAAGAGTTGTGTAATTTATGCGATAAACTTTCATTAACGTTAGTATACTCGCTGTTCCTTTGGGAAAATGAAACTGGAGGTCGTTGAAACATGTGTCACACCTATATTTCTTTTTAAAGTAATATGTCATTACCAAATAATGATATAAATAAGTTATTGAAGGACAAATCACAAATCTTTGTGTTCAAAAAATAATGTTTGTTCTCATTACTTTAGTGTATAGGTAAATATTATTGAAACTTTATAAGACACTTGAAATTTATGAAACCGCTTGCTCTCTTCGCAGATTTTTTTTTAAGTTTTACCAATAGGGAGATTATTCTTATCGAAACGTTGCTCAAAGCGAAAAGGAAATGAGTATTTGTGGAAAAACTTTGGTAAAGAAATACCAATCTGCGTCACTCTTCAGTGTTCTAAGAGTAATGTTATTTAATTATAGGGAATGATAATATTGTGAAAACTTTTATTTAATTATTATATTTTTTTTCGCTGAAAGCAATCTAAAGTTTGTGTTAATTGAAGTTATGTTGAAATTTCATTGTAAACAATGTTTTAAAACTGCTTAATTCGGTGTGTATTTACGATTGAATGGTGTTATAAATTTAAATATTGTTACTACAGAGAATTTTCCCAGGATTTGAGAGTTGACTTTAACACAAATTAACAAAACGTGACGAATATTTTATGCAAGACACCTCACTCGTGTCGAATCATAAATGTCATGTTGTATTGGTAGATCTATCTTGAAATAATGTAACAATATATCGTTTTCCACCGTGACATACAATTTTCCAATTTATACAACACGATTGAGTATTGAATACCATACATATAAATTGCTTGAGTGTTCTGAATTTGTCATATAAATACGTTTCTCGCTTTTATTCCCTTATGGTGGAAATTTTTACCTGACGGTTTTAGTCTTCATTCCGTTTGCAACACCTACGTTTTGAATTAATTAGTCGTAATGATAGTCATTTTCTCTAAACAGTTTTAATGCAACCGAAAACTGGATATTATGAAATTAATGTTTGAAGTAGTTATTAGAGCAAAACTTGTTATATATTCTACAGCTTTAACGTGTCTCTGCGTCAGGTGCCCTAATGGATATACCTACAAGGTGCGCCAGAACTCGCGCCCCAGATAAAAATGCCATATAAGGTAAGATACCAGGAACATGGAAAAATGTTTAAAAAAATTTATCTATAAAAATTTCGAAGTTATGAGAGTTTAAATTTTGCACTTTGACTCTATTTATTTCTGTTGGAAAAATAATTTTTCAAGTTTTTTTTGCTAAAGGTTATTAGAAGAGGAAACAAGAAAGCTGTATTCTAAATTGTAACTCTGTTCAATGTTATTTGTGGCTTCTCAAAATTTTTGTACCTTTACTAAATAATTGTAAAGAAACATATACAAGATCATGAGTATCATTAAATAGACATAAAATAATGTCAAATTTCAAAAAATAAATGTCAAAATTTTTTGACAGATTTTTTAAATATTTTTTACAGGTTCCTGGTATCTTATCTTACTTAAATTTTTACTCTGGGGCGCGAATTCTGGCGCACACTGTATATTTAGCGATATATTACCTACTCTTGTTTACTTCGAAGCTTGAAGGACTAAATATGGAACTTGAGTGCCCAAAGGTTTACCTAAATCAGATTGAGCGGAAAAGTCTTAAAGTTTTGTTTAGATAAATTTTGATAAAATAATAGAGATCTTTTTTTACAGAAATACGTTCCATCACTGGATGGGGTGGGAATCTGTCTCGTTAACTTAGCCGATGATATGCAAGAATATATGCGAGGAATTTTCCTGATAATGTAAGTTTCATTTTTGAAGAAATAAAAATAGAGTCTGAATGCAGCAAAGTGAAAATTTTAAATTAAAGTCCTACTTTTAATGCAGATCTTGGATTTGCATAATTAACTACTTTAGCGTTTTATTTATCCTATTTAATAACCTTTGCTTTTACTGTCTTTTATAACTGCATTTACGTAAGAGGATAAAATTTTTAAAGAAAATTTACAAAATGGTCTAAATTTTCATTGATCTATTCGTCGCTTGTTTAATTAGCATTACAAGTATTGTTATAAAGACGATGCACCATTGCAATGCTAAAAGCTTTTAGCATAGTCACTTTTCCTAATTCAATTATCACTCCACTGAGTGTCCTGAAATACGTTATGAGATTAGTCCTTGCAATGTTCCTTCACGTCATAAACTGACGCTTTGTCTTTGTGAAGACAAACTATCGAAATGAAGATAAATGTATCGCTTGGACCAAGTTACTAGCTGATTTCAAGGCGTCCCAGGTTCCAGGACAATAACTCGGAATAACGGTTTAAAATGGCTTTTGAAAAGAAAGTGTGAATTTTACGATCCGTAACTTCTAACTTAACTGCTCAAGAAAACAAAATAAAACACCGAAGAAGTATATATTGCAACACCTGAGAAGTTCGACTTTTTCCGGAAAAGTCACTTTGGCCGATTTTGGGAAATAATAAATTTTCCCTTTTTCTGCTCTCGACTTAGTCAAGTGTTAAGCTTTTAATTGTAACTGTGTGTTGATTTATGACACGGTGTTGCCGATAGAAGCGCGATCAATCGGAAGCTTATAAATTATTAACACAGCAAGGTCCTGGAACTCGCACCTGCAGTTATGGACAATTGAATCCCAGATTAATCCGGTTTGGTTGCACTATTTGTCCTATAAATAACTAGAATTGCTTTTAAAATGCGACTATAAATAATAATCGAGTTTTGTGTACCGCACAAAATATAAAATTTTGTCAGCGTTTTAAAGATCTCTAAATTTTATCGTTCATAAAAACTAGTTTACGTACCTACCAACAGAGTCATCAAATTTTATGGAGCATTTGTCATATTGAGTAATTCTTCTCGGGTTTAGTTTTTATAAAAACCCTTTAGAAAACTTTTGTTTTGGCTGTGTGTGCCTACCTGTCAAACACACCAACCCTTCGTATCTGAAAATAAAATTTATATGTTTATCATAAGCCCCGACCTCCCATTTATTATGAAGTGAAATCTATCTACGGATTTTTTATAGGCACGATTATTTCACTTGCGTAAACTTTTAAATAACATATGCTTCAGACCGATAATAGAAATTGCTTAAGTATTTTTAAATATCATAAATCATCATAAGTAATTTTTTAACTTCTTATTCCCGAAACACGTTTCTTGATCCAATTAAAACTTGTTTACTTATATTCAAGCTGTGTTAAACTTCAGTGATCCTTTTCATCGAATGATATACGTAGGGGAGAATGTATCTTTCATACATAACTTTGTAGCTTTTGAAAAATGTAAAATATTACAACGGAATGGTTATTTGATGCAATGCGATTAGGTTTAACTGTGTTATATACGACTATTTCCTCGAAACTTACTATGATAAAATATGTGCATTTTAGGTATGCCGCTCCTCTCGCCACTATTTCTTACTTATACGTAAGAGTTTCACGCGAAATGCAGACTCACCAGAGTTCCATGACAGTGATAAAATTTGAAACTCGGAGGGAAGGACGTTCCAGGACTGATTCGCACTCGACGACAACGGATTTCCGGTAAGCCTAAACAAATTTGCTTTCTTGGCACTTGGGATGTTTAATTGTTTCTCTGTGAGTTTATCATCAAGAATATTAAACTACAAGAACAGTATTTCGATCGATAAACTGAGTTTAATAGTTAACGACAACCTTCGATTCTGCTAGCGGCGAGAGCTTGAAATTTTAACATAATACCGACGTTTTACCAGGAAACATTAAGGATTTGTCGTTTGGGAACTTCATACAGTGATAAGACTTTCCATATGTGAACATAAATGTGAGCTTTTTTGCCACTGATGACATTTGAACCGTCAGAAAGCTCGCCTTATCGTAATTACCCAACTTTATTTACTCGGGTGGAATCAGCTCTTGTTACTTTCATTCTGAATAAAAGCATATGGACCGAGAGAGAAAAAAATCAGGTCGCATTAGTTTTATCATTTATTTCGTTTAAGATTGTTATTCTACTTAAAGAAGAAACTCGAGAAATGGTTCATGTATAGGAAATAAAATTAAAAGAAATGTATTTTTAATCTAAACGTCTGCTGTGTTTTTTCAGGGAGTAATATTGCCAATTGTCACAGCAAAATTTTATTAGAATTGTTATCACGCGTCCTAGACAATGATACCCATTTGTTTGTTGTTATAAAACTGGTGAAATTGCTTATGTAATAAAATTACCATAATTATTATTTCAATAACAAACATATGGAGAAAATTATTAATTTATTTTCACATGCTTCTAAACCCAGTTTGTTCAGTGACTTAATTAATTCCAAAAGTACGGTAATGCTTGTAAAAGTTATTTAATTTGGGGGATATCTTACAATTTGAATTCTTGTTATTTTGGAATTTATATTATCTTTGTGTCAACATATTTGTGCAAGTTTATTCCATTTAAGTTAACTGCGTTTTAATGTGTGTTGAATATATGAATTGCTAAACGGTTGGAACAAATACCCACATAATGCGAGATAAATTCCATATTTGTCCAGTTTTTACACAATACGTTCAGTTTTCTATTTCATCTACGCAGGTGGAAATATGAATCATTTCAAAGCTTGCATATTGCATCTTTTATTTAAAATAATCGAAAAGTTTTCCATTATGAAAAAATTCTTGAAGCACAATAACAAACTTTTAGACGGCGCGAAATTTCAGCTTTCAGCCACAAGTTAATTTGAGATACTTTGTTGACTATTTCCGGCGGATTTTTTTTTTAATTTCGTTCAATTTTCAGGAGCAGTCGAGGCGATTATGACCGCTCGAGTCAATACAGCCGTAGTAGTTATCGCGATAATGAAAACGGCCGCACAAGATACGAAAACGAAGAGCCTGACTTGGATGTGGCAAAGGAGAAACGCACTCAGAAGTATTTAGTGCCCATGGTAACCCTTTACGCCATTTACTTATGTCCGCTGATGATTCTTCGTCTGGCTCGATTAGTCCTTCCAGAGACCTACGAAAATAATAAAAACTTTGACATTTCATACACAATGTTCGTGTGGGTGGCATTTGCACCCACTTGTTCCACTCCTGTCCTTTACATTGTTTGGCAGATGAACAGGTCAGTAGTAATCGCCGAGTTTTATATTTGGAGGCTTTAAAGTTCATAGCACAATAATTAAAACTTTGAGATTGAATTGTTCCAGATCTTCAAAGGAACGTTTGTTAGGATACTTCCGATTCAGTAATCGGAAGTTGAGACAGTCGTGTGAAACGGTAATAACAGCTGCTGGGACGCCAGCGGTGCCAAGAGCGAAATGTGGCCAGAGTGATTCGATCGTTCAGCAGGTGGATGATGGACATTCGGACAACAACAGTTTTCAACACGATTTTCCTTCGTCCTGATGATATAAAGGAAGGCATTAGTACGTAGATTATTTCCTCCGACAATTTATTTTATCACACGCCATTTATTTCCGTTAAATAATGACAAAGCTGATGGTTTCGTGAACGTAATATTTGTACCGATTTTCTTTTCAGCTCAATTTCTGTTAGTAACAGTAATTAGTTTTTATAACCGTTTTAATTATTATAGAATTTTTATGAATAAAAAAGAAAATAAGTACATTAAATACGATGAAGAGAAAAAGCAAAGAGTTTTCAGTATTATTTTATTTTTTAAATGCTGAAACGTGTACGAGAAGTTTAATTCTCTCTAATATTCCTAATGAAATATCTCTATGCTACTGGCGTGTTCACTTTTTTACTATTTTACTGAAAGAGTAGTATTGAAGCGCTTGTTTCAGCATTCGAACTTTACTGTTTTATTTTAATATTTCTCTTTCAATAATCTACGAAGTAAATATTTAATCTTAAATCAAAAAATTCTGCAAATCTGAGATATTAAAGTCTGTATAATATTTACAAAGTTACTTGAATATTCGTTACTATCTTGCATTTAAAACTCGACTAAAAAATTTACAGCTCTTTTGCATTTTTGTTTTTCACTACTATGTTACTTGGAGAACTTTTAGTAATACTTGTGGGTTTGGAATATCTCTGAACTGCATTTACAGTTTTTGCATGAGAATTATTTTCCTCTTATTAGTTATTAACATGTTATAAGTGGAAATAATAGATCAAGACTTTTCAAGTAATCCATTCTTAAAATCGAAATCTTTGAATTTTCGCATGACCAGCGTTTCCTGCTGTTTATATTTTAATCAGTTTTTTGCTTCCAATTGAACTGACGCGTGTAATTAAATTAATTTCTTTCAGCTCAATGGGAAGTTCCTGTCTTTTCCGAGTGGAGCAATTGATTTGAATCAACTCCATTGATTTTAGAAATGACGGCACGTTTTTGTGGAAAGTCCTACGTTGTACTTCGATGTAAAATGTCAGCGTGATCAGTATCTAATAATGTGAATTATCCAGCGAATGTGGATAATAAATTCGTAAACAATTTTCCAACATGTATCCAATTTTACCTATTGTACATGACAATATACAGTTGGAAAAATTAATTGTGAAGAGCATCACTTCAAAATGTTTGTAATTTAAAAATAAAACATAAAACGTATTGCAATATTTTTTCTTGGAAAGTTACTTGATGCAATTTAAGGTCAGATTTTATAAAGCAGGTTAATGCCACGTTTAAGTATTTTAGGGCCACCTGGAGATTTATTATTTTTTTAATGTGTCCTTTGGCAAAAGCTTTCCGGTTGAATATGAGAAGGGTCGAGGGTTGTTGGTGGTTTCTATTTTTCATTTCTAATGTACCGGAATTTAAACCTTTAAAACATAAATTTATTAGAGCTCTAGCTATGTTTCTAACAGTTTTACAGAAAACCTACTTCTACAGACTCTAATTTAATGTAGATCTGGATTGAAAAATAGGATGCAAAATAGCAAAACTTTTACATAACTGACAAGCAACGTTTTATAGCAGTGAAAGAACCAAATTACTAGGATTACTAGTTAGGTAGAATACGAGTTCCAATAATTTCTTGATTCTATAAAATTATTTAAATTTCAAGCTATTTTGAATTGATGCTTTAATTAATAATTAGATTACACTCAAATGGCGTTTCGAGTTTAATTTGACAAATTCTTTTACATAATTAATTAATTTTGTTTGTTATACAGTAACAATAACAATATATTTGTGAGTAACAAATAATGATTGATAATATTTTTCTACAAATTGTCTGATGCTAACATGTCAAATATTTTTCGGTTGTTAAAATATTGCATTTATCATATACCTACCTATTTATTCAAATAGATACGTAGAGGTGTTTCCTGGTTGACTTCATATGTGTAAAATAAAAAAATATTAAATTAAATGAATAGAGAATACAAATGTTATAAAACTTTAAGATTTTGTAGTTGTTTAATAAGAGCATGTCAGTTTTTTGTTGTGAAAAGCGGAGTTTCAATAAAAATCTACCCGGAGTAGCTTTACAATTATACAGGCTGTGCCAGAACTCGCACCCCAGACAAAAATGCTATGTAGGATAGGATACCAGGAACATGGAAAAAATGTTTAAAAAATTTTCTGTCATAAAGTTTTGACATTTATTTTTTGACATTTGACATTTTTTATGTTTTTTTAATGATACTGATGATTTTGTAGATGTTTGTTTTTTTTGTTTTTAGCAAAGGTACAAAAATTTTCCCAATAAAAGCCATAAATAACATTAAACAGAGTTACAATTTATAGTACTGCTTCCTTGTTTCCGCTTCTAATAGCATGTACCAAAAAACTTGGAAATTATTTTTTCAACAGAAATAAATAGAGTCAAAGTGCAAAATTCAGACTGTCATAACTTCGAAATTTTTAAAGATAGAATTTTTTTAACACTTTTTCTATGTTCCTGGTATCTTACCTTATATGGCATTTTTATCTGGGGCGCGAGTTCTGGCGCACTCTGTATGTTTGTGAATTCTTTTGACTGAAACTTGATATAAATGATACGTGTTTCAATTTGCACATAGTTTTTGTTGTGATACCTATTGTTATATTTAAAGATTGTGACAAGATTAATAATTTAAAAATTTAATAAAGAATATTTGTTTATAGCTGAAATATTTTATTAAACCTTCTCTAATTTATATTAATAATTAATATGTAACATATTCGAACATTATTATTAAAATTGAAGACTTTATTTTAAAAATAAATGAATGAAAAATTATTTGCAAATATATGTTCATTTCATGTTCATCAATCAGATTATGTGTTATAAAATATCATGATGGCAGATGGCTTTAAAATAAAATCTGAAACAGTAATCATCGGTAAACCTATTAAAATTTTATAATAGGTATAAAAATATTGTAATATACAGGTGTTTCAGAACTCGCGCCCCATAGGAAAATTCCAAGATAAGATACCAGGAACATGGAAAAGATGTTTAAAAAATCTGTCAATAAATTTTGACAATTATTTTTTGACATTTGATTTTTTTATATCTATTTAATGTTACTGCTAATTATTTAGTAAAGGTACAAAAATTTTGCCAATAAAAACCACAAATAACGTTAAACGTAATAGTTACAATTTAGGATATAGCTTCCTTGTCTCCTTTTCTAACAGCCTGCAGCAAAAAAACTTGGAATAGGATATTAAAGTACAAGTTTCAGAAGGTATCTATCTACTCAAGCACAAATTTGAAATTCCGAAATGAGCCGCGTAAAGCGGCATTTTTTATTTTACATGGAAAATTCACAGCTGGCTAGTTGAAAATCATTTATAACCACTTTGCATAAGTGATCAATATTTATAAAGTTTAAAAAGGTCTCAATATATACTAGAAATAAGACTTTCATAATATTATCATAATTTTCGGTGTTTCACTATTTAAAGGTTTTTTTATTGTATTTTGCTTGGTTCTAAAGCTACGCAGAATACATCTTAAAAAATTCGAGTCACGTGAGCTGTCAGAATATTACAGGAACACATCATTTTATATTATTATTATTAAACGAATTTAATATATTTTCATATTTTTTTATATTAATTTTTGTAAATACAGTTCAAACACGCGTATAATCAAGCCATATTCCGCCTTCAGGATTCATGACGAAACTTTTAGGATCAAGTTGCAACGGTGATTTTGTTTTCGAATTAATGGAAAATTTGTAATTCTTTAAAAGGACACTTAGTCCCACTTTTGTTTGCATCATTCCAAATCGCAGACCTACCAAACAAAAATTCATTACCTATTATGCAAAAACTTAAACACAAAAATTTACCGATGCAAATCCTTGGACCTTCACCAAAAGGAAGATACGTATACGGATGTCTCTGTCTCTTGTTCTCTTCCGAAAATCTTTCTGGGTCAAATTTCTCTGGATTTGGATAATATTCAGGGTCCCGGTGCAAACCTAGAACCGGGATCCAGATTTTCGTTCCTTTTTCAATTACAAAATCTGTTCCTGGAACTTTGTATTTTTTGTTGCAGATACGAATCAACCCCGGAAGAGGAGGATACTTGCGTAGAGTTTCTGAAAGCAAAGTTTTCACAAGTGTGTTTAAATGAGAATCGTGCTGTACCATTTACAACTTTATCCATATATCGCATTTCCATAATAGCATTATAAGTTAATTTATTCTCATGTTTTTTAAAAACTTCGTTAATTTCGTCCCGAAGCTTTTGCTGAATTTCAGGATTTGACGCTAATTCATATAAACAAAATGTCATGGTGGTGGAAGAAGTCTCGTAACCAGCAAGAAAGAAAACAAAAGCTTGCGCTGCGAGTTCATTCAAGGTCAATGTTACTTCCTTGTTTTCCCCATCAGTGTTACTTTTTAAAATACTGTCGTCGTCAACAAGTTTTCCACGGTTTTTAAGTTGAAGCAAAAGATGCATAAAATCTTTACGGTAAATGTTATTTCGTTCACGCAAGTTGACAGTGTCTTGCACCACTTTCATGAAAAATTTGGACAAATCGGGATTGACAACCCTCAATTTGAGTTTTTTAGCAAATTCGGGTGCCACAAAAGTAATAATTCCGTTGATGTTTTCCCAAAATCCTTCGACGAAAAACAGTTTTAAATACTGAGTGAACTCGTCGTCGGGATTCTTAAGCGAGTTGCAGTCGATTCCAAAAGCGCAAGACCCAATAATGTCAGTTGTGAATCTCGCTAATATATTTTTTATATCAATTGGAGCTTTTCCAACAGTTTGGTCCATCTCTACCAGTAACTGATCACTGCATTTTACCAAAGTATCAAACATCATTTTCATTTTTCCCGAAGTAAAGGTAGGTGTGAGTTTCATTCGCAAATTTCTCCATTTAGCTCCGTCCAAAGAAAATAAATGGGCACTTAAGGGATCAACATCTTCGTTGTAATACACTCCTCGGTCAACAAAGTGATCAAAATCGTGTAGCATTATATGTTTGATAATTTCTGGATCAACAGGCATGTAATTAGGCATGATGGTTAGATAAAAACCACCGTGAGGTTTGTGATGCTTGCGGATGTATTCATAGATTTCGATCATAAAGTCTCCCAAAGATTGTTTCTGTGTGACGATGCCTTTGCTGTTACCAAAGAAAAACGTCGACTTGGGTGCTAAAATGTTTTTACGAGACCAGTAAGTGTGAGACCATTGCGTCCAAGCAATAAAGACAGCAATAAGTGCTGTCAAGATGCTAGAGATGTCTAATAACCAGTTGTCCGTTAGTATCGCCATTGCCTATAAGTAAACAAAAATTTTAAAAATACGCTAACTCACTAGAACAACAAGAACCACTCACACCTTCAAAGAATTAAATATCTAAACTAGAAGTGTTTATAACTCCTAATTAATTTTGTGAACACTCAACTTGTTATCGATTGCGTTTTTAAAAAATAACCGAGATAAATCTTAGTGCTAATCTTAATCAAGGACAAAAGCATTAATTAACTTTTATATTTGTTCCATTGTTAGTCGATAACTAAACTAAAATGTTTAATAATATTTAGTGTTTATGGTCATTTCCGGGCTGTGAAAATGCGATTAATTACTAATCGATTTACTACGTTTTAACCATTATGAAATTGTGTTTAGTTTAATTGGTCTGTTGTTAGAATTTTAATAACAACATTTTTTGTCACAAAGATGAGTACCTAGTAGAGTAGTAGACTTGAAAACAATTGTACCTATTTAATGACTGCTGGTAAAACAAAATACCAAAAATATTGATTTCAAGGAAATTAAACTAAACTAAACACCTAAAATATTGTTTAGTAAATAGTAAAATATTTGAAATATTAACTCTACTTTTTATATTCATAAACAAAAAAATAAATAAATGAAAGAGATATGGATGAATGCTTTAATGACCATTTCTGAAATGCACAGTAGCAGCTTTTTTTTTACTTAACGAGCACAATCATGATGAAAATTTGATACAAGTCCAAAATCAAGAGAAAACTGAACTTTTCTTTCTGAGTTAAAATAATGAAGTTTTAATTATAGATTTGCTCGTTTCAGGTAAAACAAAAATGTTTTTCTTTTGTAGTTTTGGCGTAAAATAAAAGACAATTTTTTTTTCTCTAGTAAATTCAATCCGGGGACATACTGTAGATTTTCATTTTCAAAGCTGCAGAAATTTGTCAGCCTACATTCATTCAAGGGAAAGAGAAATTACTCGAACTTTTTTAAAGTATGTAACTGAAGGCATATTAACGACAGTTCGATGTCTGACAGTGATGACAGTATTATGACAACAAAAAAATCTGCAAGTCAATCATATTATTGACAATAATGCATGGTTTTTACATCTAATTTTTTTGAAGTGAAAGATTAATGTTGGACCAAATTTATTGTCCGGCACTGTACAACTAATATTATAAATCTTAGAGTTAATTATGTTAACCCACGATACCTGCAACTGAAATAACTAAGTTCATCAGTAATAATTTTTTTAGCAATATTAATGACTACAGTTTTGGTAAGTTTCAAATTCATATACGAATTATGTTTTTTTTACTGGTATTTTACACTTACGTATGTACTTAAAAATATTTTTATATTTATTTAAGAGAACATCACTAAAGTATCACAAAATAATAAACTTTAACATTTGTTATTTAACTAACGTCTAACGTCCTTGGTAGTATGTAATAACATCCTGTACAAATTGATCTGTATTTAGCTGCAATGTTGCCACTTTTGTCCAATTTACGTAGAATTACGTTACATCTACAGTAGAATTCGTTTAGGACTTCGTTTAAAATAAATATGACGTTTATAACGAATTAAATTTCAATCTATGTTAATCCCCAATAGTTTCGAACTTATGTAATGCGAAAATATGTGATTTTTTTTTAAACTAAAAATACAGTGTCCTCGGATAGGTGAAACGGCTCTTGTTAAAGATAAAAAAATTACATTTAAACGTTTATTGACAGAAACGTCAAAAATGTATTTAGTACTAATATTCTAAATGTAACTTATTTATTTTTAATAAAAGAACTGTTAAAAATAAAATTCTTTGGCCGATGATTTTGAAATTTGGTATACGGGCCTAAATGTTGATTCTAACCAAGTTTTTTTGGTAACTTTTTGTCGTATTTGCCACACGAAGGAAGAGACTTTACTGTAAAAAAAATAAGTTTTTTGTAAATTCCCAAACCATACTTGATTTTTTAAAACTAAAATTATGTCAGAAATTACTTGAAATTAGTCTTAAACCAATCATGGCTGAACCCTAAAAAATGAAAATTTAAATCGAAATTTGTTTATCTCTTATAAGAGTCGTTTCACCTATCCGTAGAGATACAGTGATGGACAGTGAATTTCGTCCACCCAATTTCCCAACAGATTAAAAGTGTAAACTAGTCTTTAAGTTTTCCTAACCTTGTTTCAGAATTTTGATTAACGTTTGTCATGTTGATAGAATGCTCGATGCTTCTTGCTACCTTTGTCCTTTGAAATGGTAGTCCTTTTGGTAGGCCAAAAGTATAGAGACACGTCTTTGAGACATACCTTCTTGTACCAGAGAGATAATTTTTATTTTATTAAACTTACTGCTGGCATGTTCGAATTTGATTAAAAATTTGACAATACGTATTAGAATGTCAGTTGTATCATGACAATAAAGCACAGACTACAGTGAATTTTTATGAATTCACAGAAATTGGGTGGACGAAATTCACTGTCCATCACTGTACTGAGATTAACGCAAAATCCGTTGTTCAGACTAAATAATTCAATCTGGCAACGTGTAGAAAATTAATAATAATTAAAAGATAACTGATCTTACTATGATGAGTTTACGTCGTCCAAATTCATTTTTGGCAACTCTAACGCCATCTCCTAATGCAACTTGTAATAAATTTGTGCTTTTGTAGATATCTACGATGTGCGAAACGCGTATAAGTAGTTTCATTTTTAGTACTTTGCTGTTGAACCTTGGAATTTAATCAAAAAGCGAAATCTTTATCACCGGAGACATTAATAAGATAAACTGATATCAATCTATTATTGGAAAAACAACTTCTAATTAGTCATGGTCAATGTTACGCAAATAATTATTTTTTATAGTGCTTTGCCAATAGTTTTTAATTAGTTATTACATAACTTATAGTTTGTATAATTTTATAAGTTAGAAAAATATGATACAATCTCTCGAAGAGCTGCTTATCACGATTGATGGGTATCAAGTGAGTAATTTTGAATTTTGAATATTTCGCGCTTATTTAGTATTATTGATTACTCGTTCCAACAGTGCAGTAATTTTCAGGATAGAGGGGGCGATGGTCGTACATAAATTCTCACGCGTGTTCGCAGGCGGCTTGCACAAATTTTTGTCACACCAAGGTTATAGTTTGCGGTGTTTTTCGTCGTCCGGCATTTGTTTCAATATGGCCTATTCTATTGTTGAAAGAGGCTCTCCTTTTTCTCCAGATTACAGAGTTTACATTCGTAAGTCTCAAATAATACAATATAACCTCTTTATAAATCCTTGATCTTCATCTTTAACCGTTTGACCCTAGTTCGTTATCATTAAAATTTGTTTTTTTTTACATAGAAAATCAAAATGGCCCTATTTCACCTCTTCATGATATCCCTTTGGTGGTGGATAGCAACAAGAAGATTTTTAATATGATTGTGGAGGTCCCTAGGTGGACCAATGCAAAGATGGAGGTGAGTCAAGAGGTAAAAGTTGACAATCACCTTTCACAGCCTTCTATTTCATGTAGATTACTATGAAAGAGATTTTGAATCCGATTAAGCAGGATGTAAAGAAGGGTAAACCTAGGTTCGTAGCAAACTGTTTCCCTCATCACGGATATATCTGGAATTACGGAGCTCTACCCCAAACTTGGGAAAACCCTGAACACCTCGATGATGGTACAGGGTGCAAAGGGGACAACGATCCCATAGATGTGATAGAAATTGGTTACAGAGTAGCAAAAAGGGGGGAAGTTTTGCAGGTGAAAATCTTAGGAACCATTGCCTTAATTGATGAAGGTATAATTTGCATGGTCCTCATTTTTATTTATTTGCAATTATATTATTTTGTATATACAGGTGAAACAGACTGGAAGTTAATTGCCATAGATGTAAAAGACCCTATAGCTGACCAAGTGAATGATGTTAGTGATGTCGAAAAACATTTCCCTGGTCTTTTGAAAGCTTCAGTTGAATGGTTTAAAATCTATAAAATTCCCGATGGTAAACCAGAAAACCAATTCGCTTTTAATGGAGAAGCTAAACCGGCGAGTTTTGCTTTAAAGATAGTAGATGAGGTATTGATCTATTTTCAAGGATTTAAGGCGTACAGTTTGTAGTGTTATTAAGTTGATGCATTTTTTATAGGTGCACCGTTTCTGGAAAGCTTTAGTCAATAAAGAAGTTGATGCCAAGGGCATTTCCTGGTAAGTAAAAACTACAATTGCTTTAGAAAAGTGACATTGAATTTTTCTTTTATATACAACTGTTATTTGATTATGGCGTTTTTACCTAAAACTGATAAGTTACAAGGCTACTAATTTGTTTGTTTCAAATTGATTGAATACTGTTTCGTTTAAAAACAAGTTATTACGAGTTTTATCTTTTGTTGCCATTATTTTTAGGATTTTTTTGTTAATATGTACAGAAACCTTTTTCAAAATAATCTTTATGTACATTTTACTTTGTTTTAATTTATGATTCGTGAGTGATAAACAAAACTTAATCTTAATTATTTGGATTTTCACAAATAAAGTCAAAACAAATATTGTTGGTTCATTTAGGTGCAGACTTAGGAAATTGACTCAAATGTGACTTATAAATGTGATTTATAAATAATACAATCAATTTTTTAAAGCGGATATTTAATATTATTAATAAAAACTTAATTAGGCCTTTAATTGATTAATCTTGATTATGTTTTCAAGTGTCAACACTACTATTGAAGGCAATCCCTTCAAAGTATCAATAAATGAGGCTAAAGAAGTGATTAACAAAACTCCAGTGTATTCCCAACCGCAGAAGATCGATCCCATTGGTAAGTTTCTGATGAAATTTGATTTATTTTTAATTTAGTTTTTCACTTTTCATAATTTTTAGTTGCTAAAGTTTATTTCCTTAGAAGACCATCTAATAAATGTAGACTTTAAAGTTACTTTCTTCTTCCATCAAGTGTGTTATGTTTATAATGTTTGTTTTTTTTTTTCAGTGGATAAATGGCATTACGTTCATTTAAAATAAGGAAGATATTTAAATAAAATATTACACCAGTGCATTTGTTGTTTCTATTTTTTGTATGGGTAAGAATATAGTCTATTGTATGCATGGTGTTTTTTGGTTATAAGAAATAAATTATAATTTATGTAAAAACTGTGTTTTAAAAATTGTCCCACGTTTATTTTCTTCATATGCATTCTGTGTTCATTTCCTGGAAACTTGCGGAGGCGTTTAATAGAAACAAACAGATTATGGTTCTTGGAACGTAAAATTGATGATAATGTTAGGTGGACATAGAATGAATTTTATGTTCAAGATAAGTAACATTTCTTATTAAATATTGTTTTACTGCAGTGATCAACCTTTTTTTCGTTGTGGAATTTGATATTGCTTTAATTCATATCTCCTAATAATATAACTAACATTAATAACCACCACCAACAATTTATTTATTTTATGCGAGTAGAAGCTAGGAATTTATTTTATCTTAATTATAACAACGAATGGATTTTACATATTTCGGTAGTACTAGTGTAAAAATATTGTTGAAGTATAATAAAAAGATAAGAAAAGATTGAGATTTTTTGAAGTACCTGCGAGCACGTGTAAATCAGCGTCTCGGTAGGCGTGTCACTGAAAAAGCCCATCTTTGCAATTTTTCATGAGAGTAGTCAGAAATGGGCGTAAAAGCGATTCCATTCCGCGTCTACATTCACTGCATTGGGCATTGATTTGGTATTCGAAGTTTCCCCACCACGGCATCCTGCACAAGAAAGCTTTTCTTGTGTGGCGCCGCGCAATCTCCATGGAAAAGAGACGGCCACTGAAATCGAATATAATCAAAAAGTGGTCGTGGTTTGTCGCGGCCGGTCGTCCATAGTCAGTGAGCCAGAATACGTTTGAGCGGTCACTCGCCCAGTGCAGCGAAAGTGAACCATCTTGTAAATAAAAAAAGGACGAGAGTAAGTTGTCCAATCCTCCAGTTAAATTTGGCGGGAGACGCGCCCCAATGCGAGTGATTCTGGTCCTGGTCGTCGCGGCGGCCGTCGTTTGCACGACCGACGCCAAAAGGAAGAGGAAGTTCGACGGGGACTTCGAGTTCGCTGAAGAGGTAAGAGGCTTTGTGTTCCACAATAGAGCCACTTGGGTTAAAACAGGTGCCCCACGACTCGCGTTCCGCTCGATTCTTTACCTGTCAAGCAGGTTCTTCGGCCGTCTGCGGACCCATTATTGCCTAAACTGAATGCGTGTGATTATTCCACGATTGCACTTTCATTACCTACATTCCCGGCGAGGACGCGCGTCAATTGAGGTTTCCTATTTTACTATCACATGTGGACACCGAAATTATCACAAAATGCGCTTACACGGAAAGGATACCGAGTTGGACGCCACATATATCAGTCCCCCATCCTGCTAGATTCCCTTTATCAAATAACGTCACCACTACCTATAAAATTTTATTACAATCTTATATCTCCCAGACATAAATAATTCCTAGCGTCTTATCAATAACATAAATCCAAAGACGAACACTTCACACGATCGACAATTTTTCTCCAAGTATCTTCCGATTTGCTTTGTTCTCACTTCTGGCAGATCACGTTTGAAAAATTTTATCCTATCTCACCAAAATATTGGTTTTTGATATAGACAAGTGTCTTAGGCAATGAACTAAAACAAATATTTCATGTGTGGAAAATATTAAAAATTAATTAAGGGCACTTTTTCTCTGTTCACAGTTTCGAGAGCTTTTGATGATTCTTGTTGGGAATTCGGATTAAATAATGTTTACACAAATCAAGTGTTTTTTTCTTACTGTGAATTCTTTTGCGAAGCTTTTGGATGCAACCCAGAACCAGTATCCGCTTAATTGTAAACTAATGCGCACACGTTTGGAGCTTTTCCAAGATTAATTAACAATTAGCTTTTTAATCAGAAGAGTTTGATTTTTTTTCTTATTTTAGATTAGGTACAAACTGTTTTTGTTTAAGTAACGAAAAAAATTTCTGAAGGAAGGAAACTTGAATAAAATGTGATACTTTGCGTAAAATAACGAGCAAAGCACCCTAAAAATAAAAATAACCTGTCTCAATATTAGGAAAGCGAGTCATTATGTTTTCTATCTTAATGGATCTGGCTTCCGTTGTTGCCTATGATTCATAATTTTCTTTTTCCCCTGAGAGAATATGCTTGATAACAATACACCTCTGAAATTTCAGTAGTGAAGTTTGTGTCACTTAAAACCTCTGAATAAATTTCAAGTTGGTCTAATCATAGAAATGACTTGAAGTTATACAAATTTTGGGTAGATATCAACTGTCACATGTAACTTCCGCGGTCTTAAGACGTCCCTAGAGTTCAAGTTTGTTTGCCTTTCGTAATAAGTAGGCAATTTCAGGGAAAACTGAGTTGTTTATGCCATTCGCGTAGGTCATTAGAGGGATTTCCTTGATTCACATTTCGCTCAATTTACCACTTTTCAAACAAGTTAGGTGAAGTCGTTAACTGTTAGGGCATTTTTCAGGTTTATAAATTTTCAGTAAAATTGCTTTGTGAAAAATTTGGATCAAACAGTTGCGGTTGCTTTTAGTTCTTCTGAATACTCTTTTGTCATTTTGAAAATGACGTAAACTCTTGTACCTACAAGCCATTTATCAAAGCCGAGCTTTTGCTTTTTTTCCGAAACATTTTATTTTAATTATCCACTTGTTAGGTAACGAAACATCAAGAAAAATAAATGCCAAAGATTTCTTCTTTTTATAAAAAATGACCTCATGTCATGACCTTTGAAACGCAAAGAAAGATCGAATAGATCAAACATGAAACAATACAAAATCAATAAGAGCTAGGGTTCTTATAACACACGGGAAAAAACGGTCACCTGTCATAAACATGGTAAATTCGTTTGCCCCAAATTTAAATAATTCAAATTGGTTATAGGAGCGCCAAGGTTATTCCCATACCCGTTTTGTTACTTTTTAAAATCAAGTCAAATGGTTTGAAAACGAGAAGCTCACACCTTCATAAAGCATATCAAATGGGGTGTAGCACATTTTTAAATCGTTTAGGGTGTAATTAATTTCATGTTTAGCAATTTTATGGAAAGTATACGCTAAATAGGAACATTAAACTGATATCAGTTTCGGTTAATTATAGTTCTTATCAGAATTGAGCTAGAACTAGCCAGCATGACGGCTTGCTTTCATCATACTTTGTACTCATCGATTAATTATGAACACATTCTTAAGTAATGATTATTACATGTTGCTGTGTAAGTTTAGTTAGAAATTTTATATGGCATATGACTTAATCAAAAATCAAGTGAAAACAGTATGAGGTGACATTGTACGATCAAAATAATTTCGCAGTCCAATGAACCGTGACTTTTGAAAACTGTGAATTTGCCTGATTTCTTTACAGATTACAAGGCGGAAGTGCAAGCTAAATTGGTCAAATCAATATAATAGAAATATTTAATTACAATTACTTGAAAAAATAACAAACACTGAAAGAGACAGCTTTTAGAGAATAAAGAATATTTTGAATACACTACTTTAAATTGGCTTTGTTTTTTCACCTGTCCAAACCAAAGGTGGTCCATTTTCAAAAACTTTGCCTTCCTTTGTGGTAAATAAGTGAATAGCCAGTCAAAAACTTAATCTGAGCGAAGTGACTGAACAGATCTGCTACCCTAGGAAACCATTACCTCCTCTAGCGTTTAACAAGGGTGTGATCCTTTTAAAAATGACTTGTAAAGCAAAGGCTTTTCTACTCACTGAATATACCTGACATTTATAATAAGTGGGAAAAGTTGGTCTATAGACACAATTATACTCGTATGTATAAACTGAAGAAGACTTTATAAAATACATCAAAAATTCGACAGTATAAAGTGTGTTAACGCAACGATACGATAATAAAGTTTTACGATGTAAAAGAGGAGAATTTTAAATTGTAAGTTATTCTTGAAATTTTGAGAGTTACCATATACGTATTTTACGAACGTCACTGAGCGGAAAAATAATGATAGGGTGTGAATTTATGCGAAATTTGAATTTCTTATTACATATTTATAAAAAGTGATTTTTGTAATCAAAAGAAATGAAACATTGCGGTCACATGTACTCCCTTGTTATTTCATTCTCCTAGGAAATGTTCCACACTATTCGAGATTCCTGAAGCATTTCCTGTGTAGAATATTCAATCCAACTCATTTTAGGACTTTTAAACGAGTCGCAGATACATATTTTTTAAGAGTTTGTATTTATATCAGCATTTGAAAAAGAAGTAAACGCAAAATGTAAAGCGTTTCAATTTTACGCTTCATTGATCGTAAAATAACCATTGCATGCAACGTTCTTTAACATGAAAAAATCGAAGATTGTGATAATCTTTAAAAATTTTATGGTTTGTCAATTAAGGGTTTCGTATAATGAGACTGAAGACTTTTAGTTGATGAACTATTTGGGTTTGCGCGGCTTTGGTTTAATCCGTGATGTTAAACTTTGAATTTTTAATCAGTCGTTAATAGATTAATTCAATTTTCGGTCACACGCGAATTATCGCAAGTTTATTTTTATAATCGCTCTGTTATTATTAGTAATAAACGAGTCGTGACCTTATATTTCAATCCATGATCTCGAAAAAAAGTTTTGTTAAATGTTATCATTACATAAAATGTTTGTGTGAAAATAATGTGTCACTTTTGAAAAAATAAATCTCAATAACAACCGCTCTATATATCTGCCTTTACTGTTACAGTAGAGATAAAGGCATTTTATTGCAGTCAAATAGTAAATTGGAGTAAAAATGGAGAAAATCCCACACCTACATTGTCCAGTCATCCTGAAAACGTTCCCTCCGCGATAAGAGAATCGATTCCGATGAAAATTGGGGGCGATTGGATCGGATCTAACGAACCTCCTTGAAAAAAAAGAAAATAGTAAAACATGATAATAACAACGCTTGTAATTGCACGACTCATACAAATGATTTTTAAAGTGCCGCTAAAGTGTTGGTGCAGGTAACTTAGTATTCTTTCGGCTTGAGACCACACACATCTTACCTTTCGTGTAAATATTTGGGTGTCTAGGCTATAGGATGGAATAAGTTATCTTATTTAAAGTTTACCGTGTTTGGGATTCATAACAAAGGCTCGATGCCGCTTTTAGATTTTTTCCTCTATTGTTCCAATTACTAATAAATTCCTGCACTCATTACCGAATCGGATTAAGAGATAAATGTTATTTATAATGTACATTGAGAAATACAATGTAAACAGCGGAGATAAAGAACTGAAAAACACAAGGAATTTTCGTAAACACCCTATTAATACAAATCCCACAAGGATGGAGAAATTTGCTCCGGGACTGGAGCTCTATATCCTATTTGTCGGCTTATAAATATTAATATTTTTGAATCGAACTAATACGTCACTTTCACCATGCAACTGATATTCATATGGATATCGATGACTGATCTTAATTAATGCTCTATCGGTTTACACATAGTGGGAAATATATTGGACAAATTGCCGACAAAATAGTGTTGATTTCAAGCCAAAATCCAAAACTTGATACATTTAAATAGAAAATCTCCCCCAAAGCTCAATATTTGTCAGAGCCATGTCACAGAGGGTATATTTCTTGGATATTTTTTGCAAGAGAAAACGCGAAACGACCTTGTTAAAAACATCATTGAAATGCTCTGAAGATTTCAAAATTCGTGTAACAACAAACTAATTTTTGCTTTGAATTAGAAAATGCAAACCTATTACTCGAGATAAACAAACGCTTTGACTTTGGTATTCTTGTGATCTTAGTATAGCATCAATCATAGTGATCCTTTTCAGTTACTTTTATTCGCATTTGTCACTTGACGATGGCATTTTGAAATCGTGCCTCTGCTCAAAATTTTCTTTGAACTTATCATGTTGAAAATTTTCCAGTTGGCTCAACGTATTTTTCGGTATGTTTATTTTTTTTCATTTTACGTGCATTCAACTTGCAGAAAGTATTTATACACATGTTTGATTTTCCCAGGAAAGGTATTTTTATTATATTGGAGGTAAATTATTTCTTGGGTTATTAACAATTAACGCTCGTGCAATTTTTTCGGTTAGCTGAAAGTATCTTTACCGCAAATCCAATTACTTCTAGTAATTGAAATTTTCAGGAAGGTGTGTTTGTGAATTAAATTTACATTATTTATACGTTTTAACGAAGAAGGAAGTGAGGTGATATTCAGGTTTCGGCGAAAAAATAATATGAAAAAACAAACAAACTTGCACGGCACATCTATAGTCTATCCAGTTATTGCAAATTTATGAAAATGGACTTTATTAAATTAGTTTACATTACATGGTATAACATCGTTAAAATAGCTTGTGTGATGAAAACCTGAAAA